TGCGCTAGATTGGATCAGTTCGTTTAGGCCCTCCCCTTGCCTTCCGGTCCGCGGACCAGGAGATCCAGGTGGCGATGACCTATATCAGAGGAGAATTTAGACGAGCGGCCCGTTTTCCGACAAGCCTAAATCCTTCATAGTCCCCAGTTTTTCCTCTTGGTCAAGCTGCGGAAACGCGCCGTTTGCCCTTGATCAGGGTTGAAGTGGTGGTCCAAGGAACCGGGTCACCTCTAATCAGTGGGGATCTGGTGGAGCGCGAGCGACCATTTGGATTTTGACTTTCGATAGATTGACTTGACCTGACGATCGATTTTCCTTTTAAAGAGGGCTTTTTTCCAACGACTGGTCGTTGATACCGAGCACGAAGGATGGGGCCCCTTCCGCTGGCCGCGTGGGAACCTTAAAAAGCCAGGTGAATCAGAGGGCCTGATCCCCGAATCCCCGAGCAGCATATGTAGTGGTCGTGGACCTTTCTTTTCTTTTCCCTTTCCCACCCAAGCCCCAAAAATAATCGTGGTGGGAACCGCTCTGATAGTTTCCGGTTGGCTGGGATGATCGTAAAGCTCGCATTCATCCCGTCTTCTGACTCCTGGTCAGGCTGGAGATGGGTGAATAGCTTAGCTGTTTATTGAAGCGGAAGCGGAAACCCCCCCGCGGTCACTTGCTCGTTATGTGCCACGACTTGCAAGCTCCGGAGTTCGATCAACTCTAACCAGATTGCTGGAACAAACGCCTGGGCCTTTCCCCCGGTTGACATAATTAAGTACATAGTTGACCAAGGGAAGACAATTGCTCGACCTTCACATCTGCGAACAGAACAAGAGGTCCCAAGAAATTGCGGGTTTGTTTAATTAATTTTTCTGGAGAGATCACGGACGCGAGCATCCCTATATTCTACAGAACTACGGAGTACTCTCCATCATCAAGTTGCTGGGGCCCAAACGGTGGTTGGAGCCTATTTTTAACCGGAGGTGAACACATTTTCAATCCTTTGAGTTATTACATCGGCAAGGCAGAGTGTCTTTAGGAAAACAGATTGTCACCCATGGGCAAATTTCCCAAATATACGGAGTACTCTCCCTATACTCCGTACTCCGTACAACCAGGCATAGCGCTTGGTAACCCACTTCCAAAGAAGGTGTCATTTTTTTTCCTTTTTTTTTATCTCCCAAAAAAGATGGAAATGAAGCTCGACATGAGAGGTCCAAAGAACTAACATCAACAACTAGTTAGCTGAAGTTACATTTGATAGGTGTCGGTGAATTTCTGAGTCGGCCGAACCACATTGCCAACTATTAAATAGTTACTGCGAACACGTCGAATCTGATCTGTGATGCTGCCTTGGTGACCGCATATCTCCGTGAGTTGAAGATCAAGGGCGTGAAGCCAACAAACCGGGTGTGGCAACCCGCCTTGACTCTTTCCGCTGTGACCTGTCAAGTTTTTACTAGTCAGTTGCCCCGCCAAAAACTTCTCGATCTATGGAAAGCACCCCGGCGTGGGTTCTGTCGATCGGTTCTTTATTCCGTACCTGATTTTGTAGTTCCGCGCCAGAGCCGAATAAAGAATAACAACGACGAGAAGACGGTTTCGGGCTTCGAAGATGCGTCGCAGCAATGCACGATGCGTTTGATCGATTAATATTTTTTTTTTTTTCTTTTTCTATTTTGTGAAAGCCAATGCGACGCAAGGCGGACCATTCCCGTCTGCTAGGCACATACGGAGTTCATAGTACGTGTGTTTGTACGTCGGGAGTCCGTTTGCCCTAGTCGAGCGATATTCGTTCTTTATCTGGAGAAAGAGAACAGGAGGGGGAACCTGCAGCAAAAGACGCTTGCATCGGGACAGTGCAGAACCGGAAACGCTGCTGGCGATCGAAGATCTATCAATACTCCATACAGATCATTTGTTGATGGAGTGCACACGCCACATGGCTTAGCGGCGCAGACTGCCTTTGTGAGATGTTTTTCTTCTCGCAAATTTGAGATGCGACATTCGTTGATTGCTGTCTGGCCGGTGTACAGCGAAAAGACGCATGGGACAGGAATAGATCCTAACCGTGCCTTTGTGACATAAACCGCAGAAATACCGAGGATGCGCCTCTGGGATTATATATATGGACTTGTATGGTAATCGTTGGTGCTTTCTTGCTCAAGCCATTGCGTGTCAGGCCCCAAAATCCCTCCGGGCACAGACACCGTTAAGAAAAGCTCCAACTTCAAGGCTAAAAAGCATGAATTTCTTTATTACTAAGGCAATATTTACAAGCATTACGAGGTACGGAGTACCCGCGATGTGAAATGAGTGGTCTCATCAGCACTCTTTCTGCTTCCACTAGTACCCTGCCATTTGGCACCAAGGGCAAACAAAGCCATTATGCTTAAGTCAATCCTCAGAGCACCCAGCGATCAAAACTTGCCCGATCCTTGGAAGTAAGCCAAATCATTTCCATTTTTGATGGTAATCATCCATTGTGTGAACGGCGTTAGCTGAGCATGATTTATCAACGAGTACGGGGTAGGCTGGCATGACTGATGATCTAGGCCCCTTCCCTCTTTTCAGTGATGGTGTACTTGATACCTGAAATCTGAATCCCTTGTATCTACGTACTTACGTACAACGGCTGATTTGTAGGAGTCTTCTCGCCCTAGGTATCGGTGGACGGGTCCAGACGTCGAGATTACCGATTCAGCCTCCGCCACACCGTCATGGAGTGCTTCGAGCCCGAGAACGTGTCCCGTGGAATTACCTCGACTGTCGGTTGCAAAGCGGTGGCGCCCTTCTGAATGGACCGGCTCGGACATAGAAACCAAGGTCAAGTGAGAATCGATCCCAATTTGCGGAAGAATTTGCGTCGTATAGAGAGACAAGCACGCCATCGCGAACCAATCTACTCTTAGGACTGTCGGTACAATGCGATCCTCGTTGAGGTTACAAAAGCAGACATGCGGGTGGTCAACGTGGTGCGAGCATGGGCTAATGAGTAACCACACTCCGCTTCGAGAGCATGCCGCTCATCGAGTATTGTGTTCTTTTCCGGGGGGTGCCAGAATCGCTAATGTAGGCCCTACGTTTTCCCAAGTAAAAACACTTTATTGTTGAGACTGGTGGACATGGCGATCCATCCACCTAAGACAATCAGCAACATTGGTGTTTTCCGAGATAGCCAATATGGCCCAATGAAACCATGGGGTCAAGTCCGTTGGTGATGAGCTCCAGAAGTTGCGCTTGAAGTTCTTACTACATATTGTTGAGATATGATCCATAGTTATTCTTGCCACTGAATATGTACAAGAAGAATCATTGTCTGGTTGGATCTAGCATGCTGGTGATATATGGCTCAGTAAAGCTACAAGTGTTATAAGTTATCTTCAGCTTGTTGGCTATTACTCGGCTGATATTGAGAAAGGGGGTAAAGGGTGTTGATTAAGAAGCTCAAGCATTCAAACATTATAGTAAAGTAACGGTGCGTTGTCCACATTCAGGGAGGGTTATTAACACATTGATGTGCCATCTCATACTGTAAAGTGATATTAGTGAATGGATAGAAGAGATACTTGAGGATAGTGGGTACAATATACCTCTTCATTGGTTTGGCAAACCAAAATTGCAGGGCTTTGGCTAGATTTTTCAGAAATATCGATTACAGTCGATGCATTATCATAGAAACCCTTTGAGTTCTTCCGCTGACAAATGGAGAGACCGAGACACCGGCATTTCTGTACGATGGCTGCTCGAAGCATTGCGCTTCTCTCCCCAATCCCGCCGGCAAACACAACCGCATCAACTTCGCTATCCAACTTAACAAAGTAGCTTCCGATAAAACCAACAATGCGGTCGACAAATATATCAAATGCCAGCTTGTGCATGTCGGTTTCTGGACTATCTGTCGCGATTTTGGAGAAATCGGTTGTGCCTGCAATGGCCCCCCAACCGGCTTGTTTGTTGAGGATCTCTTCAGCCTAGATCAGTTAATATCAGCGAAATGCCTGACAATATATGAATTTTATTATTGTATGCATGTACATACCTGCGTAAGGTGCATGTCTTTTGTGCTTGACGAGCTTAATTTGCAAGCTTCAGATGTATAGTGGAATACGAGCCTGAGGAAATAAGCACACTAGGACATGGCGATAACGATGCAATGGTACATACGTCGGATCTATGTCTCCGCTTCGCGTGGCGCCGGGCAAGCCAGAAAGGGGTGTAAGACCCATTCTGCAGGAATGTTGATCATAAACATTTCTTCTTAGGATGTTCGAATAGGACATCACTCACGAGGTATCAATCGACTTTCCGCCTCTAATTGCGCAAACAGATGCACCGCTTCCAAGATGAAGTGCAATGATATTTGTCAACTCCACTGGCTTTTTGAGGAACTCCGCGACGGAGCGTAAAATGAAGCTGTAGCTAATTCCATGAAAGCCATATTTGCGCAGCCAATTGGACCTGGCAACTTCTTGATGAATGGGATACGCCTTAATGTAATCTGGCAACGACCGGTGGAACGTTGTGTCAAAGTAGGCCACGCTTTTGGCTCCCGGAATTTCATTAAGACATGTTCGAATAATATCCAATGATGCCGTATTGTGTCTATCCAATCGAGTAAGCATAAATGCCCCCCGAAAATCCAACATCTTATACATACAACGGGGCAAGGTCCTGCAACGCTTCGAGGTAGCTAAATGTATCTGTGCTGATCACCGCTTCCCGAGTAAAATCACCGCCGTGCACCACACGATGGCAGATATATGCGAAGTCATCTTTACTGCTAATTATGGTCAACTTGGGGTCATTGAGAAAATGGGTCAAAAGGTATGTAAAGGCCTCCTGCGGAGTGTCAATCTTCTCATCGACCTCCCGCCTCTGTTTGGTGTGGCCGTGCGAGTACTTGAATGTACGTGGCGGTGCAGTGATCCCAGCTACTTTGGCTGTTGCTATTTTCCTTGGCGGCCTGTGGCGGTTGAAGATGGTGAGGCCCACGGACGACGTGCCCGCGTTGATTGCAAGAATCAACTCTCCCATGCTGCTGATGGCTTTTATGATGCGTATCGGAAAACCAGCCTCTTTCCCATCGTGCAAATATACCCTACGCTCCCGCTGTCGTTTCACATCGCTACCCGTCCTAGATTCCAACTTTGTGATGTCAGCAGCCGAACACTGTGACGTATGGGCTGTGGAATGCCTTGATATTACCAATGTTTCTGTAGCAAACATGGCAGCCTCAATTGGCTCTATTGGCGATGGTTGATAGAAGCTAGCTATGTCTATATCTACTCGTATTGCGGGCACTTTTATTTGGACGCTACACACTATATGGACCGAAGCTCTGCAAAGATAGCTCCCAAGAAGTACCCCGTACCAGTCATACGGATTCATCAGCGAAGATGCCTGGGGAAGTCATCGATAAACCGGATCCGAAGGCACTACCTTCGCATTTGCCTTCCTCACTTGATGAGTTGATAGTTCGCCTTCAAGTGTCACCCCTGAGCAAGGATGCACTTGATTCGCTGGTCAAATTCCGTCGAACTGCGGACTATATCGCAGCAGGTGAGGGCTATGGACCTACCAAATTTTGTAACTGAAGCTAAACGACACCAAGCGATGATATTTCTTCGAGATAATGCGTATCTCAAGCGTAAGCTGACGTTTGATGATGTTAAGCCACGGTTATTGGGTACGTCGAAATAAGCTCGGCAAAATCCCCATTGATAAGATGCTTATACTGTTGAAAGGCCACTGGGGCACCTGCCCTGGTTTAAATTTTATCTATTCCCACCTCAATTATTTGATTTGTGAACATAACCTTGACATTCTGGCTGTTATCGGCCCTGGTCATGGAGCGCCGGCCCTTCTTGCCTGTCTCTGGATGGAGGGCTCCCTGGAGAAATTCTACCCCGATTATTCTCGAGATACGAGTGGTCTCACAAAGTTGATTACTACTTTCAGCACTACAGGTGGATTCCCAAGGTTGGCTCTCTTTATGCCCCGATGTTAGTTCTGAGTGCTGATTCCGACAGTCACATCAACGCGGAAACCCCTGGAGCAATACATGAGGGTGGTGAACTTGGCTACGCTTTGGCTGTCTCATTTGGAGCCGTAATGGATAAGCCAGACATGATTGTTGCCTGCATTGTAGGCGACGGCGAGGCTGAGAGTGGGCCGTGCACCGCGTGAGTAAATCTTTGCATTCCAAATTGAGTGGGAGATCCTGACTGTGATAAAGGAGTTGGCATTCCTATAAGTACATCGACCCAGCGGAGTCTGGTGCTGTCATCCCAATCCTCCATCTCAATGGGTTTAAAATAAGCGAACGCACAATATATGGATGTATGGATGACAGAGAGCTGCTTGCGTTGTTTTCTGGTTTTGGTTACCAAGCCGTAATTGTTGGAAATCTAGATAATATCGATGCGGAATTTAGCACTGCTCTGAACTGGACGCTATCAGAAATCCGGATAATTCAGAATGCTGCCCGATCCGGTAAACCAATTATGAAACCGCGGTGGCCAATGATCATTCTTCGAACACCCAAGGTAGGTCTCTTTTCGGAACAATCCATTTGTCTATCCATTTGTTCCAAGCTAACCCTTATTCATAGGGATGGACGGGGCCTAAGAAGATCCACGGCAAGATTGTAGAGGGTTCATTCCATGCACATCAAGTCCCGCTCCCTGCGGCAAAGAAAGATGGCGAAGAACTGAATGCTTTGCAAGAGTGGCTGTTATCTTATAAGCCAAATGAACTGTTTCAAGAGAATGGAGATGTCATTGACGAAATAAACTTCATCCTTCCGAAAGAACATTCACAGAGGATGGGCCAGCGGCCGGAAGCCTACAAAAGTTTGCAAAAGATTGCCATACCAGACTGGAAACAGTTTGCTGTGGATACAGGCTCTCATGGGAGTTCCATGAAAACCATTGGAAGGCTCATTGATCAGTTATTTCTGGACAACCCTCATAGTGCGCGATTATTTTCTCCGGATGAACTTGAAAGCAATAAGTTAGATCAGGCTCTTGCGCATACGATTCGGAATTTCCAGTGGGACCAATTTTCGAATGCGAGAGGCGGACGAGTCATAGAAGTACTCAGCGAACATATGTGTCAGGGGTTCCTTCAGGGATACACGTTGACTGGGCGACTTGGAATATTTCCATCTTACGAGAGCTTTCTTGGAATCATCCACACAATGATGGTGCAATATGCCAAATTCAACAAGATGGTAAGCTTTGGCCTCTCAGCATCGTGCTCGTCATGAGCTTAAGTACCGTCCTAGAAGTAACGCTGCGCTTTCTAGGCTCGAGAAACGACATGGCATCGAGACTTATACAGTCTCAACTATATCGAGACGAGTACTTGGACCCGCCAAGAGCATAACGGATTTTCTCATCAGAATCCATCGTTTATTGGGGCAGTACTGAACCTGAAACCGGATTATGCACGGGTCTACCTCCCGCCTGACGCAAATACGTTTCTTTCTACGTTGGCTCACTGCTTGAAGTCGAAAAATTACGTAAATCTTATGATTGGTTCTAAACAGCCAACTCCCGTGTATCTGAGTGCAGAGGAAGCCGAGAGCCACTGTCGAGCAGGTGGTTCTGTGTGGAAATTTGCTAGTACAGATGATGGCTTGGACCCAGATGTCGTGATTGTTGGGATAGGTACGGAGCTCACATTTGAAGTTATCCAGGCAGCGACTATGCTGAGGAAGCGCGTTCCCGAGCTGCGGGTTCGCATGGTCAACGTGACAGACCTGATGATCCTCGGAGTAGAGAATAGACATCCTCATTCTCTTTCTGAGGAAGCATTCGAAGCACTTTTCACTCCAAATGTCCCAGTGCATTTCAACTACCATGGCTACGAGACCGAACTGAAAGGGCTTTTATTCGGGAGACCTAAGCTGCACCGCGTGAGCATCGCATCGTACAAGGAAGAAGGAAGCACGACCACCCCATTCAACATGATGTTGGTTAACGGAGTCTCTCGCTTCCACGTTGCTAAAGCTGCCGTCAAAGGTGGCTCGCTGCGAAATGAGAGGGTTAAGCTCAAATATCAGGAGCTCCTCACTGAATTCGACCATGAGATCAATTCGCTGAGCCAGTATATCCTCGAAAACCAGAAAGGTAAGCCAGTCGTTCGGGTTTGCATTGACGTCGGCATTTTGCAGTTTTGGAATGCCAGCTAACGCGCTTTAGACCCGGACGATATGTATGATATGCTAAAGTTCGAATAGGATGTAATTTCAAGCCGTCTCTGCACACTCCGTAGTACATATTAGCTAGCTTGCCTATAATGGAATATTCGCGATGTTCAGAACTGATTTTCTGTTGGCTGTTTTTTAAAAGGGATGGGACTGAAGTCACGGGACCCTCACTTTCCAGCATCACGCTAGATGCCTTAGCTAAGACTTCCACCTTACCGGATTCGGTAAGGGCCCGATTCGTCTAAGCGAGGGTCCCACGAAACAAAACTGCCTGGAGCGAAGAAGACGGCCAGCACGGCGCAAACCTCACCTCGACGGAACACCGACCAGCTCTTCCTCACCTCGTTCAGCCAACCTCCGCCGAGTCCGTTAACGACAAAGGGAAAGCAGCAGCAAAGCGGTTGTGCTGTTTTTCCTCATATCGTTCCTGTAACCATGGCTGCCCTCAACAAGATCGCTGCCAACAGCCCGTCCCGGCAAAACCCTTCAGAGCTCGAGACCTCTTTGGCCAATGCTCTCAGCGATTTGGAGACCAATACCCCCGATCTGAAGGCTGCTCTCCGTCCGCTGCAGTTTGTGTCTGCTCGCGAGGTAAGGCAATTGGAGTTTTTATTTTTGAAGCTATGCGGAGAAGAGGAGGGAAATGAAAAAAGAATCGGATATTGCTGAGCAACGGCGAATGGCTGGCCTCCGGGCTTCCGGCTTGATGAAAATATTCCGGATGCAGTAGGATATATGGAAAGAGTGACATCGAGCTTGGTCAACGCATTTTCTCCGGGCAATTTATCGAATTATTTGGACTTGGGCGCTGATGGTTTATCTGATATAATAGATCGAAGTTGGTCACGGAAAGAAGGCTATTGTTATCTTCGTCCCAGTTCCTCTTCTCCAGGGATTCCACAAGATCCAGCAGCGGTATGTGTGCAAATACTGGCATGATTTCGATATTCCAGCATCCTAGCTCTCGCGCTATCCTTAAAAGTCTCCCGCGCAACGCACGCATCTCGTTATGGACTACAGAACTAATTAGCGATGGAAATATAGCCTCACCCGGGAACTTGAGAAGAAGTTCTCTGATCGCCAAGTTATGATCATTGCTTCTCGCCGCATCCTTCCCCGCCCCAAGCGCTCCAGCCGCTCCCGCACCAAGTTGACCCAGAAGCGCCCACGCTCCCGCACTCTCACCGCTGTCCACGATGCCATCCTTACCGATATCGTGTACCCAGTCGAGATTGTTGGCAAGCGTCTCCGAACAAAGGAGGACGGCAGCAAGATCCTCAAGGTTATCCTCCACGAGAAGGAGCGTGGTGGTGTTGACCACCGCCTCGACGCATATGGTGAAGTCTACCGCAGATTGACGGGCCGTGGTGTGGGTTTCGAGTTCCCCCAGAGCAGCGCTGTGGAATACTAGACAGTTCCATTTTGTGTGATTTTCCGCTTTGCTGTTCTTTAATGGAGAGAGGGTTGGACCCGGGCTCCTTATCTGTGGGGGGGGGGTGAAGATGACGGATAGGAAGCCACAAAAAGGTTGGAACGGCATGCCAATACATGGAGCACGGTTCTAGATATGGAGATCTTCTTACCCTTTCTTCTGCCCTTTTCCCCCTTCTCCTACGACCGTTTGTTCTATGTGTATTGTCTGCATACTACTTTATTGTATTGAAATGCATTGACGAGTCCAACGTACAATGTCAAGAAAGGGATTATTGAACCATCCGTCCTTACCCAGCGATACCCGGCTCTGCTCCAGCCCACTAAGTCTCTCCGGATTTCAATAGGGTATCTCAACGACCAAAATTCAGGAGTAAGTTAAGCAAATCTACCTTTCACCCGCACCGCTAGCGACGATTCTCCCGACTCCCAGCACCATCCAATATGCTAGCTCCCGCTTTACCATCTCCACATCGGTTTTCTTACTACCTGGCTTTGAAGGCAGGTTCAAACCTTCATTGACCCCCTCTGCTTCCCATTCAAGTCTCACAAAGATAGGTATCTCAAGAATATCTTCATCCTCAGTTAGTCCACTTTCACCCAGGTCAGCCAGTGATCCCGGGACCACTTCCATAGCCACTGTAGACCAGTTGCGGCCCTTATCCCAGACTTTTCCCGCTTCCGCAACTTTTTCCACACCCGATCTAGATGAGCGTGGATCTGGGGCGCTACTAGATTGGAGCGCTTCGTCCCACACGTCGGTGTTCGCGCCTACTTCGAATTCCGGGCATAGAATAGTGACCCTCGAAGCTACACGGCCGGGGGTCACCGATGGCGTGGCGAGAGTAACACGGATTGGGTCGAACATGTGATTTTTCAGGGTAAGGAGTAACTGAACTGGTTTGAGTGGCTCAAGAGCGTCGAGGTTGACGGGTGGTGTTGGCGGCAACGGGACGATGGGTCGTAGGTTAGTTAGGGGTATGTAACTGATTGCGATGAGACGGATGCGGAAACGTGTAGATTGAGGTTTAAACTCAGGTTTAACGAGTATGTGCTTGCAGGCTTTGCAGCGTTTCGACCTCTTTGTGCGGAGAAAGGCGGGGAGAGGGCATAGATCATCCACAAACCGCGTGCCTGGTAGCTGGAATAATCGTTGCTCCATTGAGGCAAGCCCGTCCCAACCTTCCGTGGCCATCTTTTGGACTGTAGCGCTTTCTGCTCCTGCAGGTGGGATATGTAATCCTTCGGATTGCGTCAGGGCTTCACGCATGACAGGTGGCCTAGATTTGGCCTTTTTGGCGCCACTGCCATGCAATCCACCCAGGCCTGAGGCATATAGTGACATTATACGACTGAGTGCACTCGGTGAAGAGTACGAGCCAAGTTCTGGTCCAATTAATGGGTCAGGTGACGAAGTAGTCTCTGCAAGCTGACTCCGATAGAAGGATTTTAATGCTGCGAAGCGAGCATCGTGGTTGAGAGACGATTGGCTATCCTCAGAGAGAGCGCCCTGCGTTTGATGCTCGTCCTGGGGGCTAGGCCCATCCGCTATATCCTGCAAGGAAGAAAAACTGGACAGCGGTGATCTCATGTGCGACGGTCGAGCAATCGATTCTCGTCGATCAGTTCCCTTGAAAATGGAAGACAGCTGGGAGCGGATATTTGTTGGTTTATCAAACTTAATACCAATATCGAGAGTGGTCCACATGCAATAGCTGCACGTTAATATCCAGGGGCCATTCTGCGAGCTGCCATTCCCGTCGCCGTTCCCGACAGTGGATACAGCCAAAGGGGACGTACATATAGGGCAATTGAAACAGTTGCGTGTGCATCTAACCATGAGTGCGATTAGCCATCCCGTCTTTCACGCGTTGATCTCGAATTCCAACCTGTTCCCCTCACTCTTCACCATGCTACTAGGCGTTTCAAATAAACAATTAGGGCAATACCAGCAAACAATCTCTTCCGTAATGCATCGTGGACACTTTATTTGATGGCAGTCCTCGCAATATAGAAGGTGTTCTGGAGGATAAAGGGAATAATTGGCTCGAGGGGACCTGGGATCAAACGTCTTTTCATCGTCGTCATCGTCGGACCGCGCTAGAGAGAGGCTAGAGAGGTCTCTAGATAGCCGGTTTGTAGGCTGTCCGGAGAGCGGACTTTCAGCGCAAGGACACGAGATAAAGGTATACGGGAGCGGACGAGCCATCTCGAGGTTCTAGCGCGGGGAATTCGTGACGGTCAACACCCTCGCATGTTGACCCCTGGGGCTTTCTGAGAACGTCCAATTAGTTTACGGAGGGAAGAAACAGGGCCACCCGGGTAATTTTACTTACAATGAACTCCTCTCTGGGACAGGATGGGGTAGTTGGCCTTTCACCCGTGTAAAACTAATAAACGTGCCATCTCATTCAACACGGTGCCGAATTGCGCTGCCTTGTGTTGCGTTAACTAAGTTAGTTCGTGGTTTGAAGCTCAAAAAAACATCAAAGCTCCCCGGCTTCACCTCCGCAAATTCGTTGACAGCTTGCGTGCTGCCAATACCCAATCCAGCTCCTTGACTGCGGTTCTCTAAAAATCCAACTGTCTAGAAATGGTTTCTTAACAGTCCAGGCTTCTCCAACCGACCCTTATGTCTCTCCGTCCGCGCCTCGTGCCGCCGTCGCTCCTCCGCCGTGAAATCTTCTTCACGCGGAGCTACGCTGTGCAAGCCCCAGGCAATCCCACACTAGAGATATTCAACCGCAAATCAAAATATCTACAAAAGGAGAGGGCGGCACAGAATGCCGAGGAGAGCCGGAAGGTTGATTATCTCAAAGACGAAGTTGCATCTCGGCTGAGTGAGCGGCTGCTGGTAAGTCTCGAGATAGGCGACGAGATGGAGGTTTGAAGTACTTCGCTAAAAAAAGAAAAAAAAAAAAAAAAAAAAATCTAATGCAGGATATCAAAAGGAATTTCAACCATGTTCTTGACCTTGGAGCGAATAGCTGCAATATTGCACGCGCCCTCACGCAGCCTTACGTTGACCCAGACATCCCCAATGCACAACCCGCCGAACCCATAGCGAAGCGGATATCCAAGCTCACATGTGTGGAAGAGTCACCGTCTTTACTATACCGCGACGAGTCGCTGCCCTTTAATTCCGAAATACCAATCACCCGAGAGGTTGTACCTAGCTTGGAACACCTCCCTTACGGGCCGAATACCTTCGACGCCGTCCTCTCTTCTCTCTCAATACACTGGATAAATGACCTACCGTCACTATTATCGCAGGTGAACTCGATTTTAAAGCCTGATAGCCCGTTTATTGCAGCGATGTTTGGCGGAGACACCCTCTTCGAATTGCGCTCTTCCCTACAGCTTGCGGATCTCGAACGCAGAGGCGGGGTTAGTCCGCATATCTCACCATTGGCGGACGTCCGAGACATTGGTGGCCTGTTGAACAAGGCTGGTTTCCGCCTGCTTACGGTAGATGTTGAAGATATAGTGGTTGGCTACCCTAATACGTTCGCGCTGATGATGGATCTCCAGGCGATGGGAGAAAATAATGCTATCAAACAGCGGGAAATAGGCCCGATGTCAAGAGACGTCTTGTTGGCGAACGAAGCAATATATAGAGCCTTGCATGAGGAGGAAGGAGAGCAGGGTATCCCAGCTACGTTTAGATTTATATACATGATAGGATGGAAAGAGGGCGAAGGACAGTCCCAGCCACTGCAGAGAGGAAGCGGTCAGATAAATCTCAAGGATGTGCTGGGAGGAGGGAGCTTTGAGCAATAATCAGTAGATATTCTGCTTCCTGAATGATCTAGACTCTCTGACGATCGATACTGAACCAGCCGTAACCCCCCGGGATCCTGTATACTGCGAGTGCACCAGCCCCGAAGGGATTGCAAGGGTGCAAAAGGCGCACGCAACCTCACCCCTTTCGTTCTTCCAGTAACCCTCAAAGTAAGCTGCTCTCAGACAGTGCGTCGATCCGTCATCACTCGTACAATCGAACCTACACCGACAACCTCGACCAATCTTTCATGCCAGTTCAGCAGCACAGCCATCTGCTGGCCACCGCCACCCTCGCCAAAGTTCCGACCTTGTATCTGCGAGAAACCGGTGCTCTGCGGTGACAAAGACGACTTCTTCGATGACGGAGCTGCCCCACCGCCTGAGGATTGCGACGCCATGCCTCTATACCTGTCCACCCCAAACAGGCCAAACGTCAGCACGCACACAAAGAAAATCCCACTGAATCAGAAGCACACACAGACAAGGGAAGAAAACGGAAAACGGAAAACAGAAAAATGCAAGATAAAAGAACGAAATATATTTCCCGTACAAGTATTTCATCAGACAATCTCCCCTTTCCACCCCTCCCTCCCCGCTGCACACGCCTTCTAGCACCCTCGCCATCTCCGCCTGCCGTATGCTCTGCAACACCTCTACAACCGTGGCTAGATGGACCTCCTTCGCGCGATCATCTCCGCCTAGCGGTGCCGTGTCAAGAGCATGGCGCAAAGCTCCCTCCGAGTCGCCGGACCGCAGCAGCTGCCGGATCTGCGAAGCGATGTTTGCGGCGGCACCGGAGGACGAGGACGGCGGGAGGTTGGAAGGAAGAAGGGTCTCGAGGGGGAAATTTACGGGGGCGTCCGGGTCAAGCGAGTCGACGTCGATTGTGCGGTAGTTGATGTTTGCCATGGCTGTGCCGGTACGGAGGATGCGTGGTGCTTGCTTGCCCGCACGGAGGGAGATTGGACTGTGGGGTAGTAGGACTTGTCGGGTTGATTTAGAATGGAGAAATAGGCTATTTCATTAAGATGACTATTTGGAGAAAAGGGTGCTCTGACGGGGAGCGACAATTGGCTTCGAAGATGTTATGGATCTGCCTGTTTGGTTGGTTTGGCTTGGTTGGGTTAATTATGCTCGGGAGGTTGGATGGTGGATGATGGATCCTAACGGGGGTGGACGCGTTCAGCGGAGATAAAACGCAACAACAGCCAGTACCGCCAGCACTTTCGGATCGGGGATAGACACAGCTAATTATTTTCACAATCCATATCACCTGGCTATTTATTATGTATTTATTTTCTCATATTTAGTAGTATACAGGATATGAAAACGCAGCCAATGAAAAACCCCTTCTTCCTCTTGATCCCAGCTCCAGAATCATCATAAGGCATAGCTATGTGGTAACAAAAGAAAGAAACAATGTAGAGCCAATCCACCCAGTAACTATGGAATAAAAAAGATAGAAGCCGCCCAATGCAAAAGGTGTTGAACAAGTAGATCCAAACCAAAAAAACGCCGAGCTCCCTAACCCGTAGTATGTAGATAGTACAGCCGAGGACCAAAAAAAAATAAAACAAAAATAAAACAAAAAGTATTAAGTATCAAGTCATCAATCCATGATCTAACTTGGCCCGGTCAATGTGATCGGGGGTAAGTTAGCATGTGTTGCCCGCGGGGTCTCCTCCTCCTTGTCCTTCCCGAGCTTCGGAGCTTCCTCGTCGTGGGTCTCGATCTCCAGCTCTTCAGGAGAGGATCCCTTCTTGGACTTGATGATGCGCGAGCAGAACCGCCGCAGTGCGGCCCAAGTAGCAGAAAACGCCTTTCGCACCGGAGAAAATACAAACTTCATGGCTTTTGCGATCGGTTTCCAGACGAAGGCAACTGCGCCGAGAACGCCATTGAAGACAACCGCAAAGTGTCGATCGGGTATACAGCGAAGCACGATCGCCCATGGAAGACAAAAAATTGCGCAAAGAATGCAGATTGCCCACTGCTCGCCATTGAGACGCTCCACGCCGATGGCGACATCACCCACAAAGATGATCATCACTTGACCACCCACCATAAGTACGTTGATTCCGATAAACCAGTAATTTTTATGTATTCCTTCGAAAATATTGAATTTGTTGTCGAGCCGACGATTGTTGAACTCGTTGAATATCTGCATCCAGACAAACGTGTTGAAAACGATTGTATCCAGTTGCTCTTGTAAATGGTGATCCGCAGCAACGTCGTAGTTCAGAATTTTGGCGCCGGCGAAGTAAAGGGTGAATGTGACAATAAGTTGATAGATGCTTTGCCCGATGATCATTTTCCACATCGTCATCGTGAAGAGCGATGCCGACTTTGGAGTCGGTTTGCGGTCCAGGATCTTCTCCGTCGGTGCATCGGTTGCGAGAGCCAGAGCCGCAAAGGTGTCCATAATGAGATTGACCCATAGCAGCTGAACCGCATTGAGAACGCTCTCATTATCCTCGTTAGCCAGAGCTGAAACAAATGCCAAACACACAGCGGTGATATTGACGGTAATTTGGAACTGAAGGAATCGTGCAACGGCGTCATTAACGGCGCGTCCCCAGCAGATCGCAGTCACGATGGATTTGAAATTGTCGTCCAAAAGAATGATCGAGCTAGCCTCCTTTGCAACTTCCGTTCCTGCAATACCCATGGAAAAGCCGACGTCTGCTGTCCTCAGAGCCGGGCCATCGTTTGTGCCGTCTCCCGTCACTGCCACAGTTTCGCCAAGATGCTTAAGCCGTGCGACGAGGATGCGCTTATCTTCTGGCGAGGAGCGCGCGAGGACTTGCAAGTTTGGTAAGATACGGTCCATCTCTTCGTCGGACAATTGTCGGAACTTAGGACCCTCCATTGCAATCCCGTCAGGGGTTTTGATACCGCATTCGGTAGCAATGGCGACTGCTGTGGTCATATTGTCACCTATATGAAAATGTCAGCAGAGGGGAAAACAAGTCACATAAATTGATAAACAATTTTGTAAAACGAACCGGTAACCATCTTGACTTGCACCCCGGCTCTGTTGCACTTCTCGATCGCACCAGGGACCTCAGGACGCAGTGGATCCTGAATTCCAACAACACCCACCCATACCATATTATGGAACACATCATCAAAGTCGGCCATGGACTTGTCGTCTTCTAGGGTCTTCACCCCAGGAGGTGGCCAGAATTCGAAATCTTTGTATACGATGCCAATTGACCGAAGAGACCGCTGAGCGTACGAGTTGATGGTGTCCAGAACCATGCTCTTAGTGTTATCTGGGAGAGCTTCGCATTTGAGAGGGTCTTGAGACAGTTCGCAGATGACCTTGGTCGCCTTGGCCAGCATCATTTCAGCCGCGCCTTTAACGTGGAGTCGATAGGTCCCGTTGTTCTGTCGAACGACAACGCCCATGCACTTCCGGGCTGAATCGAAGGGAATCATTTGAACGATTTCGGCATTTGCCCGCTCCTCTGGCAAATTCAAACCGAGATATTGTTCAGCAAGTTGCAACATAGCGACTTCTGTTTTACTTCCGATGAATGTGCGCTGGCCATTCTCTTCGCCCTCGAATGCCGTCGAATTCAAAGCGACCGCTTTCAGGAGGAGATCTCGAACGGACGATGACATCGCAGCAAACCTTTGCGACATATTCGATGGCGCATCTCCGCTCTCGTCCGTTTGATCGAGGCTGTGCTTGGTGCCGAATGTCCCGGCCACCACTGTCATTTTGTTTTGAGTTAGGGTTCCAGTTTTGTCAGAACAGATGACCGTCGCGTTTCCCATAGTTTCGCATGCGCGCAGGATTCGAACAAGATTGTTCTCCTTGACCATGCGAGCGGTCGCAAAGGCAAGAGCAAGAGTGACGGCCAAAGGGAGACCCTCTGCAGGTGCGCGTTAGATGGAAGGGGACCCTAAGGATCATTCGGGTACACGGGGCAGAGCATACCTGGAATGGCCACAACGATCACTGTGACTGCGACAATTAAAATGTCCGTAAACTCCCGACCTTTGACTGCTGGCGTGCCAGGATTTCCTGGCAATTGCACAAGGAACCGAATGAGAAGAGCGAAGAATAGGACAAGCGCAGCGCTGTAACAGTGTTAGTTCTCGTAAACTCGGGCATCAAACTGAGCAAAGGGGATGTTCCGCTTACGCTAGACCCAAACCACCGATCCAATCCGCAAGTTTGCCGAGCTTGACTTGCAGTGGCGTAGGATCATTGGTCGTTTGTAGTGAAAGCATGATTTTTCCGTAGGTAGAATTAGGGCCGACACTGGTGACGAGATAGGTTCCAACGCCTTCCAAGACTTTGCTTCCGGAAAGGATAAAGGGGTCGAGCTTCTTGGTCGCGGTCCCATCCTCCATCCTCTGCCAGACCTCGTGCCCGTTGGTCTTCTTCATTTGATCGGACTCTCCAGTCGCTGATGATTCATCGCACTTGACTCCATGTCCGCTAAGAAACACTCCGTCTGCCGGGATGGCGTCTCCGGGCTCCAGATGTAAGATGTCACCCACGGTGATGTCAAAGACAGATATCATGATTGATTTTCCCGATCGGATCGCTTTGACATCTCTGTCGCTTTTCTGTTTTCACGAGTTAGACAAAATGCGGGGAATTCTGTACCCAGCTGCCACTCACTTTGCGGTTCAATTTTATAAACTGTCTTTCCTTTTGCCAGTCGTTTGCAGCCGTCACCACGGTGACTATCAGGATAGCGACGCATATAGCGACCCCTTCGATCCAATCAACCTTAGACCCGCCGGTGAATGTTTCGTAGAGACCTAGAGATAGCGAGACAACCGCAGCGGCTGTCAACAGGATAATTATTTTGTCATTGTATGCTCTCCATAGCAAAATCAAGAATCCATCGCCTTTTCTTTCCGGGAGTCTGTTTTGCTGGAAGACACGTATGCGGTCTGCAAACTGACCTTCGGCCGGAACGCTGCCGCCGTGGCTTTGTACGGGAGAGCTACCACAGTTGTCGACCTTCTGGGAATCCCACTTGGTTGCTTCATCGAAAGTGACGGCTCCTTGTAGTTGACTTTCATCGAGTGATAGGCCGGCTGACAGGTCCGTTCTAAGACCTCGTTCTAGACCCCGAAGTCCCCCAAGTGCTCTGAAGGCAGCCAAGGACTTAGGGTTAAGCATCTTGTTGAGCTGGCCAGGGGTAAAAGCGAAGGGATTTTTGTCCACCTGAAAATCTTTCTCATTTCGCTGGTCGGGCTTCAGGGCCTCATATAGCGGTACGTCGTCGTACTGAACATGGTCTGGATCCTTGATTGCTGTGGAATCAGACCGAGATCTGAGAGTCTCTACATTAGAATTAAAGGAGTTTGCCCGGGAACGAAGTGTCTCTCCGTCCATCGAGACGGGGCTGTGAGCGGTGAGAAAACTGCCATTGCTGGAGAAAGGTCTGTCAGGAGAGAGATTGTCACATTCTGATGTTGAAGAGGACGGGCCCGTTTGCTTTTTAAAGAGCAATTAGTATCATATCGTTTAGGGCTTCCGAAGACCTTTTTTATTTCCCCTTTCTTTCTTTCTCTCCCCCCCCCCCCCAACCAAACAGAGAAAACTTACCGAAGTATCGATGAATATTGGGGGAGCGAGCAATCTGTTGTTGTTGTTGTTGTTGGCCATAGCTCACGAAAGAGAATCTGGAGCTCGTAGTCGAAGAGTCGCAGAATGCTCTTGAGAGAAATGGCTTTGATAAAGGAAGATCTGCCGTATGTTGAGACCCGAAAATGTAAAGCGTGGGTAGCGGAAGTATCATGGAGGAAGGGTAAACATGGCACGTCAAAAGCAAAACCAACAGTGAAGAAGGATGATGGATCACAAGAGACGGTGTAACAATGAAAGAAAATGCCAACCCATCACATGGGAAGAAAAATTCCCGATCTATGATATCTTTCGTGTTTTTGGAGACGAAAAAAAAAAGAAAAGGAAAAAGAGAAGCTGTTGCGAAAAAGACAACAGTTGGAAGAAGGGAAGAAACCCAAGCAGTATACATATCGGCATGGACAGCGCGATTTTGACGTATGTATACTCCGTACAAAATCCACTCTTGCTCCCGTGCCTCTGCCCGCCATTGTTGCCCAGAAATGCGCGGCGGAGGCAATCAAGTTCTCAGGTTCCATGGCAATCTGGTCAGTGAGGCAGTGCAAAGAGGATCCTTCCGGGGTTCAACCCGCCACCCCTGGTCGTAAGTTTTGCCCAGCTTGGGAGGGGAGACGGTGGGATGATGAGCCTCTCCTTGTTTTGGAAGTGAATTTCATGGCTGTATCATGTTGCTGCGCTGGAGAGGCGGTCCTCAACCCGCAGCCGCTGTCTTGTCTCTCTGTGCCCTGTCGGCTGGCGATCGAGAGTTTTTTTAAAGTTGCAGCGCGACGACGACAGTCGATTCTTCAGCGCCGCGATTGGCTGGCAGCGGGAGGCCAATGGAACCGCGCGCCCAGCCCCACCACAGCGCTTGCGGTCGTCGCAGCACGCAGTAGCAGGGGAAAAGCTGCGATCCGATCCATGTAACCATCCTTCGCATCGCGAGTCTGAGTCTAAGTCTGAGCCTGAGTCCGACTCTGAAGTCTGCTGCTTTGCTCGATCTACACACACACACACACACACACACACACACACACACCTCTCCACCCAGTCTCTGCATGTATACACAGGTACTCCGTACAGGTTCTTTGCCGCCAGCCACGGACGGGCCTCAGGACACGAAGACTAAAATGCCGACCAGGATCCCGAATCATCCCCCTCCCACCCAAGATCCATAAAGGCGCTTCGAGCACAAGCATCCCCCGACGACGGTCGTGACGAAAATCCCTCACGCATCTTGCTTGGAGGGATGCGCTGGGGCAGACATACATACATGCAATCGGCACACATTTTTCTTTCGGTGTGCGAGGATCAATGGAAGCTCCTCCGCGGTAACATCATACGTACATCACTAATTAGTTACTCCGTACTCCGTATACATAATACTCCTTGTACCCTAGCTGCTTGGATCTTGGATCGGCTCTTGGCCGAAAGTTACTTACAACTTCGACTCTTTCCAGCGATTTCTCCGTCCAGCGTTTCAGCTTTTTCTCTGGTACAACTTTTTTGTCTCTCTTTTTCCCTAACTGAAAGAAAGAAAGAGTGGTAAGACACTTGCTCCCTCTCGGGGTTCCGGTCGCCCGCAAACAGTGCGGCCCGGGTCTTCTGGTTTCTGCGACACAAATCGATGCAGGTCATCACCTCTCCAGGTTTCGACTGAGCAAATTTTTTTTTTTTTTTCTTTTTTTTTTGTCGTTTCCTCTGGGGTTGATGGTATGACCAAGGACCTCCGCTGGACCCGTCCAGATTAACTGACTCCGCCCTCCTTGGCATCTTGGGTCGTTCGATTGGGGACATAAACGAAGGGGAAAAAAAAAATTGTGTTATGATCCGCAAGGGGGGAACCAGGTGGCTCCCATCGGAGAAATTCGTCGAAGATCTCTAAAAGTAAAGTTAGACGAGGATTCCTGTTCTCTTCATGGAGAAGGGAGCCCTCGTCGTGCAGGCATCTTCAGTCCTCTCATAATCATATAGTGCATAGACTATTGTAAGAAGCAAAGCAAATTGAGACAGAGAGAGTGTGTGTATGTGTGTGTGTGTGTGCGAGAAAGGGAGGGATGTTGTCTGGCTGAGAACTCCGGGTTCTCCATGGCTTCGGCTTCCTCTCAGGCTGAATCTTCGGGCAGCCAGCCAATCCGTATTTGCGAAGGGATTGACGGGTACGGAACCGCGCTGGGCAGGAAGGCTCCGGGTGGATGCGGCTATTCCGAGCCTTCTCCCCTCATCATAGCCAGTTGGCCTGACTCATGTCTCATCACGTCAGAACTCAGTGAAAACCGACCAAGAACATCAGCCATTTCCCGCCCGTTTTGCACTTTCGACGCCGCAGAACGATGCTGATGACGGCAAGCCACGCCAGACGACGCAAAAGAACGGTGACTAAGCTCACCAGCCACATATGCCAGCTTAGCCACATATCAGATTATGTCATTGGTGGGAAGATTCGCGTATGATTGGCTGCAGTGGAGGCGCCCAGGGAGCTATGCGCCACACCTTGTCCGGTCAGCCTTTTAAGCGCCGCGTCAAGCGCCCCAGTCGCGGCTTTTCCTCCTGAGAGATCGACGGCCCAAGGAATGGACGGGTCAGAGAAAACTCTCCTGGGCTGACAAAGAAAACTCGATGTGAACCAAGAAAGCTGCAATCGCCGTCTGAGTGAGCGAGGCGGAGCAGCGTGCGGTTGGCTGGTTTTGTGTTGGACACGTTCCATGTTTGAAGGAAAACGACATGCTGATGTGTCAAAAGCCTCGCTGCACGCGGCGATGCCTTTTCCAACTCGCTCACTCACCCCCTTAGTTAGTTACCTAATCCCGCTCAAAAATTCAGGTGCCTCCAACAGACGTTTAGCCTTTATCCGGGGCAGTGAGCAGTTTTTATTTTATTTTCTTTTAATTATTTTTTTACCCCCCTAAACATTTATATTGTAAATTGATTTAATCATCCATTTTCCAAGAAGTAGTTCCAATATCCTACCCTTGGATTACTTGCGCCCAAGCCCTTCTTCACCGAGATCCAGGCATTCTTCTCTCGCTGACCAGCATAGCCATGGCTACTCCGCCCACCTGGGCCAGCGTCCCTCCGGATCCGCGATGCGCCGATATAACGTTATGCTAGGAGATATAAGCTTAAATCCGCTCGCTAGCAACGTCACAGAGCCATTCGCTGCGGCCGTGTGGTCTCTCTCCAGTTTTGAGCATTTTTTTTGGTGAGACGACCGGTCCCTCTGCTGACCGAACCCGTCACGTCAAAGCCTCGGTGAGGGGGGGCTCACTGGGAGTTTATTCTCCTAACGCCGGTTCCCCCGGGGCTGATGGGCAGTAGTTTAATAACCGTATCGGTAGCTCGGCGTAGCTGTAGAGTATCGTAGGTGGCCGAGGCTGGCGGTTCTTTTTCACGAGGTTCTTGGGTGTTCGCGAGGCGCAATGTAACAACTGTCCCGGGCGGCTCCGCCTGCAGATCTCCTTATCCCTCTCCCTCTCTCCATCACTATCTTCTTCTTCTTCTTCACTTTTGGCTATTTTTTTTAAGCTTCAGGAGAATTGTATATGGAGCGTTATAGCAGTCAATGATGATGAGGAGGCAGCAGCACTTGGCATATGTACGACCAACAGCGGGCCCAAACCTCAGCGCCGATTGCGACATTCGGATGGCTGAGGAGCAGGCCAATCGCTTTGTCGCGCTTTCGACGGATTGTTGGGGTGTTGGGTCAACTACATATGTACGACTCGTTCAAGCATCAGCCGAGAATGCCTGAATGCCCTACCTTTCCCCCGTCGTCGTCTGAGGCTGATTCCACAAGGAATGAAAGCAGTGTGTACTCTGTATAGTTGACGGTTTATAGAAGATATGTTGTGCCATCCTGACGTGAGGGTTAGCTGCGCGTGCCAAGAGGTCTCCTCGATGAAGGTAGGCCTTGTGATAGCGGCAGAATCAAGGCTCAAATACACGACTGATGTCCTTCCTAGAAAATGATATATGTCGTAAAGTTTACACAAATGTATGTATGTTCCTATGGGAATGGGAGTTCTCTTTCTAGACTGTCAGGTATGTGAATACTCTAGTTATACAGGACATCATCACAAAACATGGTTAGTTTGAAAAGTGAGAAAAGAGGCATCGACTGTGAGAGTACCACAGATGGGGTATAGAATGCTATTTGAGTGCTCCGTCTGTAAAAGCTATCTGGCAGAGAAAAGGACTCCCTCACACAGAAGAGTACTCTCATAGCACACAATGAAAGAAAGGTGAATAGATGTTTCAATTTCAGTTCACCTACTCCGTATGCAATGTTGTTTTGGAGATAAAAAGCGACTCCTGCATCCTGGCTCAAAAAAATGGCAGCCGAGGAACAGGATTCGGGGATACCGGGCCTGGCAAGGGTGACCCAGGTAGAAAAAGACATCCAACCCAATTCAATTAATGCCAACAGCATCATTCATTGGCAGTTGGTATCAACGGGCGAATCCGCCGTGACTGACCATTCATTTTCCACAGGTTCCCCTTTTTCCCCAGGAACATGAAGATTCAGCTCCCGCTGGATGGCCGCAGCAACCCAATCATTTGGTCAGCATAGGGGAAATAGTCACTTCTCGCCGTCGAGAGGCTTCCCCAGCACTCCGTGCTCCGTCGTTTGTCGAGTCAGCTGCCCGGCGACTCCCCCTCCCCCCTTCTCTCCTGTTAGGCCTCTGGAGTGCTGCCCGGCGACCTTGACTGCTTCTCGCTGCGAAAAAAGTGTTTCTGCGGCTCGACAGGGGCAAAAAGGGCGCCTTACCCGATGAAGACAAGCGCTGAACAAATCTTCACCGGCCTATTCCCGATGTGGCCTAGTGCAATCGAAGCTTCAGCTGTTTGCATTGAAAAAAACAAAATCCGGCGAGAGTGTTGCTTTTCCTTGTGATACTCCCTCCTGACTCGCCCTGCTGCCCTTTCTTCCTGCCCACCACCTCGTTCACTCTCTTTTTCTTTTCCCCCTTCTTGTTCTATCTCTACACTCGCTTTCTCTGCTTTCTGCGTCTTCTTTTCAGGCTGGGGTTCTGGTGGCCAAGGAATTGGGTATCGATTGCTGCGAGTCCTTGTTCCACGACATTTCAAATCGGGCCCTATTAAAACATCCACTTTTCAACACCGCCGTTTCAATTTTTATTTTTATTTTTTATTTTCTTTTTTTTTTGACTCTCTGTTTCCTTTCCTCCAGCTTTTCTCCAGTGTGCGAAGGCCCCGATCAACGCGACCAACTATCGCTACCGTTACCATGTCCCCCAGCGCTTCCAGCCAGTCCCACTCCGTTCGCCGGAGACCGTCGTTTCTCTCCAAGGTCCGCCCAAAGACAGCTGGGGCCGACCAGGGTTCAGACCGTCATTCTGAGCCCTTTCACCCTGCCATCTGGGCCCCTAGCGGTGATGGAAGCTACAAAGAGGCTGTCTCTCATTTTTATCACGAACCAGCCATCCCAAAACGTGCCAACGCCGAATTTCTTGACCTGCCGGCTACCAACGAGCTGGAACCGTCAGAATCGTTTGGCCCCTCGACGACAAGGCGCCATAGCAAGAGTATATCCTCGATCCGATATGGGGTTAGCGAGCTGCGGGCCGCGGTCCGTCGCTTCTCTTTCACAATCCGTCATAAATCATACAAACATTCGTTAGACGTTCCCTTGGAAGAAGGAGCCCCGGAAACCCATCCTGGTGATTGTTCTCGAAAAGAACCGCGACACGGGAGGTTCAGGAACCATCGCATGCACCGGCAGTCTTTCAGCAGTTTTCACGCCCTAAACCGATCCCAGTCGCATACTTCTGGTATCCCGCTACCGATCCCTGCAAACACCCCTGACCTACCCCTATTCCCCGAAGAATTGTCCGGAGGAGAGGCAGCTCGTGCCGCCGCCGCTGCACAAAACGAGATCATTCGTCTCGAACGCGTTACATCGACCACGGAAACCAAAGACTTTGCGATCTCCCAGGGCAATGACACCAAACCGTCCCTCGACTCGGAGAGTGGAATAGAGATCAATATTCAAGATAGCGTCCGTGGTTCAGAAGATGACCTGGATGTTGTACGAAAAGGTGCGTCGCGTACCCTTTCCCCTGCCAGAGCAAGTCTATCTAACGTTGCCATAGACCCTGTGGAGTATCTGCCCACAGAGCTGATGTGCCATATCCTGTCGTACCTGGATGCTGAGTCAGTTAAAAATGCGGAATTGGTTTCACACGCGTGGAATGCACAGGCTTCATCTCGACATGTGTGGAGGGAAGTGTTTCGGCATGAGTACCGTCACGGCTATCGTGCGGCGAGCGCAAAGGAAGGCAAGGCGAAACCGATGGGACTTGGGAGGGTACGGCCAAACCAGGACTGGAAGAAAATGTACGCCGTCCGCCGCGCTCTGGAAAGCCGGTGGAAGGAAGGGAAGGCTGCCGCCATTTACTTGCACGGCCATAAGGACAGCGTCTACTGTGTCCAGTTCGATGAGTATGTGACAATCTAAGCGAAAATGCCTAAATGTCCGTCAAATTAATTCCTCATATAGGAACAAGATCATTACAGGTTCTCGCGACAGGACAATCCGCGTCTGGGACGCTCACTATCCTTGGCCTTGTTTGAAAGTTATCGGCGCCCTTCATGATCGAAGCGACAGTGCGCACATCGGTCCTTTGGCGATTAATCCTCAACCGGACTCTCCCGGAAGCACGCCGTTCATCAGCATTTGCCCGCCAGCAAAATCGGCCAGCGAATTAATGAAAGAGGACCCCGATTACCAGGACTACCATCGCGCCTCGATCCTCTGTCTTCAGTTTGACGAGGAAATAATGGTTACAGGTTCATCTGATTTTACATGCATCGTATGGGACATCAAGGACGATTACAGACCCATCCGTCGTCTAGAGGGGCATCGCGCCGGTGTTCTCGACGTCTGTTTTGACGGCAGATACATCGTCTCCTGCTCTAAAGATACAACCATCTGCGTCTGGGATCGCCAGACCGGTGAACTCGTCAAGAAACTTCTCGGCCACCGTGGACCCGTCAACTCCGTTCAACTACGGGGTGACCTTGTCGTCTCCGCCAGTGGTGACGGTATCGCTAAACTCTGGAACATCACATCCGGTCTCTGCATCAAAGAATTCGCTAGCCGTGATCGAGGGCTTGCATGTGTAGAATTTAGCGAAGACGCGCGCACCATCCTCGCAGGCGGGAATGACCAGGTGATTTACCAATTCGACGCGAACACTGGTGAACTCGTCAACGAGCTGAAAGGCCATAGCGGTCTAGTCCGGTCCTTGCACATGGATAACGAGAATGGCCGTGTGATCAGCGGTAGCTATGATATGAGTGTGAAAGTGTTTGACGCGAAATCTGGAGAGCTCTCTATCAATCTTCCTGGCTGGACCACGAGTTGGATGTTGAGTGCAAAATCGGATTATCGACGGATTGTGGCCACCAGTCAGGATTCGAGAGCCGTTATTATGGATTTCGGCTATGGTTTGGATGGTATTGACCTATTGGAGGAATAGAGAGGACCAGAACTGCCCCGTGGTATTCCCAGGTTCTTTACCTCTTCATTTCGGTTTATTTTACTTTTCTTTTCTTTTCCAACCCCTTCCGTGATGGATTTCTCTTAAATCTTTTTATAGACTGTTTTCTCCTTTTTCTTTTTTTCTCTTTCTTTTTCTTTTTTTCTTTTTATTCATTTATTCACTTCTATTTTCATGTCTACTTTATTTAATGCAGTCTTGGGTTTTTTTCTCGGTTAGATGTGTTGCATTGCGCAGGGTTTGCAGGGGTTGTTGCCAGGAGCATGTCACATGGAGTGTTCACCTTGCATATTTTCTGATATTTCTCTTAGTTGCTTCGCCCCCCGTTTGTCCTTTTTTTTTTCTCTCTCTTTGCTTTAGCCTATTTTGTTCTTCCTTTCCCCTACGCTTTTGATAGACTCGGAGCAGTATTTTGCTATATTTTGGTCCAAGCGAAGTATCCTTGATTTGCTTTCATGATCTTTCCAGCGATATTTATGAATTCAGCCGCTGGCACTGCTGGATCTAGCATTTCAAGTTTTGCGCGTGATGAGGCCTCCCTTTTGAATGATAGTAGGATTCTTTTTTTTTTTTGGGTTCTGCCACTCCCTCTAAATCAACTATGCAGGAATGGGACTAACGGCATATTACTTCTTTTGGGATGAAAACGGGGTTCTTCATACATGCATGTGCTGGCAATTGCGTTGCATTTTGATTCCTTGCTTATTTTGGTTTTTCTTTTCTTCCCTTTTTTTTTTTTTTCTCTCTCCTCTAAATTGGCAAAAATCTACTGAAATCTGATATATTCGGTATTTATCTCGAGTATCTTTTCCTGGAAGGACTGTAGCCTACAGAATACATATGCCTAAACTTCGCCTCCCGTGAGCTTCAGACTCGTTTAACGCCCGCTACCATTGTATAGCAGGAGCCGCGTGGTGTTTGAAGGCGAATTGCGGATCACGGGAATAGCGAGCTCCTTGATACGGGTGCAGACCCTATCACCTGTGATCTTCTCGAGGGCGAGGAGATAGGCACCCACTCCAGATGCGTGGCCTGCAGCGAAAGATGTACCGGAGAGGGTTACCGAGCCCATTCTTCCAGCTGCCATAATATTCTGTCCTGGTGCGTAGACGGCCACTTTTTAACGAAGAAAATTAGCTATTATCTTTCTCCGAGGTGGTTTTCACCGTTTGCCCTTTTTCTTTTTCTTTTTCTTTTTTTTTCCGGGGGGTTGAGGGAAATGTCTTAGTTACCGATTGAACCGTAGTTAGAGAATAGAGCGGCCTTATCGTCCATCGTGCTCGCGGCGATGGCACAAACGCCTCTGGCTGAGGCGGGAGAGTCGTTGCGCGCGTCACGCTGGATATAGTCAGCGGGAGAGAATAAGATCAAATTTACGTACGTAGACAGTGACCCCCGGGGCCGCTTACATTTGAACCACCCACGGCAGCGGAAACAAACATTCCCGCAAGCACTGCGTTCTCAGCAGCCTGGTTAACAGCTTGTGAATAGCCCCCGCCAAGGGAGAGATTGACAACCATGCGCTCCGAGATCCCATGCTCCTTGGCGTATTTAACACACCAGTCAATTCCAGAAATGACATTGCTGTATGATCCGGAGCCGTTGGCATCGAGAACCTTGACAGCGATGATCTTCGCCTTCTTCGCAACTCCGTGTTTCTGGCCTGCGATGAGGGATGCTAGGAAAGTGCCGTGGCCGTTTCCATCGGAGTCGTCGTTGTCGACGAAGTTTGCGCCCCAAGTAGCGCGGCCTCCCAAGTCCGGATTGTCCACGTCGACGCCAGTATCTACCAGGCATACGGATATACCGGCTCCGGCGGATTTGTCATAGACATACGTCCTGGCTCCAGTCTTTTTGTGTGAGATGCGAGCAAGATTCCACCCTGCGTCCTGCTGTTCAACTAAGCCACGGGCGTTTGCGATCCTGTCATGTTCAATGTATTTTACCTAGCTATTTGTTAATGAACGCCTCTGCTGTGATTCCTGTAGGTGCAAGAGGGCGTACAGCTGGATCATTCGCGATCTGGCGGATTGTAGCTTCGTCGAAAGTTCCACTGTATCCCTTCAGGCCGTTAAGATCAAAGGTCTTCTTCAATGAAGCCTTGACGTTACGGTCCTCGTTACGAAAACCGGAGATCTGTGTCGTGTGGGAGTTGAAGGCATCAGTGGAGAGCCCATCCCTCATCACAACAATGTAGGAATCCGGAATAACATCATCTGTGTCTCCTGCTGAGAGGATCTCAGCCGCGTTGACGGCAGAAAGCAATGAAAGAGAGAGAAACAGAGCGACGCTGATGATAGCTCTCATGATGGCTTAACTTCACGGAAAGTATGCACAGGCCCCTTTTGTCGTCGTCATTACGGGATGCCAGTCCAGAGGAAAGAGGAGGGACTTTTTAAATGCAGAGATAGGCGAGCATTCAAACCAGCTGATTGCCGAGCGTGATAAGTATGCATTGCAACGTTGCAACACCATGCTTCGTATATCTCCTTGCAATCGCCCATTGCCAGGGTTCGCTTTCAATCCAGAAAAAGGCAAAAAAAAAAAAAAAGGGGGGTGCTGGGATGCCTGACAATATGCTTGTCGGTAGGAATCCAGACAAGTAGAAGCCATCTTCCGCGCGAATAGACATGGTTAGCATATGGTGATAAACGTCGAAATTGACGTTGAGGACGGAGTAAACCACGTCTGATGTATTTATAGCGGGGGTTTAAGCCGAAACTGCGTGCACGGGCGAAGTGTGCTCCGGCAGATAACGGCATCTCCTCGAGACAGTCGAGGCCGTTACGGGCCGGATAGGGAGGGAGGGTCAATGGCCCATATCCTGATTTCGACGCTTGACGCATTCCGTAACGTGGATCAAAGCCATCAAAATAACTTGACGCGTGGAAATCCAGCCCCTGAGAGACCGACTGGCAGTACAGGCCCAATGGGTTATATCGAGGTTGGTCCGTTTGGGGGATTGACAGCAATGACGGGATCTGTACGGAGTATCTAGGAGTTTGACCTCAACAATGGTGCTGGGCTTGCTTTTGGGGGGGAATTTCTGTTTGGTTCGATTGGGCGGTTGGGCATCCCGAACCTTCAAAAACTTTCCAGAACAAAAAGAAAACAAAACAACAACATTTTCCATACCTAGTTTTTTTGGCCATTGCTTTTTCTTTTTTGCATGACAAATTCTTCATTAATCCGTGCAACTTCACTCTTTCATACCAATCAAGAGAGACAGCCGGCCCTCGCACATCCCTCACCCTCCCCGCCGTCCAGCCCTAAGCCTTGAAGCCGCATCCCCAAGCCCCGCCATCCCAACGAGGGTCTGTATGCATATTTTACCAAGCCAGGCATTTGCACGTTGGATCTAGCACTCACACTATCCTGTAGTCCCTGAAGTCAAGGCCCATCCATCATGAGTGAATCGAGGTATGCCATCTCTTGAGTTCCCTTCTCCGGTCTCTGCCTGCACCTGGTGTCTACTGCCGCCTTCTCCACATCCTCCCCTTTTTTTCTTCCCACCTTCTAGGAGCCTGTTCGGCGAGAAATGCCATTTGCCAGAATAGCATTCCATGGTGGCTAATCTTTCATTCTACGCGTAGACAGGAGTTGCTGGCATGGTTAAACAACCTCCTCCAGCTGAATATCACCAAGGTCGAACAATGCGGAACCGGGTAAGAGCTTCGCCCTCTTTTTACCTTCCTCCGTTCTTGAGTTCCCACCGTCCTACGCCACAAACATCCCAGCGAGTTATATACACGTTGAAGTCGAGATGGATCGAGCGTGTCCCTTTTAGCACCTTAATGTCCACTAAAATAAAGAAAGAAAGAAAAAAAAAAGAAAAGAAAAGAAAAGAAAAGGAAAAGGGTTTGTCGTTTTGCGTGCCGGGAATGATTACTGACACTGGTGGTCTGGGACTTTCTCTATAGGGCTGCTTATTGTCAAGTTTATGACTCGATATTCAGTGCGTGACTTCGATGATTTTGGGAAATATAAGCCGTATTTGAAAGTGAATGGCTGACGATTGGGGCAGTGGACGTGCCAATGTCAAGAGTCAAGTTCAACGTCAACACCGAATATGCCTATATCCAGAACTTCAAGGTCCTGCAGAGTACGTTTGTCCATCCATCAGAGTGTGAGGCTTGCTTTTGTTTTACCCCCGCCGTTGACTGTTATTTCCCCCAGACACCTTCACGCGCCACCAGATAGACCGCCCGGTCCCCGTCGAAGCGCTTGTGAAATGCCGGATGCAAGACAACCTCGAGTTCCTCCAGTTCACCAAGAGATTCTGGGACCAGAACTATCCGGGTGGCGACTATGATGCCGTGGGTCGACGGAAGGCATCCGGAGCGCCTCTCGCTTCCTCCACTTCCCGACCGGGGACGACCTCTGCGACCGGCGCTCGTCGAGGGGCGACTCCCACGACCGCAGCCCGACCGAGAGTCGGCGGCGGAGTGTCGGCCAACACCGCGGCCCTGACGCAGGAGATCAATTCGCAGAAAGAGGCGATCGCCGGGTTGGAGAAGGAGCGAGATTTCTACTTTGCCAAGCTCCGCGACATCGAGCTCTTGCTGCAGCAAGCTGTGGAGGCGGACCCGGAGTTGGAGAAGGACGAGGACTCCCTGATCAAGCACATTCAAGCCATTCTGTATTCCACAGAGGTATGTGCAAACGGTGATGTTCGGACAGCGATTTCTCCTGTGCAAATGTGAATAGCTCTGGTTGGACATGCTAACGGATCCGCGTTTGATTCTTCAATTTTTAGGAGGGCTTCGAGATTCCCGCTGACGCCGAGGCTGTCGGAGAAGAGTTGGAGACGTTTTGAGTGAAGGAAAAAAAGAAAAAAAAAATTTAATAATAATAATAATAACTACAAAGCGGTTGTTGATACCTTTGAGAAGAACTTGGTTGGCTTTCGATTTCCCTCCCCCTCTTTCCCCTTTGCCCGTTACCGCGAGAATAGCAGAGCACGGCTGCATGCGTCTCGTCGCAATCCTCTTTTCCTTTTTCCCCACAGAACTTCGCCTCTAGATGGTGATCCTCCTCTGCCTTTTGCGTATTGTTGTCGCAGGCATATTTGAGCTTGATCCCTTTCTTGCTGCGTCTCAGCTGAATAATAGCCTACAACGTCTTGTACAAGCGTTTTCTTTGTTGGTGCCAGAAGTATTACTGCAAAGGCCAGAGAGAGAGACAGAGAGAGAGAGAGAGAGAGAGAGAGAGAGAGAGAGAGAGAGAGAAAGAGAGAGAATAAGAACATTGTTGCTCCGACAGAGCCGAACAAAAAATATACGGATTAAACACGTAGCAGCCCGTGTTGGCTCGTCATATGTCTTTTCGGTGTCTGATGTCATCCAGCTCGTAACTAAGCCAGGTACGGAGTACTCCGTAACTAGTATCACAGCGAACAGAGCAGGTTAGATCTTCGTATGTGCTCCGTAGTAGTATGCGTCTAGTGTACATACCTACCATGCCTATCCGCTCCTCTCTCTATATATTTTCTCTCTCTTTTCATACATACTTAATTTTACGGTCATCCGGCGAGCTGCCGGCCAAAACGTGTCGGCTCTGGAGCCGCTTTCGGCCCCCCAACTCGCCAACACTTCTCTCCGCACACACTCTCAACGTACCGCCCACGCACCACACGCCGCAACGTGACCCTGACGACTCCGACCTTCTCTAACCCAGATCCTGGTTTACGTGAAGAAGACGCTTGGCGCTCGTTGGGATCGCAGGCATCGCTGCCCAGGGGAGTGACTTCTTAGATGGAGAACTGACCTCTCTGGCTGGACTTCGTCGGATCGCCGCGCAAAATCTGGAACTTCCACACCAAACAGCATCCAGCCCCACCCCCCCCCTCCCCGGGGCTGAAGGAATGGGCTTCTGTCTACGGAGTACAGAAGGCGTCAATGTTCACCCCATCTTCTGTACCGCTTTACGAATCTAGTGCCGAAATGCAGAAGTTGGCTACTGCGGAAATAAAATATGCAGACTCACGTCCTAATTTTCTTATAAATGTTAATATATTTCTTATTATTGATCTCTAACCTACAAGTCAGCCCGACGGTCCCCTCGGAAGAAGACGTTTCATAGATCCGGAACTGGGTTTAGAGCTCGTTCTCCACAGCATAAGACCTCTTTCGCTTCATCTGCCTCCCACGCTGTCATGGCCCACTTCACCATGTACTCAGACGCCATGAGCTGCTTTGCTGCCGGTCTTTCTGCTGGTTCAAATGTCATGATAGCCCTCAGCATATCCTCCAGAGCTTTGAACTCACCATCAGCAACATCCCATTCACATGTTTCTGGTGTTTCACCCCAGCCCATGTCCCACATCTGTTGGTGGAGACAACAGAATACAGGTGTGCTGATGCGCTGGAAGTTGATGATCCATGACACATTTGGGTTAAAGAACTCACTGCAGTTAGTCCAGGAGTCCCACCATCATGGAGGCAGCTGTCCCAAGATGTTGATCATTTCAGCAGTGATGTTGTCTGGGTGAGTGTTCACCCGTGGCATTGTATAGGACAACCTCCAGGGTCCATACATGTGATGTGCTTATTGAATAATTCTTCTAGTGGAGAATACAGGGCTGGCATGTGAAGTGTTGGAGATGGTGTTTTTGAAACAATAAAAGATGTTCTATAGTCTGAGATAATAACCTCAGGATCTGTCACTTCATTTGCAGGCATGTTCCAAATCATGGGATAAATGACATGTGGTGGTGCATGTGGAATACTAGCCTTTCCATCAAGGTGTTGGGTAGGAATCTCATATGGTTTGCCATAGCACTCATACAGTTCAGTTGTACTTAGATTGTCAAAGCCTGAGACACAAAGAAGAAAGTTGTACAGATGGAGATCTGTCTGGATTCAGCAATTTGAATAATCAATCAACAAGCAAGACTGTATTTTATATACCTCCATGGCATACATCATTTGCATGCAAATAGTTCAAGCCCATGATGAGCTGGGCAGCAATTGATCCAGCAGCATCTTGTGGAAACGTAAAGTTTGTACTGTTTCTCCTTGGAATTAGCTATGCTGCAGCCAGCAGGCTCTCCAACCAAGCACTGAACCGCTATTGGTCCGTCGGAAGTTTACCGGAATATAGATATTCCATTCTTTTTTCGGTTTAACCTTCTTTTTTCTCCGTACTCCGCATATCTTAATGTTAAATGTTACTGTATTGCTATTATTAACTTTACTTCGTGTGATTCAGTTGTCCGGCTAGCCGCATTGGGCGTAGCGGCGTGTTCCTGTACGGTACCATGCAAGAGTTTCCCGCAGCTGCAGGTACCGCCACGCCCGTTCGGGAAAGGCACGGCCCCGCCCAGCCAATCGACGGCCGGATCGTGGTTTAATTACACGGTCTTGGCGTGCGTTGAGCTCAGCAGGTCGGCGGCCTTCAGGTCTGCGCGACGCCCTCTTCCTCCTCCAGGATCCTCCCCCCTGCCCTCGTGCAACGTCAAAGGCCGTCCGCCGCTTTGTTCACGACCGTCCCTGCCGATGGGCTCTTTTGTTGCTCGCCACGAACTTGTCGCCAGAAGGTCGCCTGACGGTTCGATCCCGGAGAGAGAGAGTCGATAATGACGCTGCGCAGAACTGTCATCGGATAACCCTACATTGGAAGTAGCAGCAGAGAGAGGGTGTGTGAGAGAGAGTTTGAAAGCTGGGAGGGAGGAAAAAAAAAAAAAGCCGGAATAGTGAACAGCGGAGGGGTGTTGTTGCGGTCGAAGAGCGCACTTCGTTGCATGATCCGGTGCGCAGAACTGTTGACCAAACCGTGACGTCCTTTCTACACCTTTCTCTTCGCATGGGTGTTCTTCTCGCGGAAACGCATCTTCCTTCTTCCGCTTCGTTTCGTTTCGTTTCGATTCATCCCGCTCTTATCAGAAAAGTTTCCCGTCGCTCGCATTGAGTAGACGGCTGCCGTCATGACCTGAGAGACCCCCCCGCCATCACTGGTATTATACCACCCTTTCTGCCCGAGCTTGCGGCCAGGCAATGCGCTAACAGCTGCTGGTGTTGCGACAGCAACCCTTCTTCGTCGTCCCATATCTTCTTGAGGATTGACGTCCATTCGTTCAGCCCTTTCGTCGTCGCGTAGCTCGACAACAACAATAACACAGTCCCTCCTTTCCTCTCACTCTTTTCTTCTTCCTTTTTTTTTTTTCTGCCTCTGCTTTATATTTCAACAACCGTTCGCGCGTCAAACGTTTCTCACTCATTATCAAAACCAACACAGCCACAGCAAGCTTTACATGTTGCATGTGCTTGAAGCATTCTTCTGTCTTTTTCTGCATCTCATATTCCCTCCAAACAAAAGGTTCGACATCCTCTTCTCTCTCTTTTTTTTCGCGATTCCATCCAAGGTGACTTTGTTTGATTTTCCTCTTCTCGATTCCAACCGATAAATCCACCCCAAAACAAAGGCGAGCCGTATTCCACACCGCTGCCTCTTGTCATTCAATTTGGCCCAAGAGGCTGGCTTTAGTTCCCTGATTTGGTTCATTCTGCCCTTTATTTATCACTGTTAATTCGCATAATCCATATGCAGCAAAGGCCTGCACGGATAGTCACTCTCCCATATTTGTCAGGGATCTTCTCTCAAACAACTGTGGTATTTTTTTTTAAAGGACAAAAGAAAAGAAAAGAAAAAGTTATACTACCTTTACAATGGGCCACCATTGGGGAAGGAGACATAAAAGCAAGCATGGAGCTTTATTTGCAGCAAACTCTAAGAAGCTGGACGAGGATGAAGCTGCTGTAAGAGGTGGAGGTCTTGTGCTTCCGGAACCTGGGGAGGATGACACACCGCCGAGAAGCGTCCATGCTGATGGAGACTCACACCACAGCACAGACCCAGCCCATGTGGCCGAGCAGTTACACGGACGACTGACGAAACACATCTATGCGCGTCAGGTTCAGTCAGCGTCAGACTCTGTGCTTGTCAAGACTGTCATCCATCTTGTTCGCCAGAATGGCGCAACTATTGGAACATATACACTTGCAACATTGCCAGCAACTGTATCGAACTCAGAGCTTGGTGTCGTCACAATTCCCTCGGAAACAAACTCTCCAATTATTGTGCCCTCCCTCTCGGAAGAGACTCCAGCATCCCAGACGGCTCCCGCCACTGTTTCAGCAACTGGAATACCATCCTTGTCTGAGGTTCCAACCCTCTCCAGCGTCGTCGACTCGGCGTCCATCCCTTCAGCTTCACAACCACAGCCGCCCACATCTGATCCTGCATCATCCGCGATTATTACCCAGCCCACAAATATCCATCTAGCCCCTTCTTCGCCTACCTCAGCCGTCCCTATCGTGTCGTCGCCGCCACCCGTCTCTTCGGACGTTTACCCTGATACACTTTCATCCGCCAGCTCAACCCTCATCGTCCCGTCTCCGTCAGACAGCGAGACCGTCACTATTTCCCCAAGTATCCAGACCACTATTCCATCGATCTCTACGGATTCAACTTCTTTTGTCTTCACGAACTCCACTTCTACCCCTACTACAATAACATCGACCTCGTCATTCTCAATTGCTACTTCTTCATCCACGTATTCGAAAACATCGACTGTCCTCCACGTTGGTGGGGGTGGGATTTTCCCAACCGACAACGGTGGATCGGGGCCTACCGATTCCTTTACTGAGAATCAGGATTCAGACAGCGAAAATCTCTCTCCACCACGCATTATCGGAGCTGTTGTTGGCTCGGTTTCTGGTTTCGTTCTGATCTTACTGATAATCCTGTTTGCAATCCGTTCTCGGAAACGCAAATCTTCGCAAACCCGTGCCCTCTCTGATACCTCAGACCGGGATTTGATGGTCGGAAGAGGGCCTACCGCGCGTAGTGACTTTAATATCAGTCCTCGTTCGAGCGTTATCATCGCAAACTTCTTTGCCCCAGCGCGAGCTCTCAGCCGATGGAGAAACTCGGGCCAATTGATCCGATCGGAAGAATTCACACCAGCTCAACGCGGCTTCGAAAAACTCGGAGGCAGAAAGCTCAAGTCCGTCTTGGAGACAGGCGGCGATGGCTATGATAACGAGTTCGGGGTCAGCGAGAAAGTTTACGAGTCTGGGGCTTTGGCGAAAGAGTTAGGAAGAGTCGGTGTCGCATCTCCATCATACAACCCCCAAACCGACAAAGAAACCGGTCAATCTCGAAGTATTCCCTCTCCACCGCTTGGTCGTCCTGCGTCGCGGGACAGCGACACATCCGAACAAGTCTTGTTCCGCCCATCTCCTGCGAGAGCAGTCACCACTGAAAGCTCTATCTCCGGAGTGAGCCTGCCCACCAGTGCTAGAACCGGCATCACCACTCGGACGTCGCAGCCCCACCCACCACCACGCTCGCCGCTGAGAACTTTCTCAAGCGATGCTGTGGGTAGAAGCCATCATAGCGCGGACGGCAGTCGTGCCAGTCGATTCACTGAGGGAATTTAAATTGTCTTTTTTTTTGTTATGTTGTGTCCATGTGGAAAATACCGGATTGCGGGGCATATTTTCTGGTGATGGTTTATGCATTTTACCCCTTTTTTTAACCTTCTGTCGGAGTTTATATTTTGCTGTCGTGTGCATTTTTTGAGTCTTATGGTCATATGAGGTCGCGTTGGTGGTGCATTTTTAACAACGTAGTGTGCTTTGTTTAACCCCCTTATGATCATGGTTGTTTCCGTCACTGACTCCTGTCTTCTATTGTTCCTTTTAATGAAAAATGGGAAAAGAAACAGGTGATCTGCTGTCTGCAATGCTTGCATGTTTGTGTGAATAGCGTAGCACTGTTAATATGAGAGAACAGAAAGGGCGGCTTGTGCCATCACCCTCCCTTTTTTGAGAGAAAGTTATCAGTGAATTCATGAAGGGCTGGAGTCAAATAGCTTGGCCCCCCTGAGTATAAATACCATGATATCCCTAGAAGTCCATGTCGTTTTCAATTCCTCCACAACCATATCGCCTGCTCTAATCCTCTTGTTCTCAAGCCCCCCCTTCTTCTTTCGGTTCTGGGGAAACTTAATTGGCGGAATATCTCCCGGCATTTTGAGACTTGGTTGCTTCGGATGGTGGGGAGAGGGGGGGTGAAGCGAGAGAAGAACTACCGCCGTCAACGCCAACAGGGAAATAGGTCATCCCCTTTTCCGCAATCCCTGCTGAATCGTCTTGATGGCAGCACAGACCGCCTCCATCTCCGCACGCAGGTGTCTCTCCAGTGCCTCTGTGACCGGGGGTGGGCTTCATACCTGCTTGGTCGACACTGCTTGGGCTTGCTGTGTACGCATGGGCCCTGATTTGGGCCTTATTTTGGACTTGGCCACTCTGGTTGACTTGCGCTTGGGCGCTTTGACTCTGGGCGGCTTGATCCTGGCCACCGCGGTTCTGGTCTGCATAGTCCTGACCATTATTGGTAGCTGTGCCTGAAACCCAGGGATGGTGATGGACGGGTCAGTCAGTTAACCCTGACCCTAAGTTCAACACACAGCACCGTATGGTTCCCCGCCTGCCAGCGGTCGTCAGCGATGTCTTTTACAACAAGCAGCTGCAGACCGCCAGCCCCTGAACCAGGACACGGTTACTGTGTCCTAGAGGATCGAACAGGTCAATTTACGGATGTTTGGGGTCCATTCACTCTCGCTCTTCAACATTCAGAATGGAGAGGCCGAGGTTTATATGACAAGCAACTATTCCAAGTTTAACCTTGTCAACCTGGGTTGGGTGATGGACTTTGTAACCAAGCTTCTGGGGCCCTGCTGTCGTCGCGCAGACCAGCCTATTGCTATTCCATAGCTAATGGGTAGCTGAATAGCTCAAACGTTCAAAACCACATCGGTTTACCCTTGCTTCTTGCTCGCTCGAACAGATCCTCTCCCCGGGCGAAGGTAAGACCACAGCCTAGCAATACTGAAGCAGACAGGTAGCTAATGAGTATTCGATTAGTAAAGGGGTTACACTGCTCAGGAGGTGGATGAAATTATGAAGACGATTACTGACATGGATGATGATGATGATGTCATAATTCATGTAGGTCAATTTTCAGACTTGTTGCCAGTCCATAGCTGATATCTAGCAGGAAATACTTGGTGCAGCAGCTGCTGCTGCCCACTGACCACAGGATACCTGTGAAGAGGCGGCTTGATCTGAGAATGTTTATGCTGAGATCACGCATGAAGAAATCATGCAAAAAGGAGTTGTTGAGGGTTCCCCAACAGACCCGATTGTCTCCCATTCCTTTTGTAGATTGGTGGTGACAAATCTCGTGATGCCAGCAATGTGAGCAGATTCGGTTAAAGTCGAAGCTTTTCATGGTGGAGTGATAAAATCCAAATCCCAGATCAATTGGGAGATCTCCTTCATTATGAGAGAGTGGTTTCAACTGAACAACACCATCATCTGGGCCCCTGACACTACCAATGACATAATGAACAGTGCCTTGGCACACCTAGAACACCTGCATGCCACCAATATGCGTCATGAACTGCCGACCGAATTCATAGGACGCCCGTCGACCCTTGAGATACGCACCAAGCGCTATAACCTGGAGGAACTGCTGGAGATTGCTGAGGAATCCTACTGCAACCTTCAAAAAGAACGGGAAACTACTGGATCTGTGGTCATTCCTCAGCTTATGTGCTGGTGGAATGATAAGCTCCAAGGCGCTTCCGCTGTGGTACTTACTCGCGTCAATGGTGAATATGATATGTACTATCATCACCAACGAATGATGGGAGGCAGGGACAACTATGGTTGGCTGAGAACCATGTACCATAGCATTGGTCCACAGCTAATGCGCCAGGATCCAGCACACTACTTGTGGTACATACTAACTAGGCCAGATCACGCCTGGAAGCTAGTCTCCTACCCCTATTATGCCAAGTACGCGAAGCCAGGAGATAAGACAGGATTCTGCCACATTGATGTTAATGTTGCTGACACCATTACCAACTGAAGGGGAGTCAATATGATCCAAGGATCATTAACCTTGACTGCTGAGGAACCAGGAGATTGCACAGAGATACTGCAGTCTGCCAGGGATGCACCACTTCTTAGAGGATTGATGGGGCTTAGTTGAAGAATGAGGGCCTATCCACTGATGGCTACATCCATTGCATCAAAGACACCATGTGTACCAAAGATGATGAAGAAGTTTGGTATCAAATGGACTGATGTCATTTGCAAACCTGGTGATGTCTGAATTTCAAGCCCCTTACTTCCCCATGGAGCCCATGGTCTGTGCAAAAAAGTTCGCTGTACTAAGCTTCCTTGGTATGTGGCTATGCAAGGGGATCACGAGCACTTGGAGGTCAATGACGCCGGTACCTGGTCTCAACTATCCGCTGCGCATAGAGACCTAGTGCCAGGGCCGTCATCACCATCTGGCCATTCAAATTGTTACGCTTCAGTTCCATATCGATTTCCCACAGCCATTCAATTACAAGGTCTAGAAGCCATTCCGGACGCCTTAGTTGGCCGTGCTAGATGGGACAATCCTACAGTTATTGAGGAACTGGACATTCTTTTTGGCCCTGACGAGAAGAAGGCCCAACAGTTCATTAGCAACTGGCGCCTAAAGGCCACACAAATTGCCTTGGATACCATTGTCAAGTCTTACCAAATTGAGAAAAGAGCCTTTGGTAAGACGAGTGTTGATAGCGAGTACGATATGTACTATAGTAAAAATCTTGAAAAGTTCTGCGATAATCTCCAGGGCTCCCGCAATGCTTGCTTGAACTGCTCATGCGATAAGAAGCATTGCTGTGACTTTCCCAAAACAATGGTTGATCAGGTCCTCAAGTTGCAATGTGCATATATCAAATGGACAACTACCACTAACACTATCATCAAGAACACTCACAAAGTGAGTGTTGTTGCTTTTGCTCAAGCCATTAATAAAGAGTTGAAAACTATTCTTGCAAATATGTCAAAAGAGACTCCTTCTGTTAATGACAAGTCAGACTTAGCTGCATTAAACAGTAAAGTTGTTAAAGCCCGGCTAAAGGACCGAGTCAAGCGAGTACCGGATGAAATGGCCGCCAAGCGAGAAGACGAGTTAGCCATTTGGCGGGAATCCCAGATCAATTGGGAGATCTCCTTCATTATGAGGGAGTGCTTTCAATTAAACAACACCGTCATCTGGGCCCCTGATACTACCAACAACATTATGAACAGTGTCCTGGCGCACCTAGAAAACCTACATGCCGCCAATATGCGTCGTGAACTGCCAACCAAATTCATAGGACGCCTGTCGACCCTTGAAATACGCACTAAGTGCTATACCATGGAAGAACCGCTAGAGATTGCTGAGGAATCCGACTCCGAAGAAATCGAACCTGAGGATAGACATCCGACTCATACCGGCGTCACGCCCACCAAGAGGAAAAGAAACACAGGCGGGCGACGTCGTAAGAAGACCTCCAACAGATTTCTGGGATCTTGAAAGAAATTCAGGAAATTCAAGAGATCAACTTCATTGCAGTCTTCAATATAAAGAATACTCTTACTGTAAGTTCACTTCACTTCTCATCTTTGAGATGAAGATTCTAACGTTCAAAAGAATATGCTGCAACTTATTAATTTAAATTTTTGTGCAGTGTCATAAACTGTTCCTGAAACCTTGACTCTGATCAGAAGTCTTTAATTTTCTCTATTTTCAATTATACAGTCAGCCTGCAAACCTACCTCTGGTATGTGTGCAAATAACATTTCTCAAAGTATACTGGCCCCAGCGAGGAGGAAGATGTCTTCCCATGTTCGGTGTGCGTTTATTCCATGTTCACTGATCATCTGGACAAAAAAGAGCCATGCGTGTGGAATGCAGAGAAAAACTCTTGCGAGCACTGTTTGGATCGTGCCACCCGCAAATGCCGCGATGTAAGAGGGTTCCCACTCGTTTCCTTTGCTATTCTAATGTGGGTATAGGTTCATGAGTCTGCAACCAACCTTGTACGGAAGTTGTTGCGTCTTCGTGAGAAATACTTGGATCTCACTGCCACAGACTCTCATCAAGTGATTCTCGCAAGAGAAATGTGTGGCTTGGTACGCGATTATCATGGTTTGGACTCTGGCGTTGCAAAGCATCAGAAGGGTTCAGCCAAGAAGATGTACACTTCACATTGTCACGCCTTGTCCCCAGTTGCTGGTCCTTCCACAAAACATCATCATTATTCAACACCATCACCTGGCAACATCCTTAAAATTTCTTCCAATGCAGTCCCCAATGATGCTGCTCAAGAGCCTTTACATTTCCTTACTCCCATTTGTGCTGGAATGTCGCAGATCCATGTTGAAGTGGGAAATGTACAAGTGTCTATCAATCAGCTTGCTGCGCGTTTGGCTAGCGGAACAAAGGAGCTCCATGGTACAGCTGAAACTGGTTTTGTATGTTTGCTCCATTATCTTGCTCATCCCAGACTAATTTTTGCGTAGGCCAACATTGTGTCCACTATTGATGGTCTGACCGATGCCGTTACTTCTGGTTTCCAGAGTGTTGTGGATGTACTTCGCACATCTCATTGTCCTTCTGGCTCTGCGCCTGCTGTTTTACCTTCATCTGTTGCTACACCGTCTGCTGCTGTGCCGTCAGTTATGGTGCCATCTGTGGTTGTGCCGCCTGTTCCTGCGTTTATTTCAACAGAGCAACAAACTATAGCACTAAAGACTGGTGCATCTTCTTCTTATAGTATGACTTTGATACAAACTGTTGTTTCTGTAAAGTCAAGCAGCCACAAGTCCTCAGCAGTCAAAAATCTCAATGAAAACAAGAATACCAATGACAAGAATGCTGAAAAGAATAATGCTAACMAGAACAATATCAACAACAAGAATATTAACAACAAGAATGCTAATAAGAAGAATGATGAGAAGAGTGCTGAAAATAAGAATACTAAAAAGGCTGATGCCAATATTACTTCTGATATTACGCCCACAAGAGCCAACCCCCAGAGCCGCACGGAAAGGCAAAACCCGCGCCGAACCACTGAGCGCAGAGCGCGTAGTGAAGGATTCCAAAACTGGCTTTTTGGTTGGAGTGATCTGTAAGATTGAGGTCAAATAAGGTTGCTGTGGGTTAAGACAGCACCGGCTTTGTTTCCGCTTCCTCGACAGGATGATATTTGTGGAATAGCGATGTAAACCGGGCGATGCCGCTAAAGCTTTAAGGACAGTGGGAATTATGTAACTACAGTAGTTATCTACTTTTCAGAATCAAGAAAAGATTCTTTCAATTTGAAATAAAACCCCCAGTCTCATGGTTCAAATTCCAGTTATGTGTTAGAACTGAGCTCATTTCCTGAAAGGAAGCATTTTTGGAAGGGTAATAGAAATCCTACAGTGCTCCAACAGTTCTCTATTTGAATTATGGTTCTCACACAATTCCTAATTAGGTTACTGTGAGATCTCAGAAACATAAGGGTTTTTCAGACCAACAAAATCCTGATATGGTCCAGTATCATATTAGGATAATAGTTATTCTGATCTGGGGCTCAACCCTCCCCCCAAGCCAGTCAGTCCCTACATCCTACAACAACAATGTTCATTCGATGTTAATCATTCAGTTAGTTAGGAAGCAGACCAATTGATCATTATGGAGTACATTACAGTTCCCTCTTAGAGCTGCCTGGGGATAAAACTGGATTTTGACACATTGATGTTAACGTTCCCTGTCACCCTGTTGGTTCTGTATTACAGCAATGGCGCTGGTTCTCCACCGGCTGAGTCCTTGTTCCCTGCTGCTAAAGTTCCGCAAGCTCTCTCACCCCTTGGACCCGTTTCTAATCCTGGTACCGTACCTGGCGCAGCTGGACAACCTCCACGTAGACGACCCGGGGGGGCTTGGAGTTATATCAGGATGTAGGACGGAGAGATCAATGCAACAGTTCACTTTACTCACCTTTCCACTGATGTGTTCCCGAAAAGGAGGAGAGTGTTCATTCGGGGTGGATAGTAAGATATGGAGAAAGAACCGCAAACACAGGCGAATAACATGCTTGATGGAAAGGATAGTCTTGTTACAACTCCCTTTTCTCAGACATTACTCGTGGAATGTAACAGTCCACTCGCCTGATGGTGATAGCAAGGGAGAAGTATGAATTCCAGTGACATTTACTTCCAGGTATACTTGCTACAAATAATAATTATTAATCACTGTGCTTGATGGATAATCTAAGTTGTCCTTTCAGACAAGAGGCCACTAAGGCTACAGTGAGGCAGATTTCTCACTTTCGTATCAGTTAACTGCTTATTGGAAAACAGGGTATAACCTGAGAAGTCAGCAATTGCTGGGCCTGATAGATAGGCAAATTTCTTGTAGCTGACTTGTTCAAGCAAGAACCCAGAGCAAGATGTACTCTAGAGTTAAATTATTGGCATTGTTTGAAAGAAGATCCGAGAACAGGTTAAAAAGTTTTCAGACAAAAGGATGTCAATAAGAGGGTGTCTCTTGGGATTTTGTGCATACAACAGATACAAATATTTAAATGACTCAGTTCCCCTGTGATAAACTTAACAAGGTCATCAATAGAGGAAAATTAACTCATTAGCCTGTCTCTAGAAGTGAAGCAGTTGCTCTCAGTTTGAAGAGTAGTATCTTATAGTATGAATTCTACTCTTCACTATGAGGGCAACCCGTCCAGGCCGCAGTGAAAGGCTCCACTTTGCCTATTGAGATAGGAGATCTTTCACTGCGGGTCCACTGTGCCCTCAGTTCCAACAAAAGATCAGAGATATTGGTGTCCTGGAGAAACAAACAAAAGCACCAGATGAAAACTTAGGGCCGAGTCAAAAGAAAGGGGAGGACTTTTGAGTTTTCGGGGGGCGAAGATCACCAAGACGCAAGGAAGCTTGAACCCTGCAACCTTAACTAGTTAACCGCATGCATCTCGGTCCAACAGGCACTGCAAATAATGCGGCTGATCTTCCAAGTGATATTCGTGTGTTTCTTGCCCCTTGACGGCAGATGCTGTTTAGGTGAAGCTGGGGTCCAGCATGCCCACACATCAGTTGCGGCCTACCTGCCACGGCCCACGCACAAAAGCTTTCACAATGGGAATACTCCCGATGAGAGGCAAAGAAAATTAGAGAATATAGAATGGAGCCTGGGTTTTACTCTCGACATTGCACAAATGGAGAGCGAGGCCCCACTCCTATGCTTTACTCGGAACCCGGCAGCGAGGGAACAGTACAATACAGGGAGAAGAAGATACTGTCCAACATTCGATCCATTCTGTAGAGATAAAAATGAACTGCTTCCGACAGATAGATACAAATGACAGACTTCTCGAGCTAAGTCTCAGAGCCATAATGAACGAAAAGAAGCCATTTTCAAGTACAATGTGATTCCTACCAGGTCAATCTCCCAAGTGAGCATTCCTCCACCCTCGAAAGATGCCATCTCGTTCGAAGAGACTTTTACGACGGTACCTTGTTGGTTGACGTATTAAGTTGAGGATGTTGGACTTCTATTGCTTGCCCAACTTCGGAAGAGTTGGGGGGCGTCCTTTCGCACGCTCTGCCGGAAACACTTGTCATCACTGGACGAAGGATTTACTTCTGTAAACACAGAATGGTTAGCCTTTCCTTTAGTCTGCAAAGAGGCACCCTCCAAAGGACCGGGGGAAGAAGAACATACGCCACAGGTAGTGCAGTGGCAGGTGTCGCTAGGACAACTGCAGTTCTGAGGGCCGTTGCAGCTACAAGAGCCTGTTCCACATCCGCAACCCATTTTGTGTTGAAGGTATTTGGAGACTTTGTTTTGCAAAGAAGATAATGTGTCACAATCGCTGGTATTATGAGATTTGAGGACTTGCTTATGAAGAGTTTAGAAAGTGCTTCGAGGGGGTGGGAGGCGATGGCTTTATACGGATTTATCTGCGGCCTTTTCGCGACGTGGAACTCGAAGCTACGTCATTATTCATCATCCATGAAAGCCAAAGGAGCCGAGATAGAACGTCATTCCTCTCCGCGCAAACTCTCCCGTTTCTTTTGGAACCGTGAATAATAGACTCGCCTGCCAGACACCCCCGGACACCCGCGGACACCAGCCTTCCCAGCGACGTTCTAGAAAGCGCGTTCAGACGTGGAGCAAACCAAGCGCCGAGACTCCACCTTCATCCCTGACAAGTTGCGTGCCCATGATGCAAATGCAACGTGAAAAGACGCATACAAAACATGCGGAAAAAGGAGCAAAAAGAGGCTATCTGAAAAAAGAAAAAGGAGATTCGACGTGAAAGTATGCCCATTCCCTGCTAAAACGCATCGGAAACATTAAAAAAAAAAAAAAAAAAAAAAAGCAAAGCTGGGTGCCTGATTCCGTCCCGTGACGCGTATGTATTCCCAGCCAGTTCCGCGCCGACACCCATGATGCAGCATGATTTCATCAAAAGAACGTGAAACATATCAACGCCTGCCACCTGATCGAACAATCCCATCGGCAGCTGCTTTGCCGAGTTTCTTCCTGCAGTCTGGGCAGTACCACTTTGCAGTACGACTTGGCACCTCTGTCAGCCCGACACATTCCAGATGGAACCATTCTCTGTCACACTGGATCGCCGTGTTAGCACTAGTGTCTACACAATCAATGTTCGTCAACAGGCAGAGAGCATCAAACCAGAAAACTCACATCATTATCCTCACAGCAAATCATGGTCCCAAAGCTAACGTCTCCGCAGATGCAGTATCTCGGTTCGTTCGGATCGATCTCTTCAACCACTCCGTCTTCGTCGATTCGATAACCATCTGGTAGTTGTGCGTCTTTGGGGTTTTGATCTTTCTTCTTCTTGGCCGGCTTCACCTTGCGTCGACCAACGCTAACCGCTGATCCTCCGTCTTGGCCAGCCGTGACGGGCCCGGGTGCAGGACGTTTACTCCGTCGACTTGCTGCGGTGGTGCCCAGTGCTACAGTTGGTGCGATGGCCCCCGCATCGGTAGCTGCTGCTTTTCCCGGTGTCATGCTCTTGCGGTGGAGCGCCTCACGGCCCCCAGCTTCGGTTGATCCCGCCGTCGCAGACCGGTGACGGGTGGATTTTAGGCCAGTTGGTGGGGTGGAGACTGGCTGGGCTTTGGATGAGGCTGATGGTCCACGCCCGCTTCGGGTGACTGGGCGTTCAGGCTCAGCAGAGGACGGGCCCGGGGTTCCCTTCGCTGAACCTGACGGTCCTAGAGAAAGTGAGAGCTTTGCCGTTGTAGTTTCAGCAATAGAGCTTTCATTAGAAATAAGGGCAGGTTGGGTGAGCCTAAGCTTTTTAACATTAGTTGTTCCGGAGACAGCCTCGGAAGTCAAGGGCTCCACGTCCTCCTCCTGAGCATCAAGAGCTGCTGTCTCCTCGAATTTCCTCTTCTTGGAGGTAGTTTTTGGTTTTGTCCTAGGTTTAGCTACGATACCGTTAGCAATGGACGAATCTCCTGAAAATCCAGTGTGAACGTTATCCACGAGAGTGTGATCGGCAGAGCTAGAGAATAGGGTTTTAATCGTTGACCCGATATCACCGAGTCGCTTTGCTGCCAATTCCGCTTCCGCTGCCGCCTGTGCTGCTTGCTCTCGTGCTTGGGTCTCCCGCTTCAGCTTCTTCGCCTCGTTCATTTTCATACCTCGATTGATCAGCTTGGTTTCTTCCACCCCGGTGGTTCCCATGTTGCCGTGCACGTCGCTTTTGCGGGTAAGTTTTCCTTGAACGTAGTTGTTCATGACATCGTCACAGTCGATGAGCTCGGTGCCTGTTGATTCAGCCTTCTCCCTTGCTGCTCGATAATTATCCCATCCGCGGCCCAGTTCTGAGAGCTCACGATGGATCATGACCTCACTCGGCTGCCAGAAGTTGTTTTTCTTCATCTTTTTGCGAAGACAGGCCATTTCCCAATCTGTTAAGCGCAACCATGGAAGAAACTCGCTGCCTATTTTTGCATCTGGAGGAGGAGCTGATAGTGCTGCAAGGGCTCTACTCGTAGAGCGTTCCGCTGTGATATGTTCACCCTCTGCACCTTGCAACGTTCTGGGGTTCCTTCTGCCCTTCTTTTGCTTGGCCCCCTTTTTCTGCCCCTCCTCCACGCCTAGCCCAATAGCAGCGTCAGCATCAGATCCTTCCACGCTGGGTGCCACTTGACTGGGATCAAACGCCGTAGCACGACCACCCCTCGCTCCTCTCTGAGCAGCGCGTGACTTTTGCCTAGCACTGTCAAGGCGGAGTGTGATACGCGTAGGTGGCTCTGTTTTCTCGACTTTAGCCCCGGCTGCGCCATCTTTGGTTTCGGGAAGGTCAATGGCGAGCTCGCGTGCGGTGGTAATTGAGAGTGCAACGAGTTTCGATTTGATGCTCGCTAAACGGTTGAAATGGCGGTCCACGACATCGTAAAGGCGAGATGCCTCCGCGAAGGAGGCCTCGCGCGCATTGATCGCTCGTTTCAGCTGTTCTGAAATCTGGATGCGCAACGCATGCGGCTCCGGGCGCGTTTCTTGGGGTAAGTGAGGTAGTTGTCCATAGGTCTTGGTAAGCTTGTGAACGGCGTTGGCCGCGTCCAGGTACTTTTTGTCCAGGTCGCGAACTAGGGTCAAGGAGCGGACTAGGTCAGAGGGAAGGTACTCGGTGTAGTCGATGAAATCGGTGACGGTGGCTTGTGCGTCGGGGTCCGAGGGGCCCTCTAGGAAGAGCTCGCCCGGTCCATGTGGTGGTCCCAACCCGCCCGACATTCTAGCTCAAGCTACAGACGAGTAGGGAGAGAACGGGAGGGAGTAGCTAGCTCAAGGCCGGAGATCAGGCACAGCAATGTGTCGCTTGTCGACCATTATCCAGCGCGATAGAGGCCAATCTCTGGCCCCTCACAAAACAAGAAAGATATGTAACCAGCAATGAGCGATCCAGGACCGCAGAAAGAGGAGCTGGAGCAACCTGAGATCATGTCGTCCCCGTGGAGAGGCGTGTCGTCGGCTGGGCAGAAGGGCGAGCGAAAAGGTTGCCACTAAGAGAAGAAACTCCGGGTGCTGATTGGTCGGTCGGATAATCAATCATCCATTATCGGATTAGGTAATCTACTAGGTGACTATTAATCAGTCCCCTTTTTTTGCACAGTTTGCTTTTCCTTGGCATTAGCGGGATGAACAAAAAAGCCCACTTGGAACGGTTCGACTCCGGCATCAGGTGCCTTTGGTTGCTGGGTACGTCTGTTTGGACTGGCCAGCCGGTGGAAGGCCGTGTCTGGCGGAAGACAACCCTCTCTCTGTGCTCTTTGATCTAGCCGGCCTTGTCAGCTAGGGAACTGTCCTGTGCTTTCTTAGTTCTGTCGTGACAATGCCATGTATATACTACCTCTGCTCCGTAGAACAATCCGGACGCTCACTTTTACGAACAAGAGACAATGCTCACAGTATCTCATCGCCATGGCGATCATTCAAAACAATTCTCAATGTTATAAAAGATTGCATTCTTAGTCAATCTCTGACCTAAATTTGTTACTATCTTTTCTTCCTGTCACCTTTAATCACCAACTTTGGAACCCTTTCTCTACATCACATATACCATCTGGTGCCCTGTGATCTCAGCCCCTACCCATGGGCCTCTCAGATCGGCTTCGAATGCTCTTTATGGGAGCAGATGCACCCCTCCTCAACACTGATGTTGGCTTAAATACCGACGAAGAACCCCCTGAACTTGCTTGTGAGGCCGCTTCAAATAATACAACACCCGCCCCTGCTCTGCCTATCAGGTCCGAGCCAGCCATGCGCGGTGTCACCGATCAAGAAAGCGACTCAGATTCAGAGTTCGAAGATGAATACCTGGCAGCTTTGGCGGCTTCAGCCAAAGATAAAAACAAAGGAAAAGAACGTGCTGCAAAGCGTGTCGAGGCGACTTTCGAGAATGGTCGAACTGAGAACCCAGAGGCAGCGTCGCGGCAAGATATCGCAGAACCGCGCTATTATTGCCCGGCTGTGGTCATCAGCCGCTTTCCATATAAGTATCTCAAGGGCGATATCGCAGACAAGGTCGCTAAGGCCGTTTTCGATGACGGCAAGTTCTGGGACCGGGAATGGGATTTGTACGTATTCCCTCCATCACTCTGCTTACCCTCTATTTTCCATTTTCCGGCTTGCCAGTGGTTTTAGGATACGCCTATTTCGCGAGCAGCGACACCACAGAGTCCGCATGGATGTAGTCCACTAACACAGACCTCTTCATAGGTTTTATGTTTTTCCTCCACGCTCGATCTCTCCAAATCCCCTTCTCCTTATTCCTCAGATCCAGGCTCAGCAGCTCATCGACGAGATCAACAAGAAGTTCCATTGTGGAGCATCTATTCCTGCACAGGTCGACATGGGTGTCTCGCTTCCCTTTGAGAATGACGGCACTCCGCTTCCGCAATTTCTTGGAAGATCTACCAGCCTGGAGCTCAAGGAGAAATTGGAAAGAGATATCCCTCCTCGACGCAGCCGTCGTGAGGACCCAAAGGCGTCGCTAGACGCAGGCGATCGTTCTTCTGCTGCTTTCCAAATTAAAATGGAAGCTGCCTTTAGAGCTCTGCGCCGCAAGCCCAAGGCGAGTAAACTCAAGAAACAGCGTGACCAGGCTCTCAAGCTCCAGATTGGGTACCGTGCACTCAAACGTTTGCAGTGCTACCTGGGCTTGCGGGGGCGTATTCCTCGTTTGAGCGAACAGGATAGCAACGATCCGGTATCTTTGGAAGAAGAGGGCAGGGCCATCAATGCCGCCACCTTCGCAGCCATGAAAATGATGGCACTGTTGAACGTCAACGAAGAAGCGCCCTTCCCATTTGCGGACGAACCGATCTTCATAAGCGTTGACATCGAGTCGAATGAAGTCGCACACAGTCAGATCATTGAAATCGGCGTCTCAAGTTTGGATACTTTGGATCTGATCAGGCTTCCACCCGGCAAGGGAGGCTGCAATTGGATGAAGAAGATCAAAACTCGTCATTTCCGCATATCCGAATACCGCCATGTTAGGAACCAAAACTTCGTCATTGGGTGTCCTGATCAATTCGAGTTTGGAGACAGTGAATGGATCTCGATCAAGAACGCAGCCGCAGTTCTGGAATCGTGCTTCCGGCCTCCATACCTCAAGAATGTCCCCTTTCATGGAGCACAAGCTGGAGGTTTTGATCCTCAAAAATTTATCACGAGCGTCGAAATGAGTGACGTATGCTGGAGTCCCTGCCCACCCTTCTCTCTCTTCTCTATCAACCCACTAACGACCTCTCTAGGACGACGAAGACGGCGGAGTGCCACTGCCTACCAATTACGCAGATACACCTGCTGGCCCCTCCGATAGTCGTTTCACTTTAGTCTCCGCCGCAGTCCGGCGCAACGTCATTTTCGTCGGGCACGACGTTGCCTCCGACATAGGCTACATGCGCAAGCTCGGATGCACCATCTTCAAGCCAGGCAGCAGCGCCAACGCCGAAGGATCGACCCCTGTCGACCGGTCTCCCGCCAACGACAAGCCACTCTTCCTCGACAGCCTCGACACGGGCCTCCTCTTCCGCATTCTCAAGCGCGACATGCAGCCAAGGGCCCTGGGCAAAGTCCTCCAGGACCTCGACATCATGGCCTGGAACCTGCACAACGCGGGCAACGATGCGCATTATACCATGCAGGCGCTGATCGGCATCGCGGTCAAGTCTCGCCTCGAGCAGGATGAATTTTACTCCGAGGACGAGGAGGATTCAGGCGAGTGGGATTCAGATGCTGCCGCCGCCGCCATCGCTGCTGGAGGTCAGGCGGTGCGCGAGTGCGATAAGCGGGGCTCGTGTGAACATGGAGGTACCTGGAGAGCGGTGTTCGAGGGGCGCGTCGAGGCCGGTATGGAGAAGGCTCGAGATAGGGTCCGTGAGGAGTTTGAGGGTTGGAATGAGAAGCTGGGGTTTAAGGGCGGGTGGGTCTTTGGCGAAGAGGATATCGATGGCGGCCTTCCTAAGGGGCTATGTGTGTGAGAAATGGAAACTGACTTCAAGTGTGGGTTTGTTTGCTGGAGTGTTTTGGTGAGATTGAGAGCATGAAATCCTACACATTGGTTAATACTTGGGGTGGTGGGGGCGGAAGTTAGCCATAAAACAGATTCCCCTTTGATAGACACTTGATAGGTAGATTGCGCAATGCGATGCAAGATATCCCTCTCGCCTCTTACCAGTCGCAGATACCCGTTAACTTTTCAGTAATTATACTTTCTATCTAACTGTTAATTGACGACATATCAATCAAATGTACCGTTCTCCCATTCCTTTGCCTTGAATAGAAAAAAAAAAAAGAAGAAGAAAACGCCGAAGTCATAGATAGATTTCTCCTCTTTTCTTCACATAGAACAGAACAGACAAGCAATAGAAAAAAAGAATGTAAAAAAAAAAAAAAAAAAAGGAAAAAAGGAAAAACTCCTAGCCTCCCCCCTTCTGTTCCCAATGGAAAGAGAAAAAAACGCCTTTCGTCCCTCATCGCAGTGATACATACATACATACATACATACATAGCATGGCATACATAACAGACATCGAAAGAGAGAAAAAAAAAAAGTAAAAAATAAAAATTGCGAAGCAGTAAAACATAGAGGGGTAGCCGATCCGTTAGTATCTTCCTTGGAATCGTAAAATTTCCCCCTTCTCTTTCTCTTTTCTTTACTCTTTCACTCGCTCTTCTTCTACCTTTTTTTCATTTGTTTTTCCTTTTCCCTTTTTTTTTTTCAATTTTTTTTTTTTTTTATTTTTATTTTTCTGGGCAGCGTCCCCATTAAGGAAAACCAGCGCATACATCGAGATTCAAGGCATGATAAACATATCATACGAGCCGACGGGGGACCTCGCGAGGCTTTTCGGGAGGAAAAAAGAAAAGAGTCGGGGGGAAGACAGAATCGAAGAAAGTAAGAAGGATAAATAAGGCATTAAAAAGAGTAGTAATGTAAAAAATAAGACGAAATAACAGCAAGAAGGGAAGAAAAATAAAGAAAAGAAAATGAGGCAAATACAGAAAAGTAAAGTAAATTTCTCTCCCCTTTTCCCAGAGGTTTTGCCAGGAAGAAAACGGAAAAGAAAAATGGAAAGAAAAAAGCAGTCTAGATTCTGGTCGAAGGGGGGAACGTGGTCAGAGCAATATGCGTGCCATCGTCGAATCAAGCAAAGCTGTTAAGAAATTTGGAGAAATAGTGGGTGGAATAATCGTATCATATCGGCGAAAGCAAGAGTAATCCTCCAAACAAGAAGAAAAAAAAAAATTCGAAAAACGGCGGAGGGGCGGTGGTGACGGCGATTCGTAGCTTAACTTTAGGCCTGGATTTGTCCAAAGCCCAAAAGCAAAAGCGAAAAACCCGCCCCCTTCTTTTAAGAAGTCGATGCACTGGCACTCGCTCTGGCCGCATTGTTTAACTGGCGATGATAAGACCCGATGGGTTGGAAGCCCCTAAGCATCCCGTTAGAACCATAAACCATGAACAATGTAGAGCGCGTCCAGGCCAAAAAAAAAAAAAAAAAAAAAAAAAAAAAAAAAAAAAGGAGAAGAAAGAAAAGAAAAGAAAGAAAAGAAAAGAAAAGAAACCGCAAATTTCTAATCATCCAACATACCTCGCAAGATCAAACCCTTCCGCTTCATTCCCGTCCTCATCATCGTCATCCTCCCACCTCCGCTTCTCCTTCCCACTCGTTCCAGGAGTGATAATCCTCCCACGAGTCCTCGAAGGTCCACCACCAACCTTACTCGGGCTGCCAAGATTAGGTGGCGGTGGACTACTGCTCGGAATCGCATTCCCACCGTCCCAACGACCCACATCGCCTCCGCCTCCGCCTCCAGCGGCTTTCAACGGGCTGATATCGTTCGGTTTCGCCGGGGTGCTGCCGATATCCGCGAACTTCCAGAACTGCGCGGGGGAGCTCATGGGCATGAACTTGGACGGGATCTGGGCGGTGCTTGGCGGTGCGAGGCGAGGCTGTTGGCGGAGTGGTGCTGGGGTTATCATGGACGAGGCTGCGTCGTCGTAGTACGATGACGACAGGGCTGGAGGGGATCCGGCGACGTTGTCGGAGAGCCCGTATGCGCGGGATCCCTCGCCGTTGCGCGGACGGGACGGCATGGGGGTCTCGGCAGGGTTGTGGGCGTCAAGGCTGCGGCCGGCTCTGGAGCCGCGATCGGGAGTGTACGCCTCAACTGGGGCGACGGAGAAGGTGTGATACGCGGGGGAGCCTGTCTGTCGAGGCTTCGTGGTGGATTGGGGGTTTTCCATCCGCTTTTCAAAGCTACCTTGGCCGTTGGCTTTCTGGAAACTTGGACTATCCTTTCCAATCGGGGAAGATGGGGCTGACGACTGCATTCCCTTGTGAGCCTTCTTCCAGTACTCTTCGCGATATTCCGGAACAATCTGCCACTTCATCCCCTTTCCCGGTTCATCCGTGCGACGGGGAACTTTCTGGAATGCCTTATTCAAAGACAGATTATGACGAATCGAATTCTACACGATCTGTCAATATGGAGGTTCAAGCAATCGTATAATACCAAAGGAAAAATATATATATAGATATATATATATATATATCTTTATATTGTACAACATACCTGCCATCCCGAATTCGTATGCCTATAAAAAGCATACTTTTCCATAATGTACTTATAAATATTACTCAGCGACATCTTCTCCTCCTCTGTAGAGAAGATCGCCTGGCCGATGAGGTTAGCATAGCTGTACGGCGGCTTCAGATCCTTAGCCGAATCACTGCTGTAATCGATCTCCTCGGTGCTCTCCATCATCATGCCGCGATTGTACAACGGTGAAGGCTTAACCGTAGCATCGACGTCTCTAGATCTCGGTCTCGTGGTCGCCGGGGTGGCCTGACGCTTGGACGGCGTCACGGCCGCGACGGGCTGCGCCTTGGAGACTCCGTTTCTGCCGTTTGCCTTCTGCTGGCCGTGGGCTGCGAAGGGGACGGGTCGGGCGGAGGCCGCGGGTTCCGGATGGGCGTGCGAGACGGGTTCCCAGGCGCCGGGCTCCTCGACGGGCTGCAGACCGTGCAGCTTGCTCATGTAGATCGGGTGGATGACGGCCTTGTCGCCGGGGGTGACGAACATCATCTGCGTGTTCGCGATCTCGATGACATCGCCGCACTTGAGCGGCGCGCTGGTGCCTCGCTTCAAAACACCGTTGTTCAAGCGCGCTCCGTTCCGGCCGTTGACGCGGATACGCCAGCACGGGGGTTCCTCGGTGCCGTCGTAGTATATCTCTGCGTGTAGCCTCGAGACAACCTTGTTGGGACCCAGGTCGATATGGACCTCCGGCAGCGACTGGGCGGCGACGGCGACGGGGCTGGACTGCGCGTCGAGCTTCTGCTCGCGGTCCGGCGGGCGTCCGATGGTGACGTGTAGGCTCTTGACGTAGTAGGTCCAGTCGCGTCCGGCGATCTTGGCGTAGGCCTTGACGCTCTCCTGGTTCTCCTGTCGGGTTCTGGCGTTGGAGTGCGCGTCCATGACGGCGACGGGCTCTCTCGCGACGCCGAGGATGGAGATCACAGAGTCCACCAGATCCTGGTTTCTTGAGATTTCGTTCTCATGGGAGGAGTCTTCATTCTCGTCGCCGGAGATGGGGTCTGGTGTCTGTTCGTGATGTGGTTCAGGCTTTGGTTCAACCTAGAGAGAACAGAAAACAAAAAAGCAGGCACAGTGTCAGCACAAGATCTGCTCGAGAAAAACGAAAMCAAAAAAAAAAAAAAAAAAAAAAAAAGGCAATGGGTTGACTGTTCGCGTGTCCAGAGGAGCATTACCTTTCTCTTTTTCACGGAGCGTCGGGTGGGCGAAGAGTCCAATGCATCAGTGTCCGGCAGCTCAGGCAGGACATCTTTGCGCCGATTGCGCCGTTTGGTGGAAGGGGGCATTTTCCAGTTTTCCCTTTTGCGTGTCTATGTGTGTGTAGGCGCGTGTGTGTGTGTGTGTGTGTCTGTATATGTTTTGTGTTTTGTGTTGTCTGCTGTGAATCAACTTGGCGACCGCTTCGCGGTGATTGTTCTCGGCGCAGCTCTCCAAGGGGGAGATGGACTGATGAGAGAGACGGAATGGGCGGACGGATGGATGGATGAAAGGACGGATGCGGGCGGCGCGAAGGAGTGGGACGGGATGTGAGAAAGACTGGCGAGGAAGGTTTTTGTTGCAAGGTCCTATGTTTCTGCCACTGAGACCAAGACGGGGGGGTGTAGAGGTCGAACTAAGATAGATGGAGCAGACGGACAATATGGGATCAAGGCGGACTTCCGGACCGGCGCGCGTGGGATCGGGGCGAACAGTTTCGACGCGGCAGAGGGGCCGTGAAAGGTGTGGGAGATGGAGGAAGAGGAAGAATTAAAGAAGAATTAAAAAAAAAATAGTAAATTGTAGTCGATGTTTTGGTCGCCGGCTTGCCACCAGGTTTGAATTGGGTCAGGAAAGATAAAAAAACTCTTTTTCTCTGGAATTTCCTTTCGATTGCGAAAAAACTTTACAGTGGTGCCAAGTTTATTATTGTTTTAATTTTTATTTCTTTCTTTTTTCTTTCTTTTTTTTTTTTAAAAAAAAATTCCCTCTTCTCCTGTTGGACGGTGAACAGAAGAGGAAAAGAAAAGAGAGAGAGAGAGAGAGATAGGATAAAAAGGCAGTGTGTTTATTTTTGGGGTGGGAGAGATCCGCCCAGCAGTCGGGGCAGTATTGGTGGTGGTTGGATGGGCACGGACGGGGATGATGATGATGATGATGATGATGTTGGATGCTGCGGTGGAGTTGGAGCAGCTCTGGTCTCGTCGAAGTGGACTGCGACACGCGCGCGCACACGAGAGAGCGAGACGAAGAGCGAGACGAAGAGTGAGAGACACCGTATAAGCTGGCAATCCGAATTCGTCGACAAGTCTGAGGCTAATTATTTTTGTTAAAAAAAAGAGAATAAGTAAATGAATTAGATCAGAGAATTAAAAAACGAAAAAAAAAAAAAAATTAAACTAAACCATAGAATTGATAGATGACAACAGATGCCAGAGCGGAAGAGACAGCAAAACGGTTGTCTGTTGTTTTGGGGTGATCTCACGATGCGCTCAGGTTCGCGTCGACTCCAGTCGTCCTTCACACAATTATTATTACTCACACACACACATAGAGAGAAAGTCTCCCTTGAGAGTTCGTCCAGGCTTCCCGGACGCCGCGACTCCTCCGTGACTCGTCCGGGGCTCCTCCGTGACTACGCCAGAAATATCCCAGGCAATTCGAATCCTCCCTGTTCGAACCACACTGTTTCTGCTCGAGCCATGGAACTGGCGCCGAACTGCCCGAGCAAACTCTCGACAGCGTGGGGAGGAAAAATAAAAGAAAAAAAAAAAAGGGAATAAAAATTAAAAATTAAAAATAAAATAAAATAAAAAAGCCGCCGCAGCGACCAAATTCCAGGCGAAAAACTGGAAAAAAGAGTGACGGCACGGGCGCCACGCGCTAGGCCTATACCGGCAAAGAGTGGGGGCTGTGCGTGGCGGGGGCCAATCAGCGGGCGTTAATTTGGGTAATGTTTCAATACGCCATACTCCCGTAGAGCAAGCAGCTTGCGGAGAGACTCTTTGATATCATCGCGAGGATTGTATACAGATCGAGATGGCAGGCCGAGGTGGATGGCTATCTTAAAGGGTATGTATGTATGTATGTATGTATGTATCTCTACAAGGTCCTGTGGGCTGCGAGGAACGGTGTGGTCATTCTGGTCGAAGATTGGTACAGAGGCCCACGGTCAACTCGTACATCATTTGTATTGCTAGAGCAGTATGAAAAGCGGTTGATCACACGAGGAGGCAGTTCGTAGAAGAAGAAAAAGTTCAAGCCAGAAATCCGGCAGTAGGCACACGCATCAATATGAACAATAGAACAACCCAACGCAGGGAAAAGGGAATCCATAAACAGGGCATAAACAAGGGAAATGGAAGAATTTGGGGAAAAAAAAAGGGGGGTGGTAAACAACCAGCTTGGCAGTCATCAGAACAACACGATAGAACGCGACAAAAAAAAAAAAAAAACACATATCCTCTCCCTTCCCTTCCCTTTCCTTTCTAGACTCCCACACAAAGAGAGGAGAAAACAAATGTCAATCACATGCAATCCCAGGAATCAAAAAAACAAGCCATCAAAAAAAGAAGAAGAAGAAGAAGAAGAGGTACATGCAAGACGTTCGCTCATGATTCGTCCATCTTCATCTTGTCCTCCTCACCGTCCATCTTTAGCACCGGATACAGACTGTCCGCCTTGACCTCGTCGCCTCCTTCGTCCTTTATCTCCTCGTCGCGGTCCGCAACCGCCGCCGCCGCGATCGCCTCCATGCCCTGCATCTCACTGTGCGACAACCCTTGGTGCCCGTAGCTCGCCGACTGATGGCCGCTCCCTCCCCCTTCTCCCTCTACTGCCACTCCTTCTTCATAGTCTCCATGGTACAGTCGCTCGTGGACGTAGTCGCGGAGTCTCTGGAGGAGACGGACGTTCTCGACCCACATCTCCTCCGCGGTGCGGCTGCTGCTGGACGCTTTGGGCGTCGCGCCTCGGGTGTCGGGACTGCCGGTGGCACTGCGACGTCTGGCCGTGTCGCCATGTGCCGTCGACGCCTGCCGGTCCGTCGACCCACGTCGAAGGAACGGATCGATCATGTTGTCCGAAATCTTATCTTCGCCAGTGGTGGTGGTTGTTGTTGTTGTTGCGGCGGCGGTGGTGGTGGTGCAAGACGCATTCTTTGGGTTTGGGTCACTGCTCCCGTCCATCGACACGTCCATCGGCTCGGGATAGTCCATGCGCGCTCTCTGCAGCATACCACCCGTGTATCGGCGGCGGTCGTCATTCTCGAAGATGCTGCTCAGCGTGGACGGCGGGGCTACGCTAGAAACACTAGGGTATCCTGCTGGTGCAGATTCTTGTGCAGAGGTGGTGGGCAGCGTCGGGTACATACTTGAGCTAGTCTGGGGGTGCGCCTGGTGCGACGACGGCGGGATGTGGTGGCTGGACGACAGGGAGACCGGTGACCGACCAGACGTGTACGACTGAGCGCTGGAAGGGGGGGTCAACGCGGGGGTTGCGCTATGAGGGGATCTGGCTGATGCTGAAGACGTGGCTGGCGGAGCAGACGTAGCTGTTGCTGTTGCCGTGGCGTGGCTGGATGGCAGTTGCGGAGCCGTGGGAGGAGAGTTTGTGGTGCGATAACTCAGAGCCCCGTGGATGTAATGCGCACCCGGCTGAGCGACACCAGCGGCTGCGACGTTCTCATCGCTCTCATAGACGGTTGTTTGCATTTGCTCCAGGAACTGATCAATATTCATCAAGTCAGTCTTGGTGCGAAGATTACCCATCGGAGGCAGGTGATAGGACTGTGCAGGGATTGGCCCGGAGTGGTAACCTCCATGCCCACCAACAGTGACCATCGCAGGCATGGGCTGGTAATCAGGCACAGCAGCAGCGTGGACCAAGGGGAGAGGCAATCCGTGCAGATTTAACAGGCGTTGTCCAACCGCCGCATAAGAAGTGGGGTCGAACTGACGTCGTTTCAAATCACCGAAAAACTCATTCAGCGCATCGTATCCCCGCTTCTTTGATTCGTACGACGCCTGGTGAGTGGCATCGCTCCCAACGGCATAATAAACGTTACCATACGACGGGTTCGACGGATGTTGAGGGTGCTGAGGATGTTGTGGGTGCTGTGGGTGATAGTACTGCGGGGGTCCGTGCCCGTACGGTGCGCCAGGAACAGCACCCAGTGAGCCATCAAAATAGTGCCCGGCTGGAATATACAGGTTCCGGTTAGCTGCGGAAAAAAGGGAAAAGGTTATTTCACTTCAATGATATATTTAAAAGAAAGGAAAAAGAAAGGAAAAAGAAAGGAAAAAGAAAACCAAAAACCAAAAGAGGACAAGAGAAAGAGGAGAGGGTTTGGCGGGGGAAGCGCGTTTTAGACTTACTTTTACCGTCTGGACCGACACCAACACCGAACATTCCGTTTGGAGGTCTTGCGCCTGGACCGGGCTCGGGGGACCTGACGAGAACCGAGTCGTCTGCATGCGTCTTGACATGCTTCTTCAGATCCTGCGGACGCTTAAATGCCTTGCCACAGAAATCACACTTGTGAGGCTTCAACGGCACATGGACACGGATGTGAGAGGTGATATGATCACGCTTGACCGTTGTGGTGCGGCAATTGCCCCATGAGCAAGTCAAGTTAAGGTTATTAGTACTCTTGCGCCCAACATGGCGTTCGCAGACGTGTTCCTGGTGCAGAACGATGTTAGGGTGTCGAATGATCTCCCAGTAACGAAAGGAGCTTCCAAACAGGCGGGTGCCATTTACGGGGAGGGAACCGCCAAGACAACCCAAAAAAAAAATAAAATAAAATAAAATAAAATAAGAGAGACGAATTTAATCGAGGGTCACATCAAACCAACATCCTACACCAAAGGTATATGAAAGGAGAGAAGAGAAAGCGAAGAAAGAAGAAAAGAACAAAGAAGAAGCTTGGGAGCAAGATGAGAGATGGAAACATACATAGAGAGCCTCGGGAGTGGGACAGATCTCGCGACAACCGGTCCACTGGCAGGTCAGATCGGGCTGCTGCTGGTTTGGGTTATTGTTGTTTGCATCCTGCGCGGTCGCGACGGGGACAGCAGAGGCAGCAGCGGCTACAGCGGCGGCCTGCTGTGCGGTTGCGGGAGCAGAGGCGATGGACTGCTGGACAGGCTGCTGCGGGGACTGGATCTGAGCGACGGTCTGCTGTTGCTGAGGCGGAGCCTGCTGCTGCTGCTGCTGAGGAGGTTGTGGCGGCGGCGGCTGTTGCTGCTGCTGAGGTTGCTGCTGAGGAGGCTGCTGCACCGGCTGCTGCTGCTGCTGCTGTTGTTGTTGTGGTGCTTGGATCTGTTGAGGTTGAACGGGAGGCTGGGCTTGTTGCTGAGTCGCAGGAGCCGGCTGAGCGGACTGCTGTTGCTGCTGCTGTTGAGCCATGGCGGCGGAGGAGTCTTGGTTTTCCGTGGAAGCCATGCTTGCCAAGGAAAATTTCTTGTCACCTCCGTCTCCAAGAACTTCTGAACAACTGCAACAAGATCTGGAAGATTGAACAAGACCAGTGAAACAAGGAAGAGATGCTGAACGTTTAAACTAGAATGGGAGAGAGGTAAGAAGCAGGAATTTGAAAGAGGAGTGAGGCGAGGAAGAAGAGGAGGAAGAAGGGGAAAAGAAAAAAAAAAAAAAAAAAAACAAAAGGAAGAAAAGAGGAAAATGAAAATGAAGTGGGAGAGAGAGAGAAAAGGGTGATTCCTCAAACGTTACGCGGAGTGCGATCTGGGAAAACTACCGTGATTGGCCGAGACGCCAGATTGGGAGGGGAGGGGCTTGATCTTGAATTTTTTACAGCGCCCAAAAGTCCCGGTCTGATCGTCTTCCCCCGGTCGACGTTGAGAAGGCCGTTCCTGCTTTGCGACAACAAGAAATATTTTAGAATGCGGGGGCTACAGTAGAAAAGACGAGCGACTCGACAGGACGAGAAGATTGAGTTTCTGTTCCGGGGGTTATGGGGGAGGGAAAAGAAGCGCAGCCAAGGCCCGCGGGGGGATGGTTGACGATGAGCTGATTCACAGCGACAGGAAGGGATACCGTGGCCTGTGACCGAATACCACCTCCGTGATGGGTGACCAAGCCCGGGAGTTTGGGGGAAAAAAAAGGGGTCCGGAGAGGAACTCTGGTTGGCACTCTCGGCAATGTCTGGGCACAGGGAGCGTGGGAGGAAAGTCTTGGGACTTCTTGGGCGAGGGAGGAAGTTCTGGGCACGAAGGAAAATTCTGGGGAGAGGGGAGGGAATTATAGCAAAGAAAGCAGGGCTTCTTTGGGGGAAAAAAACAAAAAAAAAAACGGGTTACAGAAAACACACACGCGAAAGCTGAAAAGGTGTCCCACCGTGACACGAAAGGGTAACTTAGAAACGAGGCTTCCCGTGGGAATAATCTGTGGGGGGGATAACAGCGGCACTCCGTACGTGTATGTTAAGTACCAAGACAGGACAGGACAGGACAGAACAGGACGGCGGGCGGACAGGGACAAGACCGGAACTCCAGGCCAAGACACGGCGAAGGAGGGGGGAAAGTCTCTCGCTCTCTCAGCCGACTCGCGCTGGACGTTACCACCATCGGCCAGGAAGGGAAGGTGGACGCCACAGCTCCCTGGGTTCTTGGTCCGGTTGACTGCGGGGACGCTGGCCTGCTCTGGAGCTGCCATTGGCTAGGACCCCGGGGGGGCGGCTGTGGTGAGAGATTTCCCACTCCTGCAGACCTGTGGCATGTTATGGGCTGGTACGGTAAGATTCGCACCACTCCTCCGTATACTCTCTCCATACGGCACATGTAGTAGAAGAAGTGGGCAGTCGCCGCTACCTTGGACCGCCGTCATGGGGGCGTTTGTCTTTCACAGCCGGAAAATCACCCACAAGGCCCTCCCCCCTGAGAGAGAGAGGACCCCATGTACGCAACATACATACGGAGTACGCTATATGTTGCACCTCAAACACGAGTTTGCCAGGCGAAACTCAAAAATAAATAACCAACAATCCTTCATCCGATCCGACCTTGTACTGAAGAAAAACACACACACGAAAAATTACCCTCGTCCTCCCCTCCCCCCTTCTCCCAAGACCTCGCCGCTCGTGCCAAGGTTTACGGGTCGCCAAGATCAAGGCCAAGCAAGCCAAGCCTGTCCCGACAGCCAAGTCGAGCCAAGCAGATGCCGAGAACCCTTGTGACACACGCCACTCCAAGTTCCTCAAACCACACTAAAAAAGAAAAAAAAGGTTTCTCATAACAATAAATAACCACATCAAAACAAAAATTACAGGTTAATCGCGTCATGATTACCCCCTTTCAAAACTTTCTTTGCCATCACAAAAAAAAAAAAAAAAAAAAAAAAAAAAAAAAAAAAGGGGAAGAACAGAAAAAGAAGGGAATGACTGTAAATGTTGCTGTTTGCTTATCTTTATTGTCGGAAGATCTGATTTTGACAATTTTTTATTCCTTTTTTTTTCGACAATGGTGTATCAGTGTCAGGATTCCTTTTTCTTTTTTTTTTTTTTTTCGCGTGGGGGAAAAGTTGAGACACGCGAAGACGCAAGTCTGTATTTATGCAATGGAACATTCCCCGTATGTAAACGTATGATACAACCTCACCAGATGAATTACATCCTCGAGGGTACGTACCAGCCCTTTTGTATCTCAGACGGAGGAATAGTTTCACCGAATCCGTGTCAGGCGTCCACTAGAATCTTACTTGTGGAGTCTCGAAAAGAACCACAACCGCAAATAAAATATATAACCGTATAAATTATATATATATATATATGTGTCAAAGAGTTATCTCCAACGAATGACGGTGTAATGGCCTAATGCCCCATAGAGCAACATACCGAACATTGCCCGGTTCTCTCCTATCTACGGCCCGCGAAGCAAATGGAAAACTATACGTCAATCCGTCAACCTGAAAGAGACGCCCGGAGCCCCAGACTGATTTGCTGTGACGCCAACCATAACACGCCAGGGCAATAACAGGTAAATAATATGGGAATAAATAGTGCATAGATGAATAAAATCAAAGAGAAAGAAAATCGTTTTTGTTTTTGTCCTTTTTTTTTTTTGGTGTTTTCGTTTTTTTTTTATATGGGTTAGGAAAAAAAGAGAACCCCAGTTTTAGTAGACACCTCACCACCAAATCAAAAAGAATAAAATCTACTACTGTGAATGTCCGGGATTGTAGGCTGTTACAACCATGTCGGAATGAGGAAGAGAGTTAACGACTTACCCGGTCAACAGGTTGGGCCTGTTATGGAACCCAGACGCAGACACTCCCAAACCATGGCGTCTCTCAGCCCTCTCCTTCCGTGCCCATATGCCAGCTGCTCCACTGGACCCAGTCCGGATTCAGGCCAGAGACGCTGTCCATTCCCGCATTGTCAAATTGATTATCGTAGCCCATCGTCGAGCCGAGTCCCATTCCCATACCCAGGGTATTGAACCCAACCATGCCGATATCCATCGGCATACTAAAGTCGCCAGTGCCGTTGGTGAACGTGTCCTCAGACGCCGAATGGGGGAAGAAATTGCTGCCTGGTCCCTGAGTCCCGAGGTTCTGCCACAGGAAGGCTTGTCCGGGCATTGTGACGAGATCGGGGTTCTCCAAGTATCCTGGGGCGGAAGCGTCCGGTCCCGACTCTGAGAGTCGTCGCTCATGCCGCGCGGGGAATCCGCTCAGTCCCTTGGGTCGAGAAGTCATGCCAGTCAGGTTGCTGAGATCCTGATTGGAAAATCCAGAGAAATTAGGAGGGTTGATGAAGCCTCCCGGAGAGGAGGCGGTCGTTCGAGTTGGAGTGCTGGCCTCGAGACCCGTGGACATTGTATGACCGGGTCGGAAGGGGAATTGCCTCGAAACATCTATAGAATCCTGCTTGAACTGCGCATCCTCCAGGAGGGACATTGGTTGGTTCGGATACGCAAATGGGTCATCCGATGGGAACATCATCGGCATCAAGTCCGGAAGACGACTCGGGTTATCGAACGGCGGAGAAAACGATATCGGCTGCTTCAGGGGAGTTGATTGGGCTTGTTGGCCGGCGGACAGTGGAGAGGATGGGGTAGATATTTGGGATGTCTCCTTGTCTGACGTAGAAGGTAATATCGACGTGGGTTGTGGCACTGTAGTGGGAGATTGGGACAAAGTTTGCGAAGACGTAGCTTTACTTTCGTCGATATGGGATTGAACCATGGCTTGTTGCGGTTGTTTTTGAGCATTTGCAGTAGCTTGAATTGGGAATGTATTCGACCTCTTTACCGAGTTGAATGGCAGCCCTTCCGTCTCTTTTTGTATGCTCGGCGGCGTAAGAGTGCCGGCCAATTTGGGCGTAGAGGTAGTTTGCAAAGCTGCTGGTTGGGGTCGTTTTCGATTTATTGGTACTGGCACGTTGGCGCGCCGATTTCTTAGCCTCTCCGGTAAATGCTTGAAAATAGCCTAGGATATTGAAATTAGCCAAAAAGCTTCAAATGAGCGAGGCTGGTGGAAAACGCTAACATTGAGACTTTGTGTGCACCTATCTGCCGCCATACTTCTCTTTGCGAGTCCTGCTAATGTATTCTTGCCTTCAAGTGCATCCTTCAGAATGCCATCCTTAGCGCTGGCAGACTCTGGGTTCTCTAGTATGAAAAAAAGCAAAGATAAGATGGCGAAATACGTCGTGTACATCGTAAACCAATATGAACCATTCAAAAGCTGCTTCTTTTTCATCTCTGCCGTGATATGAACGACGTTCCTGGCCACACTTACGCATGCGGCCGCACAGGCATATGAGCGTTTATCGATTCCGCGGCCGTGCGAGCCCCCGCTGACATAATGCAAAAAAGGCCGGTACATTGCCATCTGCACATGCGCGTAGCTGATGCGTAACAGCTGCCTCAGCCTAGAATTGAAGGGTTCAGCGTGAAATCCAATCTTGCGAGGAAAACACGGAATCACTCACCTATCGACTTTAGGGGACGCCTCACTGCCAGGCTTAAGAGACTCAGGAAGGTCATCTTTCCAGTCTTGAAGATCACGCTCGATTTCACGTATTTTAGAATGGCTGACCATGTAGGTATGGCTCGAGCCGAGATTTGCCGCTTTCACTGGGTATATGTATTTTGTAACCTTGAGTAAAATCTGAGCTAGCCGTATGTGCGCATTTACCCCAGCCATGAGGGAGGCGGAGCCCGGGGGTACCGGCAAAATTCCTTCTGGGGTTATATATTCATCCTCAATTCCAAGCGGCGGGTCTTGGTCGATGTCATCTTCACTCAGCATCCATGGGAGCCCTAGAATCGTACTAACGTGGATATCCATACTTCGCACAACCCAGAATACACGCTTGCGCGATTCTAATTCCACAGGGTTGAAATTCGCCGAAACAGAACGATGGAGGCCTAGGCGGAGTGACGCTCGGAGGGCGATTCCGATATATGAATAGCAAGTACTGATGTTGGCTGATGCTTGAAGGAAGAGAATCATGAAGCAGATCGCTTGAAGGGATGTGAGGTCGCGACATTCCGTTATGTCAAGAAGAAGACGGCCCGCTTTAAAGTATTGAAAGCTGAGGATTCAATGTTAGCGTGAGCGATTATTGATGTGACAGGATTTCCTACCCTTGGTCTACAGCAGGCTCATACCCGGACTTATCAAGGGTGCTATCACCCACGCCTCGGAATAAACAACCAACGGCAAGCGCAAGATATAACAGCGGCAAAAAAGTGTTTTCCTTGTTCGTATATTGTTCCGCAGGGGTATCGTAAATTCGATCAAACATTGCGTAAAATGTGGGTTTGTGCATAAAACGTAGGACAATACATGCATCTTCAAGGGCATTATCGCAGAGCTTGCGGGCAATATCCCGAGGAGGTAAATCGTGCGCCAAAGACATATACGTGTCGATGGGTGATTCTGAAGAGGATTTGGCGCTTTCTAGTATTTGGGATATTTGTTGGAATTTAGAAGGAGTACGCTCGGGGACAAGGTTCCCGAATTGCTTTCTCAAGTGGCGGACAAACATGAGACCTGACGATTGGCCGTGATAGTCCCAATGGCCTTGGTCGTCGAGGTCGAGAGCACCGGTGTTGTCCACCATTGACTCTAAAAGCGATTCGTCACAATGCTCGGAAGAAGACGACTCTTTCCGCTCACGTTCGGGGTTGGGTTCAGACTTGGCCTTCGTAAGAGTTGAGACAAGTTCCCCCACGTTGCTAGCATCAAAAGATGGGTCATCCAAGTCGACGTCCGGGAGAACCGCACGCAAAAGGGCCTCTGCTTTTTGCAATCGAGCTTCCAAGGCCTCTATGTACTGTGGCGCAGGGTTTCTCCTCCTATTTGAGGGCTGGTCGTATGTGCAGGCTAAAGTTGACAAGCCACACAGTTAGCAGCGAGAACGAAGCAACCAAAACAGCGAAGCCAGGGACGTACCATAACTATAAACGGTGCAGTGCGTGCAGGGCTGTTTGCCATCACATTTTATCTTTTTCCGTCGGCATTCATCGCAAGCTCTAGTTACTCGCCTCCGTTTTTGCACCGGTATGGCCAATTTGGCCTGATCTACATCCGCAGCCTGGTTGTCATCAGCAGACGCAGGAGTCTGGCTAGGCGGTGCCGTGCGGCTGGCCTCGCGAGAAACTTGGTCGTTCAATTCGCCGGCGGCAGCGGATAGACCACTCTTTTCCTCAGGGGCGCACATGGGTGGCGCGGTTATATTATCTTGCGGAACCATGATCGGAGCGCTGGCACTAAGCCAGCCAAGTGCATCGGAGCGATCGAGACAAGAGAAGAGAAATCAAAGGTCGCAGATGTTGTCCTCGTCGTCAGTGCCGCCAGAATCAAGACGGGACATGTCCAAGCCAAAACGAAGCTACGGGTGGGTTCTTCGTCGCACAATTCCGGCGAGTATGATCTTTTCCAGGAAGAATCGAAATAGTTACCTGTGCCGGAGGGAGAAGGATACAGGTCAGCAGGCGGTTGGTGATGAAATCTCTTTGGATTTGGGTTTGCCTTAGGGGGTGCTCCCGGCGGGGCTATATAGGCAAAGGGCAAAAAAGCAACGGAGTGGGTGGGACACTAGAAGCTTACCAGGATACGTCAAAAAGGGTCAATCCCCCACAGGCTTACAGCAGCTTATTCACCGCCCTATCTGTCGTTGTCGGGACTTGGGTCTGCCATACAGAGTCGAGGAAGTTCTGCGACAATTGTCCAGTGACAGGACCCGGCCAGGCGATTGGACTACCGATCGGAATATTCGTGGGCTCAGATTGGCAGGAATTCCGAATTGGCTACACCCGATCCATACATTTACGGGTGCATCACTGTTTGCTTCGGGGGAGAAAGCAGATTAACGACCATGGCAGTTTGGAGCAAAACTGCGTTCGACGGAGAGATGAGTAACAGGGTAGGGATACGGAGCACAGCGGACAATGCGATAAGACACCAGGCTGGTGGTGCCTCTAGTCAACGCTATTATCGCTTGGTTTGCTAAGTCCAAATTCTATCCACAGCCCTGTCCCTGCCAACCAAATTGCACATGACATTGATTTTTTCCGGAATTTCTTAGGGAGAATGTCTTTTCACGAGCTGCTCCTGTGTTCCCTCGACAAGATTACCCCCGGGCTGCTGCGTTCTTTTAGCCACTCCGACGCCAGACCCGCGATACTCTGCCACAAAACATCGCCCTTTTCGCTTTCCACCCCACTAAACTACACTCCGAATCAGCGTTAATAATCGACTAGAGTGGCAATTAATCAGCAATGACGCCAGAGTGGGTCGCCACCAGCCCCATCTGACAGCTGCCTCGAATTCTCATTGGCCAGCGGACTCCCTGCCCGTGGCTCGTGCTTGAAAATTTTCTATTGGTCAGTGTCAAGACAAGCTTTGGCTTATATAATCCCGCTCTTGTATCGCGTGACATGGCTTCCGTCATCAAGGAAAAAAGGTTACTCCGCGCTATATTGAGCCTCGCACCACATACGGGAGGACGCAGGGCATCGTTTTAACCGCAGACTCAGGCAATGGATGTAGAGAAGGGATCAGTTCGAAGGCATCAAAAGGGTCTGTCAGTTGGATATAAGCCCAGCCATTCCCTTTTGGCCAATCAGAAGCCGTGAAGGATCCGCCGGAAGCAATGAAGGTTAGGAGATGAAGATGACTTGGAAAAAAAAATGTAGAGAGAAAAGAGAGTGAGGGAGGGCCTAAAGGAGAGCAGAAAGAACGAGTGTCCAAAGAGATGTCCTCTTTTGCGTCGTCTGCAATGGTCGCCTTGTTCTCATCAGGAAAAAGCAAATTAGTTATATCCCTGCGAGAAGGGCGTACCACTCCACTCGGTGGTAACAGTTGTCCAACGTCAACTTGCAGCTGTCCCACAAGAGTAACATCCCCTTCCCAAGGGGCCATGGGCTGCTCTGCGAACTATTCTGGTGGGCGGGGTTGAATTCCGCTTGGTCTGCAGCGGGAACTTGAGCCCCATATTTCTCAGCCTTCCCGTCCATCCCCATCATCACGCAGACGAGTATTCCAATCAGGTGCGAATGCTAATCTTAGCTTCCCAGATTATTCGCTGCTGCGGCGCTTGACGTCTGCCTGCAATACAGTTGATGTGCGACTGTCCGCTGAATCAATGCTGTCATAAACACTTCCTATTCCTACAAGACAAATCCGCTGTGGATAGAGTGATGTTTGTGGATCTAGGATGAAGACATCGAAATGGCATTTATGTTGGCAATTCTGTGCTGCACCTTTTCTGCGTTGGGCTCATTTCTCTTCGGTTATGATTCCGGTATCATATCTTCTAGTGTAGCTCAAGAAGACTTTCGCCGTCGCTTTGAAAATTCTTTGAGTGACCCTGCTGTTGGCGGGATTATTGCTTCGTTCACAGGTTGGGACGCTTTTATTTAAGCCACATGAGCATCTAGATTTTTGTCGCCAAAACATACCCCTGGGTTTGGGCTCTGCTTACATTTGAGGACGTTCATAGGAGGTGCCATGATTGGATCCGCGGCTGTATCATTGATATCCGACGCCTTTGGGAGGAGAAATGCGCTGCTTGCTGGGGGCATATTAGCCGCGTGTGGAGCTGCTCTTCAAGGGGGAGCAATTTCCATTGCCATGCTCATAGCCGGCCGATTTATGGCAGGTTTGGCAATCGGACTCCTCTCCGCCACAGTTCCTGTTTACTGCGTGAGAACCTCCCTGTTCGATAGCTTGAAAGTCGAGAATTGATACGTCTGGGTTGTTTAGTCCGAGATCGCGCCATTCCGGATACGAGGCCTTTTGGCCGGAATGCAACAGTGGATGATAGGATGGGGATTCGTGGTCGCCGTAAGCCTTTTGTTATCATCGGAGAGCCTCGAAGTGCTGCTGAAACATTGGATCCCTAATTAGCAATGGGTTGGCTACGGCTGCTCTCTAGTAACTGGTTCTTTCTCGTGGCGATTCCCACTCTCGTTCCAGGCGGCGCCAGCTGTTCTTCTAGTGGCTGCAACTGCCTTCCTCCCCGAAAGCCCACGCTGGCTTATCGAACAAGAAAAGCTGGCCGAAGGCCATGGGGTCCTTCGTCGTCTCCGAGCGAGCCATGATGATCCCCGCTCTCTCGAAGCCGAATTCCTGCAGATCCAAAGAGGTATTGCCCGAGCCCGGCGCTCAGTGGTGAAATCCTGGCCTGAGCTCCTTCGATGCCCTGGCTGGCGTCGCCGTCTCCTCCTGGGTACCACAATTCAAGCATCCACCCAATGCTCCGGCATCAACGTAATCAACTACTATGGGCCACGCATCTACGCTGCCCTCGGCTTCGAGACATCCCGCTCCCTTATGATAATCGGAGTCTCTGGTGCCTTAGCACAAGCATGGAACACCCTTTGTCTCCTCGTCCTTGATCGTATTGGGCGGCGGACACTTCTGATTCCATCTCTCATCGGAATGGGCGCAACTCTCTGCGTCGAAGCAACCCTTTTTGAATTTTTCCACCCAGAGACTTCACGAAATGCTAACGCACTGCGCGCACAAGTAGCTATGTACTTTGTATTCTCGTTATTCTTCACGTCCCTGGGGGTGATATCGTGGATTTATCCCTCTGAAATCTTCCCGACAGCGATCAGGGCGCGCGGAACGTCTGTGTCCACGTTTGTCAACTGGAGCCTGAATCTAGTTTTTGCGCAGTGTTCGCCGATTGCGCTGTCGCGATTGAAATACCGGTATTTCTACTGTTTTATGGCGTTCAACTGGGTTGGTGCGGTGATAGTGTGGATATTCTTCCCAGAGACACTAGGAAAGACGTTGGAAGGGGTTGAAGAAGTTTTTGAGGGACAACGAAATAATGATGATACTGCTTTGGAAGCCCACTCATGTACTGAAAAGGGTAACAGGATAATGTCGGAGAGGAAACGTATCGATTCATTGTGAAGTGAGTTCGAATATAAATGTTCCATTACGAATAGCAAGAATGTTCTACTAGTTATTCGGCCTCCAAGGCGTAGGCTATTGCTTAAGGTGTTTAAAAATCACGTCATACAGTGATATAAGTATATATCCTAATACCCTCCAACGCGAGCGCGAAATGTCTACCATCTTGCTCAGATTTTTGTCTCAATGATCCAGAAAAGAGATCCCATGCATCAATCACAAAAAGGAATTTCAAACGCCCTAGGTCCGCAGTATTGGCATGATATACATCGTCATCGGTGCCGACAAAATCTCTCTTTTCAGCGAAGGCTCCCAAGGCGCCACCTTGGGACCGCTAACCTCCAGAGTCAAAAAGGAAAGAAGCATCAAATTCAGCGTTGACCACGATGTTAAATCCAATCGCTTCGCGATCTTAAGCATGCGCCCCACGAACCATGGCCGTTCATAGGGATCGATACTCGATTTAATCTCGCGTATCGTTACGTTTCGACCGGTTTCACCGTCCAAGATTACATTGCTATCATTCCTTTCTTCTTCTTCCTCTTCCCGCTGAAGTTCTGCGAAGCCAAACGTATCATCAGAAGCTAAGAGAATCTGCAGTAAAGCTTCGACAGACTCGTTCAAATCCACCCCCTTTTCGACCAACTTCATCGATAAACCCCGGAGAAACCTATCGCTCCTTCCTGGGAGCAGTCGACAATCCCACAGTGCAGCGTTAATCATCATGAGCGCAGCGAGGCGAGATATGATCTGTTTCCGCTCACCAGGAATAGAATATCGTGGCCCTATCGGAGATGATAGTATTTTGAAAAGGAGAGAACCTGGTCCAAAGGCTATGGAGCGTCCAGGAGTAGCTGCTGCGGAGAGTGAAAATCTGCTACGAATGGCAAGCCGCTCGGATCGATAAAGAAAATCAAGGAAAACTTCGCATTGAGCCTCGATTTCGCTGATTGGATTGAAGGAAGGGGGCGGAGCTGAGTTTGATTGGCGATTTGGAATGTCAGCCGAGCGAGTTGCTGAAAAACCTGAATTGGATAAGGACGTCGATTTCAACGAAGCCGGCCCGAAATAAAAGGACGAGACCCTTGTATCTGTTGAAAACCCCGAAAAGATATAATCAGACCAATTGATTAACATGGCCATTCGCCGGTTGTGCCTAAATGCTGTCGGTCCACCCCTTCTCCTAATCATCTCCATGGCCGCACGCATGTGCCACCAGCTTGGCTCCTTACGCTCTGCTCTTGGGTCGAAATCGTCCACTGCGGCTGCACTCAGGGTTGCAGAGATGACAGGGTCTGAGAAATCATCCGGGCGGTTGATGCGGTGTCTTAGCAAGGCTTTAATGCCTTTATCACGGTGGGCGATCGATTCAGCCGTCTCGTCCAGTCCACTGACCCAAGCTTGTGTATTTGCAGCATGAACAAGGATCGTGTTTTGGAAACATATCGCTTCTTTCATAGCCTCTGGTACAAAGACATCATTATACCAGTTATGCGCATGGCGAGGAAGGACATTGAATCCGTAGGAGCAAGCAGGCATGACGTTGACATAAAAATGGAATAATTGCTCTTCCCTTTCCGACAGTTTCATGGGCAGGCTATTAAACGGGTCTCTCCATGTAGCTCCAAGCAAACACTGCTGGGAGGGCGAAGGCGAAGACGATGACCGTGGGAAGGGCGACGTTTTTAAAGAAAAGTCAGAGTTTCTGGAGTAGTTTATACTTCCCTGAGAAGAGTGAACGATCAAGTTCCACTGACTCTCGTCCCCAGTATCTTGGTGACTTTGAGGCGCTGGATTTATCAAAATATAGCCGCGCGGACTTGTTTGGCTCATCTGGTGAATGGCTTCCGTACTATCTAATTCTTCAAAGCGCGTCACGCCGTCAGTATCGTGAACACTCGGCTCATCTTTGTCAATACTTTCCAGTCGGCCCGCCGCCCCTTGTTTGGCCGTATCTTGGGGGTTCTGCTTTTGGGAATCGGAGGATGTGGATTTACGAGTCCGTTTGGGTAATGTCGGCTTTTGCGTTCGTTTTCGTGATCCTATCCGTCGATTTCGGCATTTAGGAGTCTTGTGGTTAGATTCATGGCCACCTTGGGATTTTAGTTCGCCAGCGCGCTTCCGATGGATATGATTGTTCATGGCATGGCGTTTGACGGCTGTGGAATCGGGGTTTATTCCATCCATGAAGCAGTACAGTGTGTTTTGTTGGGACTCGTGGCTAGCAGCTGCATGATCTTCATTTGTCATATTGTCAGTCGTGAATATGAACGTTAACGGGTATTCGAAGGAGAATGCGTGAGACGTGGATTTCAGGCTGACAGTCTATTCAGCGAGTGTTCTCCGTCAAGAAGAGGACTAGCCATTTGACAGTGGGCCATAGATGTACCCTTTTGCGAGTTGACGGTATGTGTAAGCTCTCCTTTAGGCCAAGGCACATAGAAGATCCGGGGCCTAAGTAAATATGCGTTCCGTCTTGGCTTCTCTGCAGGATGACAACATATTACGCATAGTGCAGGGAGATCGATAGCCGTGCAGCATCCCTAAGCGGGTTTGGAGGAATCCCTCGTCGTACTTCATGCAACCTCCGTGGTGGCACGAAAATGGAGCCATTCTCCACAAGCCAGGCCATTGCCGGTGGTGCATACGAAGTAGCCACTATCATAAATCAGTCAAACGAGAAATTTAGCTCTGAAGTTTGGGCAAAGCCTCTCGAGGATCCTGTGGGGTGTGGCCTGTTTGGGGGCGGGATGGATGCACGTCGCGCCTATGAGATCTTGGAACGGTCGTTGGAAAGAAGTTTTGTGTTTTTTCGTCAACGGATATCCTCGCGGCTGTCAAGATCAGTCATTCGGCGCATCAGGCTGATTCGCTTATGGGACGAGAATGGCCAGGTGCTTGTAAGACTTCACGCATCACCATGAGTTAAAAGCCCTGAATGGTCGCCTCATTAGCCTCGATGAGCAACGATCTAGGGTAAGCCTTAGTTATGTGAGGCGAGCATAGGTAGTCTGAGGCTGAGGATGTCGAGCTCGTTGATGGCGCGAGAGCTTGTCTTGCAACAGGTTCATCGTCACTTATAGTTATATTTAGTCATTGAGCCAGGAGTTGCGTTGAGCGCGAGTGTCACCGCTCGTCATTTGGCTGCACCCCACACTGCCCACGGGCACCAACGCGAGGAGGCAAAAGCAAAACACCGCAGAGTAACAACAACAAGCCTCTGGGAAGTCTGAGTGTGATGCAGGTGTTTAAATCTGCTGTCACGTTATTCTTGGGCGTGCATCGCCCAAGACTAGCGGTTCCTGCGCATTCTTAAGGGAACGCGGAGAACGTTTCTGATTCCCAAGACATCCGGCGGCCCAGCCGGACTGGCTGCATGGCTGCCTGCGACGATATAGATGCAGGCGCTGCTCCTCCAATTCTCGCATCTACTCTGCTCCAGTCTTATCTGGACGATGACGAAAATGGAGCCCAAGTGACCCAGGTTGATAGTGACTGGAATTTGCAGCCAGACATAGACAAGGGAATTCCATTCACCAAGGCAGGGAGCTCGGTGTTTGCTCCTGGTCGAGTGATTGGGATATCTGGCCTACAGCCTACAGTTCCGCCGCAGCGAGACTGGAGAGATGGAGACGCCGCAGCCGTGCGAAACTGGGTGTTCGAGGTAGGTGTCCCGGACCTTACAATATGTTGCTCCATGGAGGCTCAAGACGTCAATTCCAAGTTCGCATTTGATTCCTTCCTGGACCAGTTGGACTGATAAGTGCTTACAGCTTTCTGCGCACATTCTCATAACCCTATTGACGCGGCCACATCTGGCCGCTTTATCTCTTGATCCTGGAGCACAATCGGGGACATTTCCGCAGGCTGTCGTTATCCAATTCTACAGCTCACGCGCATTCACATCAGAATATCTACTGCGATCTATCCAGCAAAGGCTTCCGGAGCTCACGACGAACTTGACCCAAAATATACTCAACACCGTCAAGATAATCCGCGCATTCAATTTTGACGAAATCCTCGAAGCCGTGTCTCAGGTCTCAGACATCTTATACGAAGCAAAGCACCAACAAACCACGCTTCTCCTCTTAGAAGGCTTGGATCAATCGCTTGCAGAGATCCAGCGCAACTCCAGCATCCTCGCCGCACAGGCGAAACTCATCCCACTCCTCCGCACGTTAACCATTCTTTCTCGAAACCACGCATCTTTTCTTACCGTGATTGTGGTGAACCCAGTCCTTCTCCCAACAGCGCCATTTCCACCTTCAGCTCCAGATATCCAAGCGAAGCAATACCCTGGAGTACATTTCACCCAACAAGAATGTGTATCGCCCCACTCCAGGCACCATCATCATTCGAGTCACCATCAAGCAGTTCACTCGATTTTCTCACCGACGTCGCAACCGCAATTACAAACACAAGGTCAAAGCCAAACGTACTCCTCTCCATCCACCCAACAACTTTCCCAGCAGACAGTATCATACTCCTCCTTAGCTCGTTCCTTCGATCAAGGCTTCGATACGCATCTACTAGTCTCGAAAATGGAATCTAAAATGATAATCGAAGTTGCAAAAGACCGGATGGGCGAACATCTAGGTAGATGGTGTGCTTTATGATTTCAAAGAACCAGTGAGGGGGGCTAATCCGCTTATATTTTACTCGGCCCCCTAAAAATTAGGGTATTATGCATACTCTTCATGAATACTGTACCAGAGTCCATCATCAGTTGGTATGATTTTCACACCTTGATTTCAGATCTTCCGCCCGATAATCCCGTCTTCCCACAAGAAAATATTTTTCAGTATCTGCCAAAGAATGCTAGAAACAGATGAAGGGTATTATTTTCCAGACACATGCATACTCCGTAAAAGCCCGTTGTTCTGACGCCCATGGCCTCCGCTTAGAAACCAATATGATGTTGCATCGAACATCAGAAACCCGGCATTTAGGCAGGGAGAGAAAGGATGCTGTATATTAAATAAACAATGCAAAAGGTAATAGGAGTAAGAAAAGCACAGGGTAGAAATACCGTGCCATGCACCGAATCTTTTACCGTTGTCCATAAGTGATCAGATGCAGAAATCAATAACACCCATGATGCTAGTTGTTGAATGCTAAGTTGCACCGCCCACAGTCCTATTTTGATCCCCATATGCCCTCAATACAACGCCCTCGATAACTTCAGTAGCGGTCTTTCCGCACTTGGACAAATGGTCTTTGACTATCGATAGTTCAAAAAGAATATCCTGCTGCTGAACCTTGGCCCATTGTCTGTGCTGTTCACAGCGTTTCTTGATACACATCCCCTGAGCGATGGTGTCCACTTCGTTCTTGTCTGCATCGGCCATTTCTGTGTCGCCTGCATTATCAACCGAACGCTCAGGCTCAAGGACGCCATCGCCCAGTGCTTTCTTCCCCACCTCAGATTGCCTCCACTCATCAAATTCCTCATCTGACCAAGATAAACGAGAATCAAAGCCGCATATATCTTTCCAGCCTTTAGGATCGTTTTGCCGTAATCGTTCTAGAATATTTTTGGCACGTTGGCGTACCAAAGTTAGAAACCTATCGCGATCACGGAGTAATTGGGAGCGATTAAGAAGATCAGCTCTTTTCTCTTTGAGGCTATCCATGTGTTTTCGCTCTTCTGGTGTCCATTCGATATTATCGGCTAGCAGGTCAAAATCAATGCTTTTACCGGGCATCTCGCTTTTTGGGTCGAATGATTCGGCAACTTCACGGAGTGATTGGAGTCCTTGGGTTTCGGTTGACAAGAGGCTCTCGCCTAATTTTCGAAATTCTTCCGCGGATTTGACACCATCTGCCATGGCCTTCACCTCCCGTGGAGTTAGCACCCCTCCGATGTTCATTAAATCCTCGGTTCCTTCACGTTCGGCCCCGGCATCATCTGCATCGCGAACGATTTCGTTCGTCACTTGATCCCCGTTTGAATTCAACGACCCGCTCTCTACATATCCATTTCCTTGGTGCGTCTGGCGCGAATTGGTTTGACATAAGGATCCACGGCTTGCAGCGCTCGGTATATGGGAAGAAGTAGAACGACTTTCGGCTATTCGAAGTTTTCTCTTCATGAATTCCACACCATGGTCATCGGAGCAATACTTGCTTGGAGTCTTTGCGGTAACACGAGCAGGCTGGCGGCAGCCGGGAAGTCGACACATGCGTTTCCAAGTGGTGCGAATGCCCTGCTTCTCTTCACAATTGGGACCTATTGTGTCAGATGTCAGTTGCTTTTGCTCTACAAAAAAAAAAAAAAAAAATCCATTACACCCAAAGCCCACTCACAAATATATTTATCAATAAGATCAGCATCAATCTGTTTGATGTTGACACATTTCCCATGGAACCAATCCTCGCAGCCACCATCACAAGCAATCATCCATGTATGATTATCAGGCTTGCGACAGATACAAAATAACTCTGATGCATCGGCTTCGTCCTCTTCCATGTCTTCATCCGAATCGTTAGATTTTCCTCGCCTCTTGCCATCCGGCGCAGGCGAGCTTGCTATTGATGCAGAAGTTTGTTTACGATTCCGCTGTTTTGAGGGTTTCGAGCGAGAAGCAGGTGTCGCCGAACTTCGTTGAGATCCCACAGTTCCATCAATGCTCTCCGCGTCATTTAACTTGCGCTTTTTTGTAGCTGACTTCCGGACAGCTTGTCCTTTTTTGGTCGCGGCTGGAGCAGCACGCTTCTTCGTGGATTTCACTGAGGGTGCCGGAGAGGATCTCTCCGAAGAAGAAGCTCGTGAAACAGATTCTTGCTTGAGATCGATAATCTTTTTAGGCGTTCGAAAATCAAAATTTTCGCTTGTTGCCGTATACGGAACAGCACTGAGGTTTGGAAGCAGTTCTTCCGATTTGACACTGGGCCTATCATTTTTCGATTCGACTTCTGCTGTGTCCGAGAACGTCTTTTCTTCGTCTCTAGCAATATCGTAGAGATCGTGCCAAGGTGAACTCTCCTCCCACAATTCCTGGATCATGTTTCCATTGTCATCCTTACACCTGATTCTGCGGTGGACGATCCCGCTCTTTTCATAGCCGAAATAGCCAGCATTGGACCAGCCAACAATCCCAACGATTTTGCCGTTCTCCACAATAATATTCGACGGAAGTAGGTCGTTATGCGATAGACCGTAGTTACCATCTTCAGCAGTAGAGTCACCAAATAGGATATTGCGCTCGTCCTGGCGGAGTCTCGTGCTTTCGTCTGGGCTGCTTGAGTCCACAACATACGAAGCCCTTAACTCGTTAGGCTTGATGCGATGTATTCTTCGCACAATGTCTCGTGTCTCTTCCTTGAAGCTAGCCTTTTGGTCTGTATTGAGACTAGGCCACGCAACTTCGAGAGAAACGCCGGGAATACGCGACCGAACCAGGATATCCCGACCGCGTAATTTCGTCCTTAGATAGTATTCTGGCAATTTGACATCCGGGAGAACTCCCGCAACCAAGTTCACAGCAGCCTCTTCATTCTCATCCCAAAAGCTGTAGTCCCCTGTCGGTTCAGCGCTTTGGTGATCGCTTTTGATGATCACGTTTCCTAACGCGAATGTATCCCTCCTACCCGGAGCAGGGGCGTTGAGCTGAGTCTCGGGAACGCATTTCGCAAGAACCTTTTCCCAGTATTCCAGCGACAGTGGATCAGTAGACCGAATATGAGACGCGTCCGGCACGAACTTAGACTGGTCAGCGTCCGAGGGTGTTTCTGGCTTGACTTTTTGTCGATTTGTTTGCATCTCGACGGTCGACTGGTCCCCGTCTAATTGGGCTTCTGATGGGATATTCGCATCCACAGAGCCAAGTTCGATGCTCGACTTTGTATCAATATCCACCATATCCGCCATGTTCTGGGAAGAAGGGGTGCTGGGTTAGGATATTGGGTGAATGCGTGCGGAGCGTGCTCAAATAACAGTGCGGCGCGTCGGCATGGATTGGTAGTCGCAGTGAGGAGAGAGGAGGATACAGGAGCAAATATAGATATAAAAGAACTGAAGTTATGGGTCAATGTCAGTTCACTTCGAATCCGTGCTGGGCGGTGAGGGCCATGGCGATAATGATAAGCGACCGCGAGTAGGACCTGTCCAGTGAACTGTGGCGGGGCGAGGCGAGGCAATTCTAGAGGCAACGGAGAAGTGAACGTTCCTCCAAAGCGGCATTCGTAGCTAAAAGTACTTGGTGATGGGGTGAGCGAGAAATCAAAGAGCTGGCGAAAGAGAGAGGTTTAGGGTACAAGGCTGGTGACGGGAGCTTCGATGACGCTGAAAATTGGTTCAAGCAGAACGTCACCACGCGTCTCAGAGGAGAAAGGGGCGAGAGACGCTGATTCCTGATAGCGGGCTTGTCTGTAAAGCTCTGCAGTGGATTTTGTAGACGCGTTGAGGCCCAGAGCGCAAAGGCAGCTGAAATTGCCGAGTCGACAAGGTTGGAGATGGCCCGAGACACCCTGCTCTTCTCGCGCTTCTCCAACACACACCCAAAGCAAAGCACCAACAGCCATTGCTAGGATGGAATTCATATGTTTAATTGTCTACACTTTATATAGGTGCAAGCTAATATTCTATGCGACACCAAATCTATGATAAAGGTAACAGTCTCGTCTACAATAGGTCGTGTCTCATATGTCTAACATCCAACCAACACTCTCAGGGCATCCCAAAACCCTGAGCTCATACATGATTATCCGCAGCAGGGCGTAGATCGAGTTAACACAAGGACCGTTCGCCGTATCCCTTCTCGTCTACTATGCCCAAGCAGAACCGATCTCATTGCCAAAGTATAGTGACCATGCAGGCGGTGGCTGGAAGTGCCCTCAAGGCCTCTGGTGATCGTGGAGAAGACTCTGCCAGACAAAATGTCAGATGGAGGAAACAACACGACAGGAGAGGGGGAGCCTTAAAATATGTGCTGTCTGCATTTGAATACGCACAGAACCGCACCGTCTGCTGCACCACAGCAATGCCAGCTCCAACGCCTTTTCCTACCCAATGCAACCTCAATGGCCTACCCTTCACATGTCAAAGTATAATCTTCCATCTTAGTATGGGTAGAAATTGCGTTGGAATTGCTGGGATGATTCATGTCTATCAGACCCATGTCGTGACCCTCTGACTTTGAATTTATCAGGAAAACAGGACATCACAAGCTGTCTAATTGCTTCATGATGTCGAGTGCAGTAATGCTGATAGATTGGCTAGATACTATATAAATCCCCATGACTAGCAAAGAAATATAGTAATAACAAAGGAAATATTCCCTGTTGGGTACTGTGTACATCGCAACATAATCCAGCAATGCATGCAGTTGAATGATAAAAGGAAAAAAGAAAAGAAAAGAAAAGAAGGAGAAGATGATGAGGCAGCTAGGAATATAATGGGGTAATATGCATCAAACACTTGCCGAAATGGCAAAATAGAAGACACTCAAACCCTGGGGATGATATTAGGTGCAAATTACAAGATATGAAATTTTTTTTCTTTTTCACACTCACAGCTCTCACAAATGTGAATGCGAATGAATAGGTACTAGGACAACACATGGGGGAATGGATGCGGCGCAGAGGGGATAGTTCAGTAAGGAGGTGGACCGATTCCCCCTCGATCACTTGAAAGCCGATTCCAAGGAGCTGCGCCGGGGGAGAGCAAGCTAGTTTTTCGCGAATACGACGCTTTTTTCTCATCGTTCATTGATTGGAAGGATGGTTTCTTTCCCATTCGCGTTAAGCTGGAACTACCCTCCACGCCACCTGAAGCAATCTTGATTCCCGAGACTTCGCCGGTGCCATTCGGCTGCTGATCGTCATTGGGAGCGGAAAGCCCTTCTAACAATTTGTCCATGTCCACTCGTCGACCGAAGCTCAAGGTTCTTGAAGCTTCACGTCTTGACCATTGGCTACTCGTATCAGCGCGGTCCTGGGTATGAGGAGCGATCTCAGTCGTGTCGGCCGTGATCGCAATCCCAATATCGCCCAGATCCTCGCTATAGCCATGAGAGTGTCCGCTGGGAATTCCATTTAAGTCTGTAGCCCTTCGTTCGGAGCGCTCGTGTAGACTTGTATCCAAGGATTTCTTCCTGCTTAGAGACCTGCTCTGGCGTAGTGTAGACGCGTTACTTCCTTTACTTTTCGAGTGCGTTCGTGCCGGACGCCCTGGTGCCGTAGAAGGCCTATCAGACCGGGGCGGAGAATGCGATGGCGAAGTAACAGAAGACCCGCTGCGCGAATCAGCTGGGAAACCACCTGGTATAGCCAATGAAGAAGGTAGGGGAGGGACAGGGGGGATGTACTCGGGTTCAAAGTCACCATGAAGCTGGTTAGGCCCACCATGGTATCTGTTCAATCCTCGAGGTGCAGTCAAATTTTCTCGGGAAGACAATGGCCTGTCAGCAGCAGCTGTCCCGGCATCGGAGAAAGATAGATTATCGCTAACCATACTTTCAGTACTAGAGACCGTGCTATCCACCCTGTGGCGACCGCGTAAAGGACTCGGATGACGCACATTGCTACCATTAATCACAGACAGAACTCGCCGAAGCTCGTTAACTCGAACTGTGGAATCGCGACTTGAAGCCGCGGGAGACACGCGGCGCTCGGGGATACTTTGACGGCGAGTCTTTTGAAAGCCAGCCAAATTACCAGTCGGTGCACATGCCGCAGACACTGGGCGATCTTGACGATTACTTGCCGAGGGTGCAGTGCCCGTAGGGGATCCTGGGCCAGAATTGTATGCGCTCATATTGAGAGCATTAAGGCCAGCAGCAAAGGCGCCGGTTGCCGTTCGCGAACCGCTCAGAGAGGATGTCTTGGCCTTCTCCTTTTCAATAGCGTCTAGACATGCTTCCTTGGACCATGGGGCTAGCATCTGCTCCTTAACGTGCAATGGTAGCTGAGACCCTGCAGGAACATGTGGGTTGGTCGAATTGTTGAGGCCTAAGGATGGAATCGAAAATGATCGCCCGGGAGAGTTAGAAGGGCTTATTGGTGGAGACACATACGACGAATTGTAGGTGGATTCAATTTGCCTGACCAGCTCTTCTAGTGAAGTAAATCGTGAATATATGTTTTTATCCGGTTGAGGAAGCGATGCTTGTTCGATCACCGTGTCAAGGGAAGGTTGAATGTGATGCAACGGTCGTGGTGGTAGCTGGATTTTATCAAGCCAGACACCGCGCTTTTTTCGCTTTGAAATTTCGTTGATGATTTCGGCTGCGGGTCTTGTTCCTTCAAGATCAAACTTTTCCACCAACGCTAGAAGATAGCCGTGGACCAAGCTGCCGATGTGAAGGGCTTTGGTAGCTGACACCGAAGATGGGAGCTTATCCTGAAGCTTCATTAGGACTGGGAGAGTGTACCTTGCCGCGTTAACTCCGAGGTGTTCTACCAAATTCACTAGTAATAGATAAAGCCTCAAGATATCCGATTCAGTGGTGGATGACTCCGAAACAACATCGAAGATCGTAAGATGAAGCAATTGAAGAAAGCTCGAAGCTTGACACGCTGCCACGTTTTCTTCCTGAGGGGCGGTGGACACGATCCTCCTCGCAAGCCTCTCTGGGATGTCAGATGTATCCCTTCGATTCCCCATTTTTGACACTCTGGTATGTTCGGTAGGCACTCTTAGATCGCTCTTTTTCGTTTCCAGTTGAAGCCAAGAAAGGAACGCATCGACATACGCATTGCGGACTTCCCACTGGGGGTCCTGCAGTAGCCAGTGAGTACCTTCCCACACATGCAGTGGAACGCGATTCCTCGCATCTGGATCAGTCCCGGAGGTAGACTTTCGCAGATTTGCAACTACCAAGATATCTTTAACCGACCTTAACGCCGTGATTCGTGCAGCTGAAGACGAGAAGTAGCTTTCAGCGGTATAATCAGACCGTGAAGGACTTGACTTTTGAATTGCATTATCTGATTCTGATTCATGGTGGGCATTTTCCCCTTCTAAGGCGGGGGATGGTTTGATGCGTATGACGATGGTTCGAATCATATCGGAGACTTGATCACCATAGTAAACATGTGTCGCCAAATTTCCGATGCACTTTTCAAGTAGTTCTAACAATTCATGCCGCAGAGAATCTGCCGTAGGAGCTTTCTCATTCTCGCCGTTGGTTTGAGAGTTCGTAGCAGCAGTTTCGTCCATTTGTGGTAATGGCTTTATAAATGTAGATAGCCCATGGTGCGGCAGCAATGTCTGAGTTCCATCCCCCAGTTGTAAAAGCTGACGGACGAATTGGAGCAAACCGATCAACACATCCATTACACTAAGCCCGATTAGATTGACCGACGAACCAAGTAACCAGTCCATCATGGAGGCTAGCGTAAGTTGTGGCTCGAGCCGTCCGTCGACAAGGGGACGTTCCACCAACGTCTCCAACAAAGTCACGAGAATGATGAAACGATCTTGCACTGGTGACCAGTTGGCAATAACTTCCAGCAAATTAGTAGCCCAATTTCCATCGGTTTTGCCGTTAGCACTTTGTTGCTTCTCCTGCGTTCGAGGCGGACGCCTGCTGACTATGAAACTTAAGACAAGCGACGTAGCAAACCGAATCTGTACCCTATTAGTTCCGGAGAACACTTTCTCTAAGCATCGCAACGCGAGGACGCGGGCTTCCATTTCGGCCATCATATCGGCGTCGGCCGCGGAACCAGAGGCGGATTCCGGATCGCCGTTTCCGTCGATAGTATCCACAGTTTGTACAGTAGAAATACTCATGCGACGGCGGCGAAATTGCTCCCTTTCGAGCCTCTCCGAACTTTTTGCTTTTTCCTGTAAAGGTGACAACCTATGATCGCCGCTAGCGTATAGGTTTTGAAGAATCACGGGAATAACAACATTAAGTTGTTTGGCACCATCCGTCGATAAAATCTCGGATGTAACGATGCTCTTGATAGCTTTTAAGCCAACAGTCCTCCATCTTAAGGCCATGGGGGCGCTCATTGGAGTTTTCGTAGTAACAGGCGTCTCTGTTGACGCAAAACTGGCATACGTTCCCACAAGTTCCCTATATTGTATAATATATTCATGGTCCGCCGTAAGTGTGGCGCTGTCCTGATGACGACAGAACAACTCAAAGGTTGGAATTGTCTCTTCCACCATGCTTATTTCACGAGAGCGGAGGACAATATCAAGTACGGTAAGGATAGATCTTGCGTACAGAGGCAAATCGCGTGGCACTTTTTCGATGAGCGCGGCGAGGATCTGGAGGGTAACCTGAACATTGCTACTCCATCAATCAGCACCCAGGAAAAGGCTCAAAACCAAATACGGAATTATTTTTTTTGGTGTCAGCATACCCAAGCTTCCCCCTCCAGACGTCCCTAGCGGCTCTCTTTTCTAGGAACGCACCGACCTTTTGGAGCTTGCTACGGCGGGTGCTCGCGTAGTAGAGTAAATAACTGAGCTCCGACGAATTGGGCTTGACGGACTGTACGCCCTTCTGAAACCGGGGGTAGCATTTTAATATCAGGACTTGATGTTTCGGTCGGCATGACTGGCGAACGGAATTCATCTGTGCGAAATTCGACCGTCGAAGCTGGTTTAAGGGGGAGGAGGATCGAACAGGGATAAGGGGCACGCCCCAAAGGGATTAACGGTGCCCCCGGAGAAGCCGAAGTCCAGCTATCACCACAGCTCCAGCTTTCAGCTTTTATAAGGCTGAGTCGCAAAGTGATATCCGAGACTTTGTTTGTTGAAGTTGATGTTGCGTGGTACGAAGCATCGAAGGTGTCATGGAAGGAAAATCAAAGACGGAGTGCCAACCCCAAGGTTGCCACAGGTGAAGCTCGAACAGGCCCGAGATGATCTTATCATCGGTCTAAAAGCAACTTGAAGTGTTTGTTTGCTTGACTGAATAGTCCCGACAAGAGCCTACGCCTGGACCGATCAATCTTGCTTGCCTGGTAAGGCGGAGTTGCGAAGTCACTCCAGGCCAGCTCAACGGAGAGCGACAGCGACAAGCTCCGTCAGCCAGTTACGTAACGAGCCAAGACCGCACTCTCCCGTCAAGAGTCGGTCTACCATTCCTAACCGGGAAATTAAATTACCAGGTTTCGAAACGTGTACTCCGTGCTTCGGCAACGGAAAACTACGAGCCTGGTTTATCTGATTTACTGGAAAAAGAACAAGGCTGGACTGTACGGAGCACGCAGCCAAATTTGACTTTGTGGTGTCGAATTGGTTGGTCTGGGAATGCGACAAGCAACCACTTCGATTGGGTGTGCAGATGCTTTGTTCTGGCCATTCAGGGGCTACAAGATCCGGACCTGCAAGAATCAAATGTGTCTTCATTCTGATAGGCCTAATCATAGTGCAGACTTCAACGAACCGATACCAATGACCAAGGTCAGTGTTATGCTGTTTAAGCTGTTATGCCTGAGGCAGTAAAGCATTTTCAATTTTCACTGTAAACACAATGCGCCTTTTCCCTATCCAAGTTTGATCATGCATAACGTTTGGAATACTTGAGGCAGCACCGTGACTGTACGGCATTGTTGCCTAAAAATATCCTTGCATTCTGAAATCCTATCCAGTGCAAGAGAAGTCACTTCACCCGGGCCTTAAAGCAGCTCGTCCTCCCCCGAATCCAGGCGGCCAGGCCTAGTTCTAAAAGGGTATTTTTGTTGGATCCATATCTTCCTATGGCCTTCGTATGTAGCTATGGACAAAGTATGTTAAGTACATATAAATGTAGGGTACTAGTTTTGAAGACATCTAAAGCAAACACAATGCCCTCCATCTCATTTTGACACTCCCGCCCAAACACGTGCGCAGAGAGCCGGCAGAAGAGTTCGCTGGCACTTCCACTCCATCCTCTATGTTATTATCGTACTGAGAGAATCCGCCCATTTCGGAGATGGTAGGCAGGTTGAAAACGCCGACGGCACAGAATCGAAGCCCGGACCGACTAAACATTGTCATCAACTGGCCAAGCTAGTCCAGCTTCCGCTTTCAGCCAAAGACCGCCAGCCATCAGATTTGCACAAGCTGCAGAACTAGTATCTGAAGAAATGCGTTCACACTGCTTCCTAGTATTATCAACAGTCGAAAATTGTCCGGAAGCAGAAGTTTCGGAAGTGTGTAAGGATATTTGTGGAGACTTTCGATGTCCGTATGAACTGTTGTTGGCATATCGCAAGCTGTTCGACATAGAGCAAGTGAGCCGGGTCATTCATGATCGCTTCGTACCCTAAGCCTTTCGACAACGGAATGGCAACGGGCAACCGTTCTCCAGAGGCGCGCCGCGAACTCCGAAAAGGGAAAATGGGTTGAATTCCAGAATCCACCGCTATAGCACGACAAGAGAATTGCCAACATGGCGAATATCCGCAATATCAAATAATGGTTCATATGCCTTCATCGCTGCCGCCACCAAGAGCAACAAACACCTGACTTTCAGGAAGTAGCGCCATTGGACCCCTTCTCAGCTTGCTCCTCGTTATTCTTCTCCCGGTCTTCCTCCGACTCAACGTGCAGAACGACTTCCGTCGTTGTGCCCAGCAATGCCTCAATAACCTGTGGCCTGATCACTGCTTTGCGGAATGATTCCTCTTGTAAGAGCCGCAACGCTCTTAGGGTAGCTCCGGGGTGTGTCAAGAACTGGACGTATTCGGGACGCTTCCAGTAATCATAGAGATAGGCAAGGTACGCAGCAAACGCTTTAGCGTCGGACGATGCTGAAGGATCATCGTTGTCTGTGGATTGGGAGGAGATGCCAAGAAGATGCGGATAGGTGACAGCAAGGTGAGAAATATAATAAGGATTCGCGAGGGAAAGGACGAATTCAAGCTCAAGGGTAAATCGTGGGTTTGATAGGTGAGGTGGAGGAGGAACGAGGCCAGCTTCTTGCGCCATTTAGAGAGAGCTTTGAGACACCTTGATTTTATTGTCCTCCGGTGATAACAAACACGGTCAGCGTTCCCTCCTCACTACCCCATAACTAGAAGACTGGAGGTGCTACTAGCCGAGAGCCAGTTACCATTTTTGTTTTCCTACGGCGGCAAAGTCAAATTCACGTGATCAAAAGAATCTCGCCGCTTTAACTAGTTAACCGAGTAGATCGGGCGTTTCGAAGCTGCCTCTGTCTGGAGTAGCATAGTACAAATGAGAGGCGCACCAGTCGGCCAGATTAACTAAATAATTAGTTGATTGATTAGTTACATCATGCCTCAGCTAAAGGGCCGCTGTGGGAATTCTCCGGGAGCAACATATGCATTTTCGAAAACTACAATTGAGTCCCCAGCCATGCAGACTGCTCAGCGGGCTTGTATTGGAGTGACCTCTTGGGTGATGGCTAGGGTTGAAGATAACTATGGCATCACTGACTACATGGTTCAAGAGCCTGGCATGCCTATTCCATCAGCTCCAGGATTATGTTAAGGTCATTCTGTGTTAAAAAGGGGCGCATGATATCCACATTGCTACTAGATAATGATATCTTCTTCAACCAACTACAAATGTAGATCAACATATTCAGGAAGTTTTGAACGTGTTTTGCCTTTAAATATATGATATTAATTCAACACACTACTCTGTACTAATGACAAAGCAACAGTGTGGCAATTAGTAGTGCTAATCCATAGTAATGATACATTTGACCAAACAAAGAGAAATCGAAAACGCCAGCTACGAGTCCCAAGTAGAGTCACATCAAGCCCCAGGGCCGGGTCAGAAGGTGCCCGTCACACAATCACATTAAAAAAGATGAAAACAGATGTCGTCATTTGCATCGGCAAGGTGAAGAAGAAACGGTGTCGCTCATTCGATTTGGATTTTCTTCAACGTGGGAGCAGCCGCCTTTGGGACAACGATGTGCAAGATTCCGTCTTTCAAGCTAGCCCGTACCGCATCTTGGTTCACGCGGGCCGGGAAGGAAAAGGAACGTCGAAACTCTCCGACCGAGCGCTCGGTGACCCAGTATTTGTAGGCAGGTTTCTTGTCAACAGCCTTCGAATTCGAGTTTTGCTTGATAACAGCTGTAGATTCAGCCGGCGTCTCGGCTAGTGATGAAGGAGTGGATGCATCTTCGTCTTCGACGGTAGGCTGGTGAGAGCTCTTGGTAGATTCGGTCTCGTCTGCCACCTCATTTTCATTTGTCTCAGTGTAGTCACGGTGAGAGCGGCCCTTGATCACCAATGTATGTTCATCGGCGAATTCAATCTCAATGTCTTTCTGTTTTACACCGGGAAGCTCGCCATCAAGGAGGTATAAGTTGTCAACTTCACGGACGTCAAAGCTTGGGGAAAAAGATCGGAATGAAGAGGCGTTGGCTTTGCGTGCGGTGGAAGATCGGTGGTGGTCGTAATCGTCCAAGAGGTGGAAAAGTGGGGTGAAATCACCTGCAGAGAGACGAGGGAAGAGTGCCATGTTATGGAAGCGTCTTGGAGTAGATAGAGTTGCTGGCCTTTTGAGGACTCTGACGTTTGTCTTGGGAAGTCTCTTCAAGTGATGGAGAATGGTCTTGCTCGATTGCATAAGAATATAGCTCTGATAAGCCTAGTGATTGTATGTCTGCTTGATGAGAAGGGAGGTTGATCTATGGCGGGAGAGTTGCGATATTTTATAGACACAGGGCTGTATGCTAGAAGTTACCTGAAGAATCGTTAAAGCCTGATTTCAAAGCGATGTTTCCAAAGGAATTATGGACCTCGACACGGCTAGATGTTTCTCGATATTTCGCGTTGGCTCTCGTGGTTTCTAGAAATTCTGGCGATTAAGCTTAAATTTAAGGTTTAGCTAGCTGCACGATCTAGAGGATTTTTGGAAGCCGCCACCGAGGTCGGATATCGGAGAAACAATAAACCGATTTCCTATGCTGGCCTTCGGTCGCGTGCTTGTTCTTGGTTGCTTACACGATTTGTGTCTCTCTTCGACTTGAGCCTCTCTCAAATTGCTTTTAACGTCACATCCTCACCATTGTTACCATTTGTTTCTTGTGTAATGGATGGCCTAGCAATTGATATCAAATCTCTTTTGATCTGACTCTGAACACCACCCCGCTCAATAAAATTTAAATGGTCTCTCGCACGTTGTCTTCAAATGGATTAGAAAGGAAATTGCTCTGTTGCATCCCCAAAGATGCTAAAAGGCTCTGAGTTAACTTGTGCTGCTGTGAACATCGGGCTGGAGGTTTGTCAGAAGTATTGTGGAAATCTGAAGTGGAGTTCTTTCTCTTTCTTTTCTTTTCTTTTCTTTTTCCACATAACATTTATGTGCAAAAGCAATGGCTGCATATAAATATCCTTTAGTTATTCATAATTTAGACCATCCTAGAGCCGATCTCATGGCCATGACCAAAATATCTCTCTGCAATATCTCCTGGATATGATATCGAATCACCGATACTCTCTGGATTCGCTAAATAAATCCCCATAGTTCGCTAATTTCTTTGCAGTTAATCATGTTTTTCAGGACGGCTATACTCTCCTATCTGAGCATGCATTGGGTCTTTGTCGACAGCAAGAATCGACTCGTTACCCGGGGTGAGTGAAGTCGATGTCTGCGTCGAGGGAATATCGACGGTGTCGTCGCGCCAGAAATCCTTTTTGCTATTCAAAAGAGTTAGCGAAGATGCTGGTAAAAAGAACAACTTTCCAACTAGGGAATGGCCCACTCACCCTCCTATCAATCTTACTAGCCACCCTGGCAAAATTCCTCCAGGAATCTTATACGTCCAAGGCTCCTTGAACGTCTTATTCTCCGGCACCAATCGACCCCCAGAAGACTTTTCCAGTACCCACGTAATTGTATTCAACAGAGCATATGTCAAGATTCCAGCGATCAATCCGTATGCGATAGAGTATGTAAACGGCATCATGGCGAGACATACAAAAGCCGGTATCGCATCGCCCATATACTTCCAGTTAATATCCGCCGCGACTTTCGTCATCATGGAGCCGACAAGGATGAGCGTACAGCCCGTTGCCCACGGGGGGATAGACGCAAATATGGGAGCGAAGAAAATGGAGACAAAGAAGCAGAGACCGGTGACCATGGCCGTGATACCTGTGGCACCACCCTCAGATATACCTGCACCAGATTCGACAAAGGCAGTCACGGGCGAGCAACCAAAGAGTGAGCCGACGGAAATACTGAGAGCGTCGACGAGATATGCGGTTGCCGAACCTTCAAAGTCTTGAGTCCGTTCATCGATAGCGCCACAGTAGCGGGCCATCGAATACAGAGTGCCGGTCATGTCGAGAATGTCGACGTAGAGGAATGTAATCAAAGCAAGGCCGAACTGGCCACCTGCTTTGCTGAGATCCCATTCTTGCACGGCGAGTGTTTTCTCTATCTTGTGGAACGTTACGACTTTTTTGAAGAAGTTAAAAGAGTCGTCGCCTTCAGGGGTGTGGGGGAAGAAAGTGACATCCGTAGGCCGGGGCCAGGAAATGATCGATACGAGAAGGATTCCGGCTATGATCGCGCCTTTAACGCGGTACATCAACAGCACGGCTGTCAGAACACCGCCGCAGAAAATCCCTATCCACATTGTTGGGCTTCGCATTTTAGCCCAGGATGGACACGTGCCATTCTTGTCCATCGCACCTGGAATACATCCTGCCAAAGTCACAGGAGTGCTTGTGTCACCGGTGACGGCACCAATGCCGGCGCTGTACGTTAACCCGATGAGAGCTTGGTTATAAAGTCAACAAAACCCCCACAAGCGCAAAGGGGATAATTTACTTAGATATAGGCCAATTCCAACGCCAGACGCCAACTTGATTGATCTGGGAATCGCTCTCGCTAGCCATTGGCGCAAGCCGAGAATTGACAAGCCAACGAAAACAAAACCCTCAACGAAAACTGCTGTCAGAGCCAGCTGATAGCTCACCGTCCCCGTGCCATGGAATCCGACGACATTATATGCGAAATAAGCGTTCAAGCCCACTATTAAAATAAGAGTCAGTCCACGCGCAATCACTATAGTTCTCCACAACCATCCCAGATCGCACTTACTTCCCGGCGCCAAAGCAACCGGCATATTCGAAAACAACCCCATACAAAACGACGACAAGGCCGCAATCGCCGCCGTCGCGGTGATTATATCTCGTCTAATCACATTCAAACACAAATTATACTCCACATTGTTCATGCACTTCGGATCCTCAGGATCATTGCACACGCACGTGCCGCCGGAATCTGTGAGGATGTTCGCATTTACGGAGATGATATACGCCATTGCGAAAAAGGTGGTGAGGCCGGCACGGATCTCGGTCAGGAACTTTGCGCCCTTGCGCTCGCGTCGCTGTCGGCAAACACACTGTAAGCTTTGCTGCTATTTCGAAAACAAGATAAAACGGGAATGAGCAGGGTAAGTTCCTCACATGGGCCGAGCCCTCAAGGCGAAACCAGTATCCAAAACGCGTCTTTGCGACCGCATTATTGATGCGGTCTCCCCAGTCCTTCATGATGGGCTGCTGTTTTAGAGAAGCCCTGACCGTGCGTCGGTAGGTAGAAAGCACAAAGTTATGAACAGGAACTGGAGAAATGGGGATGACAGAAGAGAAAAATAGCAAATAAAAATGTATTTATCACAATATCAGAGAGGTGCTATCATAATGGTTCAATCAGCACCATGGTGCAAATTCCCTTATCAGCAGTCACTTTGTGCATTCCCACAAACTTGTATCTGTGTATGCATACACTCTGAGAAAAATATTCGTTTTAAAAATTTGGTGGACCCGGTTCGCCACATTTCTGTGCTCGTGGGTTGCCCACAAGCCGAGGGGGGGGGAAACAAAAGAAGTGTCCATTGAGCCCAACCATTTGATACCAAAGGCTTTTCGCTTATCGTTATCTTTTTCTAGCGCCAGAACCGGCTGCGGGAAAGAGAGTTCGCATCAGTCAGCATATGGACGGCGAATGCTCACGCGAGCCGTGCCGTTACAGCTCAACAGGGGAATTCTGTTGCTCGCGTTTGCTCGTAGTTTCGCCGAAGTCATTAAGCTACCCCATATTCGGGTTAGTGAGCGCATTTTAAGGTAACCCCGGGTGCGCGGGATAGGAAGCGGTCTCGAGCTCCCTCCCCATGGTTCCAACGCAGAATAAATGACGCCTCGTAGCTATACCCGCACATACGGGATTGTAGGCGTGCGCTTGCTGCTTGTCTCAACCAAGTTCCGCTTGTTGTGCTGATAGACGTCTTTCCGCGAGGAGATGGCCAAAAAAAAAGAAAAGAAAGGGTCATGCCCACGCATTGGGCTGCATGGGTTTGCCCTGCCGTGCCGTGGGGGTTGCATGTGGATGTGGCTTGCTTGGTCGGCTCTCTAAATCCCTGCTAGGGACATTCACTCAACAACAGCCGCACGTAAATGACCTGCTGCACAGATTCGTTGGTCAAGTTGCACTCCGGACTGAGTCTGCTGCAGCGTGCTTTGACTTGCAGCTTTGCTGCAGGGACCTAATGCCATCCACGGCTCGAAAGGGTTTAGTGATTTTAGTGATTTGCACCCCTGGAGCTTTACCGCAGAAATGATCAGAATTGATGCGATCACTGGGCTTGGTGTTGGATTAAACTCTACAGAGTTCCGAAACAATAAAATGCCATTGATCCTATCTACGCCAGGAGCTGGACATTGGAAAGTAGAAAAAAACTAAATCATGACAATTGAAGTGGGGGAAAGGGAGAACCCACGGGCATCAAGCACAGAGTACGGAGCCGATGGGTGGGAAAGCAGAGAAAGAACCCCAGAAAGGCACCCAGGAGAAGTAACGGGTTAAAGAATTAATCAGTTTAATTGGGAGAAGAGAAAATGTGGGAATCATTGGCAAATACAAAAGAAGCAATTCAACTCAAACAAAATGCCCAGACTATGTACCACAGAGCTGGCTTTCAGGCTCAAGAGACATTGATCAGTCCGGACATATAGCATGAAAGGAAAGGAAAATAAAAGTTCGTGAAACAAAGGCGTACGGTTAAGAGACGAAACGACATGCTTGAACAAATTATTGACCATCTCCAACAGTTGTTCTCCTCTCGGGGCGTGCTCTTCTCAAACTCTTCATCCGATTCATGAGCCCCCCGCCAATACCTCCTCCACCCGACTGACCGCTAGGCTTCGTTTCTCCAATCGCGGCGGAATCTGACTCCAAGACGGATAGAGATTTCGGGCTGCTAACAGATCGGGGTCTCACATTGTCTTTCATTCCTCCGTCGGAAACCTCCCGGATCCTGGCTCCCTTGAGGTCATACGCTTCATCGTAATCCTGGAAGAATGGGTTCTTGTCGTTCCTTCTCGAAGGCCCGCTAACTGGAGACATCCGAAGGAGTGGCTCTGGAGATGTCACACGACCAGCACCGGCCCGAGTGTTGATTCCTCGAATTTTCTGCGCTAAGCTCTTCTTACGCTGCAGTCCAGCATTCTGCAAAGCTTGAGCTTCAGTTTCACTCTGTCGCCGTTCGATAGCAGAACGGCTTGCAGGGGCGCCCTCCAAGAAGGTAGATGTGCCAAGGCCCATACTCTCAGCGCCGTGTATCGGTTCCACTCTGGCGGTGGGATCGAATCTTTCCGGCGCACGACTGGTCTTTGAGAAATCAGCGTATCCTTCCTCGCCACGGCCATGGAATAGGTTGAGATCAATGTTAGTATTGTTAGGTCCGGCCCCGCCTAAAGCCATATTTCTTGAATCCTTGGGAAATGCCTGCATGGGGGCATTGCGAAGATTCTTGCGGTTGCGATGAGGATTGCATGCATCAAAAGGACCATCGTGATGGAACACTGGTCAAGAGTTAGTACATGCATGGCAAAAATGAGTGAGTATTGAGTGATTACAACTTCCGCCATAGACACTGGTGACATCGAGTTTGTCAATTATGTCCAGCTTGTAGCTATTATTCTTCCGCGAATGATGCCGGTCTCTATGCTTCCCATCTCGGTCTTTGTGCCTCCTTTCTCGCCGTCGTCGCTCCTCCTCCGGGTCGAGTGCCCTGGGGCGCTCCATGATAGAAGATTCTGAGTTTCTGCGGCGTCGCTCCCGTCGATGAGGTTGCTGTCGCCGGGGCTCTTGCGGGTCGGCAAAAATATCAATCAAAGGCTTCGCAGACCTTTCCGTTTGACGGAGATTTGTGTCCTCTTTGGAGGGACGCCGGGGCGGGCGCATAGGCTCTCTGCCTTTTAAGTTTCTTCCAGACGGAATATTCTCAGAATTCGGTGGAGGAGGGGGCCGTCGCTCCCTTGGTCTCGCTGGGCCGTCTAGGGAAAGATTGTCCTGCTGGCGGTCAGTTTCTGGGAAAGAGTCCCTAAAAGTGAAACTTGAAAGGTAGGGGAAACTCATGAGTGATATCTTACAAATAGCCTGGAGGCATGCTCGGCCACGTCAGAGTCTTGTTTCGAACTTTTGGTTGGCGACATGTTTCCTGCTCCCAGAGCCTGCAGAGCAAGTGCCTCTGAATCGTCGAGGAATGGATTCGTTGAAACCGGTCGAGGCCTGCTAGCTGGGGCAGCGAGTAGACCGTCAGGCGGCGACGAGGTCCTGTTGCGGAAGGGATTATTGGATCCCAGGGGAACAGCTAGTCGAGGGGAGGATTGCCGACCTAAAGGGTCGCGAAGCAGGATGTGTTAATCACGTAGGTCACCTGTCTGTTGCTTACAGCATTGGGATAGTGACACAGCCAGCCCGGTTTTTATGGTTTTAAGGAATGCTGTTTCAGAGGGGGGGGAGAGAGGAGGCCAAAGCAGCAGCCAATTTGCTTTCACATCATATCAAAGAAAAAAGACGATACAATGCGATAGAGATGCCAAGCAGTGGAGCTTTGAAGGAAGTCGATGAAGAATTAAAATTGGATCGGTTTTACAATACGTACCTGGCACAGAACGTGATGCTATATTGGACATTGTGAATGGACAGATGGGCTAGTAAAGTCGCGCGGGCGCTTGGAACCTGGAAGAGTGGGCAGTGGGAAGTTCCGGAAGGAGGTTATTTCAGGGAAATCTCCGGGATGATTCGTAATGCAACCAGTGAACTCCTGATTACCTCAGTGTCAGAAAATATCAAGTAGGGGGATGGCGACAGCCCAAATCCTGTTCTGAGACAAAAGAAGTGGATTAATTCGTCAGATGCGGGCGAAGATCCTGGCGGAAAGGAGACGAGGGGAGGCAAATCAGCAGTGGTGCTGTTGTCGAGCAAACAAAAGTTGAAACAAAAGGGGAACACACCAACACACTTACGGGGTACGTGAGTGCTCAGGTTGCGATGGGCATGGTGTGCTTGAGCTGACGTAGGGATAGTAAAGATTTAACTAGTTGGAGCCCCTTGCCGCTGCTGAAGACAGAGAGGGTGGGCTGAAGTGAACGACGCTGGGAGTGAAGAACGAGAGTGATAAGTGCTGCAAATGGCGGAAATGGCTGGCGGCAAAGAGGAGGAAGATGAAGATGAATTGAAGTCTTAACCTCGACTTTCACCCTTGAAAGACGTGAAGTTAATTAAGCCGTTGATGGAAAACTGTGGGGATTCACTTTTGCTTTTGGCTTAGTCGCTTCTCGCTGCTCCGGACTTTAGCCACAGCCGCGCCCCCCCGTGCATTAGCAGCGGACACAGGGGCTCCTTGTGAGCTGGAGGAAAGGAAAAGCGGACTCCGCCAGCGGCAGCTTCTCCGCTGATCGACTGAAATCACATCTAATGTGAAGAACTGAACAGGAATTGGTCTGAAGAATCAAGTGGTTTTCCAATTCCACGGAGAGGCCGGGCTGCTGCTACTGGTACTTCTGCCGATCTGGCCGCAGAGACGGGGGCCGAGTCTTGAAGTACCCGACTTTCTTCACAGTCACGCAGAAGACGCATGTACCCTGTACAGTACCAATATACCTGCCAACATAGTGCGTACATCATACGTGGCCTTCAGAATATGACAAAAAGGTCCAGAACCCTAGCGGAAAACGGCCAGATTTATACGCCACCCAGAACCTTACTGCCATGGATATACATAAACGAAGTCACAAAGGTCTTTCAAAAAAAAACATATCCAGTGCACCCGCCTGCGATCGAAAACCCATTGTATCCCCGCTTTGAAAACGCCTATTCATTCCCCTTCCCGTTCAGCTTGCACCTTCATAACACCCACGAGGACACAAACCCGGATAAGCTAGAGGCCACGGCCAAGAACCCTAGAGGTAACATTCCCAATCGAATGAGTTACTGTTCATGCCTCCCCTTCCCCGTTGTAGATCTGCTGCTGTAATACTATGCTGTACACGCTTGCCTTTAGCAGTGTATACACCGTCGCGGTCTTTCGCTCCAGTAATCGCAGTGCATCGAGGGTCTCTGCTGTGGGTCGAGAAGCTAGGTGGGCAAGAGAATCGGAGAGCTGCTCGAGCAACGGTCAAAACGGTCAATAGCCCGAGTATTGGCAGAGAATCGCATTTTGGAGGACCGCAACGGGGATAAAGGTAAGTAGGCCCACTAACCTTGTTCATGTTCTCGAGCAGTTTCGCGTATTCATCGAGCACTTCCTGCTCGAGAGGTGTGAGAAGAGGATTGTCCCGGAGGAGGGGGCTGATCCCAGCTGCATCCGGGGCATCATGGTGAAAACCCGAATCGTCGAGCGTGTCGGCCATGGGGGCAGCAGGTAGTTGAAATCAATCGGCAGCGGGTTGCAGGTTACTCCGTACAAACGCTCCTTTGCGCTCTCCACGCTTTCTTTTGCTCAAGCCACTTTCTACACCGGCAGGGCGCCACAGCTGTGGCTCACCCTGTTTCAGCTTGGCAGCCAAGCCCGATGCTAGGGAAAACAGAGAATGTCTACTCCGTAAGTTCTTCCTTTACAAGGTGTATGCGTGAAACTGTATGGAATTTGCAGCAGATATCGGTCATCTTCGATGTCATGGTGCCCATTCTCAATTCGCAAACTGCTTTTCCGCGTAACCATTGCAGGAAGACCCGTGCCGGGTAGCCGCTACTGGGACTAGGATGTGGTGGGATGGGATGTAAAGCTAGAGTCAACAGTGGATGCATTATATTCGCTTGACGCCCGCGACTTGGGAAGTTGTGTTTGAGTTCCGGTTGTGCCGCAAGGCCATATATTAGGTTACCCTGTACATCACAGCCTTGAACCTGCCATTATTGAAGCCAGCAGCAATGCCCATCTTTCTTGTTTTCACATACAAGTGAAAACATTCCTTAATTTTCAAACTTCGTCTGGTCCACTAATGCTATTATATTATAGGGCACTCAGCAGAAGACTGTCTTACTTCTGCTGCACGTCGTGAAATGGCCTGTTTACGGGACCATGCAAAACTGCAGCCCCGGAAGACATTCCTTCTTCCAACTGACTATGATATCAATCCCAAGGAGCATATATCACTTCTTTCACAATTCATGCAGCTAGCACCTTTTCTGGTTCCGTGTCAATCTAATCTAATTGCTCCAACACTTCGACACCCTGACCTGAGCTTAGCCAACATTTTGCTTGTTCCTGGATCCACGAAGATTGCCAGTGTTATTGACTGGCAAGATGCGTCTATCTTTCCATTGTTCATGCAGGCAGGCTATCCAGCTTTCTGCGAGCATGTCTCATCACGTCTGCAAAGTCTGCAGATCCCTGGACTTCCAAAAGGACTCGACAAGATGAACCCCCAAGACCAGATACAAATCAAAACCAAGTTTCGCTTGGAAGAAATGAATCTGTACTACACCGCAGCCACCGGTATACATAACGAGGAGCATATGGAAGCTTTGAGGATCCCGCATCTTTCTATGCAGCAGTACCTAATTCAACAAACTGGATGCCCTTGGGATGGGGACGTTATTAATCTGCGAGCAGCACTTGTTGGTATTACTACTTCTCAAGTTTGGAGCACCATATCAGCTCTACCTGCCCTGTGTCATTTTTGGACAAAGACAGAGAGAAAGCACTTAAAGAATCATCCGAGTGGAATGAGTCTGAAGCTTTACTCACTGCGGTCAGGAATGACTTGGGAATTGACCTAGAAGGAGGTACAGAGCTTGAAAATTACGATTGGGCATCATCCCGGAACCTGCAATTTAGAAGAGAGATGTCAAGGCAGGCGGAAGTGCATGAACGTGAGGTTAGTTGGCGAAACTGGCCTTATAAGGATGATGATGGCTCCTCATCCCCGCCACCTATCTTTGATTAGTCGTTATTTTACATTTCCAGGGTTAAAGGTCTCTCCAACGCAATATGGGAGAAAATAGAACGTAATACTTTGTTTTCTTTTTCTTTTCCCCCTTTGTGCTGTCATCTTCCAATTGTCATCGGAATGGAGACATTGAAGCTTGCATGGGAACAGTCTCCAAGGCGACATGGATCTAGTGACGTTAGACCTAGTCCTGAGCTTTCAATTACTTGAATAGCTCATCGACCAGCTTGATGGAACTGATAACGTTTCAGGTCATGGATACAAGGGGTTATGCAGATGTTTGGTTTGCTCGTATGGGTCCATCGGAAAGCACCAGAACATTGCATTTATACATTGGAACTGGGGTGCTGGACGAGCATCGCCGGTGAGCTGAATGGCAGGCGAAACCACTTGCGAAGCGCCCCGACTCCCGAGTCCATGGCCTGCATACATATGGCTTTGACCTCAACAACTAAGATGCTTTCCACGTAAAACATGCGATCGGCATTTGGCCAAGGATCGGATCTGATAAGATCCCCAACCAACAAATTAAATTGCTTGGCGCGCAGTGGCGGGTGGCCGCCAGGGTCGCGTTTGCAGCGCGTGATGCCATTGATAATGAAGATCGGGATATACTCCGTAGCCAAAAAAGCAATTAAACACAAAACGAAATTACCACATAGCTTACTTGCTAAAGCCAATCGTTCATCGTTAACCCTTCTACGAGCTGAACTGCCCGCAATGCCTCTCCCTCGAAAGCGCCGCGCGGTACGGAGTACAAGCCCTTGTCTCATTCTCTTCTCCATATCCATCAAACTACTAACTATAACCCTAGGACGATAGCGAATCTGACGACGAATACCAGTCCCCAGAACCTTCCAATGCCCAAAGCCGACGTCGCACCGCCGTGGACTCCTTCATTGCAAATGACTCCGACGAGGAAGACGACTCTCAACTGGGAGCAACACAGGTCCTGGGAGTCAACCCAATGGTCAAGAAGATGGTTAGATTAGCGTTGGCCAGCGAATACTCCCGGCAGGTCATCCGGCGAAATGATATCAGCCAAAAGGTCCTCGGCGAAGGGTCAAGACAGTTCAAGGCCGCTTTTGCTGGAGCGCAAGACGTGCTCAAGAATGTATTCGGGATGCAGATGATAGAGCAGCCAATGAAGGATAGACTGACGGTCAGTCAGCGAAGAGGTAATGGCTCTCTCCTCCTTTCTCCTGCCCTGCTACCCTCTTAATAATTCCTCCTTGAAATTCTTAAGCCCAGACTTAAAAGGAACAAGAATTCTAATCAAGACCAAACACAGCTGCCCAACGCGTTGACAAACCCTCCTCATCCTCAAAATCCTGGACCCTTGTCTCCACCCTCCCACCCGAATACCGTATCCCCGAAATCCTCCCGCCCACCAAAGCCCCTTCATCTGCCACTGAAAGCAGCTACGTCGCTCTCTACACCTTCATAATATCACTCATCACCCTGTCCGGCGGCTCCCTCGCAGAGCAAAAGCTGGACCGATACCTCCGCCGCGTCAACGCAGACACCTACACCCCACTCGATCGCACAGAGAAGCTCCTCACCCGCCTCTGTAAGGACGGGTATCTAGTGCGAAACCGCGACGTCGACGGGGGTGAGGAGGTTGTCGAGTACCTTGTGGGTCCCAGGGGGAAGATCGAGGTGGGCACCGAGGGAGTGGCGGGCCTGACGAGGGAGGTCTATGGATATGGGAGGGTTAATCGGGCACGCGGACAGGATGATGATGGTGATGATGACGAAGCGATGGAGGAGTTTGAACAACGGCTTCGTCGGAGTCTAGGGTTCTCGGATATGGGAGCACCCCGTGGTGCACAGGAGCGAGGGGAGGCAGCGAGTCAAAGTGGTCAGCCTGCTCGGCGACCGAGGAGAATTACGAATATAGAAGATGGTGACGATGGTGACGACTGACGCTACTAGATAATTACATGCAGCCCACATATATAATGATACCTTTATGAAGATAAAGCGCGCACTGCTAAAAGTGGGCGATGCAGGTTTGACCCCTTGGAATCCGGTCCATATTACACTTTTGATCGAATATCTAGGCGTGCCTAAGGCCTTGGGTTAAGATTCGCTTCGGAGGGGAAGAAGACTAAAGGCGAATGTTAAGGCCGTATGAGTGACAGATGTAAGTGGAGTCCCTTCGGTTTCTCCCTGGGGTGGTATTCGGCGCGATCTATCCTAATACAAAACTGACACTTTATTTATACCTCTGATTTAATAAATAGTTTATGCGGAGCTAGGATAAAAATATGCCCGTAATTGTCAAACTTGCAAAGGATATTTAAGAAAAAGTAAAAGCGATGCAACGCTGGGTTCTTGGAGATAAAAAGGCCATAACATTCCTGGGAGATTTTGGCTACTACCCGTAGCAAATCGATCTGGTCCAGTACTCGTCTTTCTTTCCTTGTCTTTTTTATTATCTTGCTTTTCGAATCTTCCAGGCCTCATGTGTTCGCCGAACACCATGCCAATGCTCATGTTGAAAGTAAAAGACGTCGTATCATCATATAAAATCAAAGTCAAATTTGAGTATTCACTGCTTCCTGACGGTGGGGAAGAAGAAGGAATTGTTTTCTGTAAAGCGCGTGGGGATCAGATGGAGCCTGACATATGAAACCCGTCCATTTCACCCAAAAATTGCTTTTTCACCCACCGTCGCTGCCACTCGTCCCATCATCCGAATCCTCGTCTTGGCCCTCGTGCTCCACTCCCTCCTGGAGGGCATACTCTGCCCTTTGCAATGCAAGCTTGACCTCCTTGTATTGAGGGATTGTGAAGTCAACGGGCTTCTTCCCGGCCTTGTTTCGGACTCTGGGGTCACAGCCGGCTTCAAGCATCATTTTGACCATTGCCAGACCAAGCTTGATATCCTTTTCGTTGGCATAGCGAACGGCCAGATGCAGAGGAGTGTCTTTCTCAATTCGATTCTGGGGATCACACTCGAAACCTTCTACATCGAAAAGCCAATCCATCGCGTCATCTACGTCAAGAAGAACAAGTAATTAGTCTATAACCCTGGCTGAAGAAGTTGGGGCACAAAACAGTGTGAGAGAAACTGTGGTTACAATGACTTACAGCTGCCGTACATAGCACAGATATGAAGAGCATAATTTCCCATGGAGTCTGTGACATCGTTGAAGAATGCTGCAATTTCTTCCTTGGGCTTCTTTGCGAAATTGTCGTTCACCACCTCTTTCAGCAAATGAGGCTGATCACGTCGGCAAGCCTCGACGACAAGCTCCTTTGGAGAGGCACCCTTGCCAAAGGATTCAAGTCAGCATTGTCAGGGCGGTAGGGAGGGAAGCGCACTCACATCTTCGTCGGCCATTTTGCTCACTTTACGCTCAGGGTTCAATATGTAGAAGGCTGATGCGCAGTTGAGAATGAAAGGAAAAAAACAAAGCCGCGAGGTGATCAAATGGTGAACCCAAGCGCTAATCCAGCGGACAAACGTCGATCAATGAGGAAACAGAGGGAAGAAGCGCTCTGGAGAAAGGATCGCGCAGAACTGGTGGGAAATGACCCGATTACAACGACAGATGACCGGAAAGGCGGGGTTCCGGTTATTCGAGCCCAAAATGAGCGGGCTAATCAAACATTTGATGGACGGTAACGATATGCGAAAAACAACGGTATCCAACGGAAAACCGGGCGGCTAGAGCTGTCAGGTGTCCGGAGAGCAGCACCCGAGAGGTATTTGTTGACGGTCTCGATACGGCGACGATGATGCACAGAGGATAGCGGGACAGGAACGGGCGCTTATCATAGGCAGGATTAATGATATTCCGATACATGTCCCACATGCACGTGAAATATCCGCGTTTAATTAGGTTATACATAATTAGGCGCGCGGCAAATGGAAACCCCACCACGACACCCTGGTACGCGTATTTGAACAGACTGAACAAAAAACAACTGTTAACAAAGAGTGAACAGGGTAGAAAAGTCATGATGCCGGCTCTTTGATTTTTGGCCTCTTGAAAATGAAACTGATCATTCCTTTGGTGGAACTGGGACTTGGTCGTGAATAGCACAGTGCCTAGGAACCCTTGCCGAAATGCCGCTCACCTGTGAGCCGTCTGCTCCCTTCCACCAAGAAAAAAATATTCCGCTTCGGACGAGGATGGCTGTGCTAACGGGTTTCCAGTTTGTCCAAACTGCAGCAATGCGTTGACCATATCCAGAGGGCCCCCAACGTCGCAGTATCCTCTCGGGGTTAATCGCTTCGAATGCCGTACCTGTCCTTACCAGTACGTCCTGGACCGGACATATTTCGAACGAACGGAAATGAAACGGAAGGAGGTAGCAGACGTGATGGGAGGGAAGGATGAATGGAAGAACGCTGATAGCATGGCGAGTGAGTGGCTCATGTGTCCTATGTGACGATATGACTCGACGCCGACTAATTACTCCACGCTGTGAAGCTCAATGCCCGGCGGAAGGCTGCGACGGCGACCGTGCTTTCTTTTATCAGCTACAGATCCGCAGTGCGGACGAACCTATGACAACTTTCCTCAAAGTGCGGATTCTTCCCTCTGAATTACGCATTCGCTGCACCCCTGCTGACATGAAAACTCCAGTGCACTACCTGCGGAGCTCGCTGGAGGGAAAACTGAACAAAACTCCTCTCTTCCGATGCCGTCTTTACACGGGGGGTTACCTGCGACCGATTTTGAGACGATCACCTGCTCAAGGTTTGCGCATTACTCAATACTTCGTGTCATCGCGGTAGAGGCAACCATTGGATCGCAGTAACTGTGTTAGGACTCAACCTATAAGAGTCATCAGGTGTGATGATAGATGCCTAGTACGGAGTAACTACAGAAGTTTGGGCGTGGAACTTCACATGAACCAACCAAGAATTCTAGTCCCGCCACATCCTTATTTTCGAGAGCTGTCTTGCGATTGGAAGAACGTCAGGCGAGAATGTAAGCTTTATGGCAGGGTGAAAGACGTGGCAGATCGTGTGGCAAGCAATTCGAGTGTAAAAAAAAAAAAAAATTCTATCGCTTTTTTTGATAGGGTCGAGATTTAAGGTAGCCATACATACGGAGTACATTTTGGGTAGTGGGTAAACGTTTCAAAGACGAGCGGAGTCTGCATTTTGGTCGCGGATCTCCGGGAAAACCTTGAGGGGTAGATTTTGAAGAGGAAGCGCCACCAAATGTCAGGCCCTGCGGCCATGGGACCAGCATTTGATCTTGGCCCAGGCCGTCCGGGAGAGAGGGAAGAGAGGGCGAGACAGACCCTTGCGTTGCCCCTCAATTCCTGTCACCGCCCGTCAAGAGAGAGCAAATGTGTGCGAGTCGGTGTAGGGAGGGAGGCCGTTGCTGGGCACGAATTTGAACCTCGTGCAGGCCGCAAGGTGCGGCGCTGTTAAGGGAGAAGCCCACAGTTGAATCAGAATTTTCATCGTGATGGTGGGGCGGATTTGCCCCTCCTTGCTCTGATAAGCCCAAAGAGGGATAGCGGCGTCGCCTCGGACCCACTATGCCTATTCGAGTAAGGTTTCGCCTCCTGTTGTGCTTCGGTTGACCCCTCCATACAAAAACCCCTCTCTCTCTTCCTTTTCCACACAAATTTTTTTTTTCCTTTTTTTCCTTCCTCTCCCCGTCTGCTTCAGTGAGTATCATCCCCCTCCCTATATATTTCCATCTTTCCATCGTCCTTCCATCTCACTAACATCTATCTCAGCACCTCTACGCACTTTGGCCGTAGTATCTGAGCATTCGTTCTGATTTCTTCTAGCATCTTCCAAAGAGCTACAAGACTTCAAATCTTTTTTTTTCTTTTCAAAAAAAGTCACACACATCCTTCACAATGGGGTAAGTGGGATTGCATCCCGTCAGTCCATTATCTCGAAGGACGGTTTAACTGATGAGTTTGTTTCTACAGTAAGGAAGAGAAGACACACATCAACTTGGTCGTCATCGGCCACGTCGACTCCGGCAAGTCGACCACCACCGGTAAGTCGACACCACGCGTCTCAGTGACGACAACCGCAACAACAACAACAACAACAAAGGGCTTTTTGCTTACAAACAATTGCTACAGGCCACTTGATCTACAAGTGCGGTGGTATTGACAACCGTACCATTGAAAAGTTCGAGAAGGTAAGCGCCTCATTTCTCGCTGTTATGAAGACCCTTCTTGTTGCGTCGCCGTGTTTTTGGTGGGGTAATTCGGCCGAAGCGAGGGCTACGTCGAAAATTACCCCACCACAATGGCGAACACCCCGGAAAAACCCAGGTTTTCATCGTTGGGCACAACTGCAATTTCGACCAATCATGTTGCAGGCCTCCTGACCGTCCACCTTGAAACTTCTCGACGTTGTCGGTTACTGATGTTGTTCTCCCGTAGGAAGCCGAAGAGTTGGGCAAGAAATCCTTCAAATATGCCTGGGTTCTTGACAAACTAAAGGCCGAGCGTGAGCGTGGTATCACCATCGATATCGCCCTCTGGAAGTTCGAGACCCCCAAGTACCACGTCACTGTCATCGGTATGTCCAGGCACTGTCTTCAAGTTGTTGCGTTGTCGCACGAGCTAATAAGTGTCTAGATGCCCCTGGCCATCGTGACTTCATCAAGAACATGATTACTGGTACCTCCCAGGCTGATTGCGCTATCCTTATCATTGCTGCCGGTACTGGTGAGTTCGAAGCTGGTATCTCCAAGGATGGCCAGACCCGTGAGCACGCTCTGCTTGCCTTCACTCTCGGTGTGAAGCAGCTCATCGTCGCCATCAACAAGATGGACAGCACCAACTGGTCCGAGCCTCGTTTCAACGAAATCGTCAAGGAAGTCTCCAACTTCATCAAGAAGGTCGGATACAACCCCAAGGCTGTTCCATTCGTCCCCATCTCTGGTTTCGAAGGTGACAACATGATTCAACCCTCCACCAACGCTCCTTGGTACAAGGGCTGGAACAAGGAGACCGCCTCTGGCAAGCACACTGGCAAGACCCTCCTCGACGCCATTGATGCCATCGACCCCCCAACCCGCCCCACCGAGAAGCCCCTCCGTCTCCCACTTCAGGATGTGTACAAGATCTCTGGTATCGGAACAGTCCCAGTCGGCCGTGTCGAAACCGGTGTTATCAAGCCTGGTATGGTTGTGACCTTCGCTCCTTCCAACGTCACCACTGAAGTCAAGTCCGTCGAAATGCACCACCAGCAGCTCACCCAGGGTAACCCTGGTGACAACGTTGGCTTCAACGTCAAGAACGTCTCTGTCAAGGAAGTCCGCCGCGGTAACGTCGCTGGTGACTCCAAGAACGACCCACCAAAGGGCTGCGACTCCTTCAACGCCCAGGTCATCGTCCTCAACCACCCTGGTCAAGTCGGTGCTGGTTATGCCCCAGTCCTTGACTGCCACACTGCCCACATTGCTTGCAAGTTCTCCGAGCTCCTCGAGAAGATCGACCGCCGTACCGGTAAATCCGTTGAGAACAACCCCAAGTTCATCAAGTCTGGTGATGCCGCTATCGTCAAGATGGTTCCATCCAAGCCCATGTGCGTTGAGGCTTTCACTGACTACCCACCTCTCGGTCGTTTCGCCGTCCGTGACATGAGACAGACTGTAAGTTCAACGTTACTAACTCTATCTACTGTCCTTTGCTAATGTATTTCTTCACAGGTCGCTGTCGGTGTCATCAAGTCCGTTGAGAAGTCTGAGAAGACTGGTGGCAAGGTCACCAAGGCTGCTCAGAAGGCTGCTAAGAAATAATTTGGTGCGATCCACTGATATGCTTCCTCGGGGTGAGATTTGGAGTTGTGGTGAATCAATGGAGGTCTTATCATCCATAATGAGGATATTGTAGTCGGCCTCCTCGAATCAAAACGCTCGAATTTTAGATCCCTGGTAATAAAAATTAACGACTTTAACGGTTCATGATGATTTTCTCTCTTTTCTCGTGATTGTAAATGCATTTCCACTATTATATAAAACTTCGAACTGGGTCCGTGATTTCGCGTTGGAAGGACACGGAGCTTGAGATTCAAAGCCGAACCCACTAGCATCACTTGTCCCCGCCTCCTAGGCTAACTAACTAACTAACTAGCTAGCTCGGTTGAAGTAAGCTCAGCCCTGTTTTCCTGCCAAGGTCGCGAGACACGCTGCGTAGCGACGGAGGACGCGATGCAGCTGAGTCTCGTTGCAGGGAAGATTAATGTGGTTTGCAACACTTTCACAGAATCACCACCGTCCTCCCGCGAGCGAAGGCGGGGAGGAGGATAAAGCTTGCAACATCATTCCAGGTAACTACCAGAAGGCCTGTCTCCGCTGACGCCTACATCTGCACGCTTGTAAACTAGCTCTGCTTTTGGCTCCAACGGTCATCATTGTAGTTATTTCCGTGCCACCGATTCGTACTAAGTGAACCCCTTTATCCCGGGTGACTCGAACGACCAGTCAACCAACCCAACCCTGTCACGGCTCGGCCCCCCAACTGGCGGCTTCTGATACACAGGACCTGTGTTTTCGGGACACTTTTTGCATTGAGCAATGGCTTTCTGGCTCCAAGCAAATATAATCCTCTGTGATCACAACAAATAACTGTGACCGTTGGCGGGTTCACATTGTCTGCAACATACTCTGTGTACTGGCTTCTCTATTTCCTCAAAGTTTCCATATGACTCTTATCAGTTGAGTCACTGAGCTACTATGGAAGAAAGACCCCATAAGTGCATGTCTGCAACCCACCTGTTCTGGACATCCAGGATATTAGCCCTTCTTAGTTGCATGTCAGTGTTATTAACTAGTGGGAGTGGCTCGCTGCTGCCTTGGGGTTGTCCCCGAGGAATATCCCAGCCAGTCGATCAGCCGCTTAAAATGTGCCGATATATATATCCAGCGTAGTTCCTCTGTCAGGCCTCTGTGAGGGGGATGTGATCCTCCTTCCTTTCTGCTTGTTCTTCTTCTTTCTTTACATCCGGATTATTATATTCTTCACATTGGTGTGGTCACTGGCCTCAGGCAATGCTATGAGTTTCATTGGATTCTTTTACCGTGTATATATTCCCTTTGCTCTCTTTCTCTTTAACCTTCTTTCTCCTCTAAGGAGTTTTGCTCCCCTACCCCTTAGAGCAAGATGACTTTTATAGCCTCTGCCGACGGTGAAACCAGCACGCAGCGAGCTGTACAGGATCCGGACGAGTTCTTTTCATCGCCTATGGATATTGAGGGGGGCACCGACCCGGATTGCTTGGTACAATGCCGGATATGTCTTGATGATGTGTTGACAACTAAGACGGTGCGGCCTTGTAGGCAGTGTTCGACGTCATATTGCGATTCTTGCCTTCGCAAATGGTTCCTCGAAGCATGCGACGAAGAGTCTAAAATGCCTCCAAAATGCTGTTGTGCACTCAATGCCGGCTTGGCCAGGAAATACCTATGTCATGAAGAGTTACAGTTGTTTGTGGAGAAATACGATGAAGTCAGAACGACAAACAGGGTATATTGCCCTGTTTCGAGGTGCTCTGCATTTATCTCGTACAATCTCTTCCCAATAGATGCTCGGCCTCTGGAGTACAACTATCCCGACTTGATAAAAAAGGGGAAAGCATCGAACGAAACTGCGTCATCTATTCAACCAGCCACTGCCAAGGAAGCCTCACATCCTTCGGAGGATCGCAAGAATTTATCAGATCCTAACGCCGAAAAGATATCACTGGTTCCAGAAGCGGTGGCCTCTCCAACCGTCGCATGTCCTAAATGCGCAGTGCCGATTTGTTGCGTATGCAAACAACTCGCACATCCAGGGAGCCCATGTCCAACTTCCAAAGAGGACACCGAGCTCGAGGAAGTGCTGCAAAAATTCAAGATAAAGCGCTGTCCAAAATGCGGGAGAGGCATCCGCAAGATGTACGGCTGCCCCAAGATGGCCTGCATATGCGGCTACAACTGGTGCTGGCTCTGCGGGCGACCAACTCAGATTTGCGGAAATAGGGAGAGTCATTGTTCTCGTTCTGACACAAGTGACGAAGACGAGAAGACCGAAACTGATCTTGATTCGGGTGGAGACCAAGAATGGGAGGAGTCTGGGTACGATTTCGGTTCAGAACCCGAACAGGGCGCGCCCGAGCCGTGGGGATGCCGCCATTGTTATATAATAGGGGAAAAGTGTTGGGCAGGGATTGAAGTAGCTTGTGAGCTGTGCTGGAAGGGAGTGTTAATACTTGATGATCCGAAAGGGGACCGATGCGGTGGCGAGCCTTCGAACTCAAGAGGGCGTGGAACTGATGAATCTACAGATGAGGAGAGGCCGCGGCACAAGACGATTATTTTGCAATGTTCTTTTTGCGAGCAAATGGTCTGTGAAGACTGCTACGAAGCCACTGTGGTCTTTGGGCGGTGATGGCACCATCCAAAGCTCAGAATATCCAGATAGAAGTATTTTGAAGCGTTTTGATACCTAGTTGTATCCGAGATCGTCCGGCGTTAGGACTAGGCGGTGCATTAACAAACATTTATCCAGCGATTCTTGCTATATTATTTCACGCATTTAGCTATCTCCTGAGTTGACCGAATATAGTTATAGCTCTCGTTCGTTCGTACTCTGTACACCGAAGTGCTTGCTGCTGTCAGCTTGATGCAAACAGTGCAAACCGGCGCAGTCTCATGTCATCACTTCCCGCGTCTCTCGAGTTCCAGGCCAGCAAGGGCTCGTCAGTTGAGCTGATCAAAACCCCCCCCTCTCGGCTGATAATCGTTGAGAAACGAGAGTCAGATCCTACCGGGCCATTCCACCATGTCCTCGCATCTCCCCATCCGCCGCACTCTGTGCCAGTGCGTCCGATCAAACCCGGGGTCCGCCTTACGACACCTCCCACAGCGTCAGCAAACTCGGCTCCTATCCTCGTCACGATCACTCCGGGCCGCCGCAAATCCGTTACGAAATGCCTCACGCTCCGGGCGCAAGAGCCACACGGAGTATAAGCGGTCAATTGTCCTATCCGCTGCCGGGATGGCTTCGTGCGCAGTGGCCATGTTCGGGGTGATCAACATCTATTTCCCGCAAGGAGTGCAAAAGGATGATAGCAAAGATGGCATAGATAACGGGGCCATAAAGCTTGACGGCCCACCGGGATTGGCTCCAAAGGACGATTCAACGGTGATAATCGACGGCGTCGAGCAGGTCTCCACGGGAAATTCGACGATCCCACATTTCCCGAAATCGATCCGACTACCTGCGTCTTTAGACTCGCCCGACTCACGTCGCCAATCCGCCCGGACCCCCGGTGAGGAAATCAAAAAGAGTGGCGAGAAGGAAGAAGATTACTACCTTCTTGGCTTGGGTATTCGCACCGTGTCATTTCTCAATATCCAGGTCTATGTTGTAGGTTTCTACATCGCAGCTTCAGACATGGCGACGCTGCAGCAACGTCTGGTTCGACAAGCAGCCTCGCCATCTATAAGCGGAGTCCCCAACGAAAGTGCCGTGACAGCAACCTCGTTGGTGCCAAAGGAACGAGAGGATTTGAAGAAGGCACTTCTTGACCCCGAACAGGGAGAGGAAGTGTGGAATCAAATTCTCAAGGAAGGCGGGATACGAACGGCCATAAGGATCGTTCCCACGCGGAATACGGATTTCTTACATCTACGCGACGGATGGGTGCGGGCGATTACCGGTCGTGCGCAGAGGGCTAATGTCAGAGCGAAAGCACTTGCTACGAAGGAACCTGATGCACATCCGCAATCTGAGTTTGCGGATGATTCGTTTGGCGAGGCTATGGGTGATTTCAAGGCGCTGTTGGGTGGTGGCGGCGGCGGACGCAAGAGTGTGCCAAAGGGCCAGACATTGCTTCTCCTCCGGGACAAAGTAGGCGCGCTGGAGATCTTGTATCAACCGGGGGATGCGAAACCGAGTGTCTGGCTGGGCGAAGTTCTAGATGAGCGGATCAGCAGGCTCTTGTGGCTGCAGTATCTGGCTGGCAAGGTGGTGGCCAGTGACGGAGCGAGGAGGGCCATCATCGATGGAGTTATGGGGATTGTTGAGCGACCAGTGGGAACGGTCGAGCAAATGGTTGCGTGATTGTCGCGGTTCAAGACAAGAGAGGACCTAATGTGGACCTCTCCTTTTCATAAGTGCTGCATGCTTCTTGAGGTCCCTATCGGCTTCTTTTTTTGGATGCAGCTTACTGTGTATTATACTATTACGTTTATAAGATCTGACGATACTCGCCTCAGCATTGGTTTCCGCAAGTTAGTTACATCTGGTATGCTTTGATATATCTGATCAATCAACGGGTATCTGTGGAAAATGAAGTCAAGCGGCAGCGTGTGGCGAGAAACGAATGTCACGCAGAACCCATTGGCCATTTCAAGTCAGAAGAGCTTCGTAATTATGGAAAGCAAAGACATAACAAATAACCATATGATTCTTTATTATCACATCAGCAGCAATCTAACAGCTACTGCTATCTGTACAAGGGAGTATCACACGATTTACTTTGGGATTTCCTCATGCCTGCAACGCACCAGCAGCCTTGAGCAAAGCCGGCAATTCAGACTTGCGGGCTTGCAAGTCAGAGTTTCCACCGATGTGCTTGTGGTCGATGAAGATGTTGGGAACGGTGCGCTGGTTGGTGATCTCCTCGAGAGCGGCTTGGATAGCGGCGCCATCATCTGGATGAATTAAAGTGTGTGAAATTAGCGCCAAAGTACTCCGTATGCCATAGAACAATCACACCGTAAAGACGAAATGGAATTCCGGGGGAAGAGAGAAGAAAAGAAAAGAAAAGGATAAGAAAAAGAGAGAGAGAAAAAAAAAAAAAAAAAAAAAAAAAAGGAAAAGAAAACTCACCGACTTGGTCTAATTCCATGGTGAAGTACTTGGCCCCTTCCGACGACAGCAGGGACTTGGTGGCCTTGCAGTATGGGCAGTAGGATTTGGAGAAGACAACTAACGTTCGTCGCGGAAGAGTTAGTCGATGCATATATAAAGAGGAGGGTAGGAAGACGCACCGACGGCGTTGTCCGCGATGATGGTTTGGGCCTTTTGCTTTGCGGCGCTCATGGCTGCGGGATTTGGTCCGGCGAACGAGCCGAACAATCGACGGAGTATGGAAGCAATGGTGGGCGAGCGGTGCTGAAGCGTTGAGGGAGATTGGATTGCAAGATATATATATATATATATATATATATATATGTAGCGGATCAGGTGGATGTGGTGTGGAGCGGGGATGAAGACGACGAGGGGGGTGTTCGAGGTGGTTGATTTCAAATGAAGCGGGCTGGATTTAATGGAAGTCGGGGATCGGCGATCGTGTTCCAACTGCGAAAACCAACAGCCAAATACCCGCTCGCGCACCGTGGACGTGTTTGACCGGGAGATACGGGAAATTATCAGTGAATTCAGCTGCGCAGGACGTCTCTCTATTACTCTGCGAAAGTCGATTACTTGGATTACTTCTTGATGCTCTACAATCCTGTCCCCCAACTCCAATGATCCTCGCGGTCGTCGCTGGATATTCGATTCTGGAATCGCCGAATTGCGTCATAAGTTCTACAGATGAGAACGGCCGACTCAGCTGGGCGTAACAGATGGAAGAACGCAAGAAGAATCGCCAGCTGACTCTGACCGCCCGTTTCCATTAACGCTCTCCGATCGACGGGCTGATTGTACGCCCAGAAAGAGCTCGGAAAGCGACGGCGAACATAATAACATGGTCATGGGAGAAGAGGGCAGCAGGGGACTTTTGTACCAACTGCCAATTCAGCAGACATGGTTATCTTTTTTAATCTTTCTCAATCGAATTTAGGATAGCCTCTAGATTACACGGTGCTTCCGCACCCCTCAATCTCCAACAAATAACGGTTGGTCCAAAATACAGCGAATCCAACGCGGATCCATCCAAGATAAGGGGAGTCTCACAAAATATTCTCTCTTTCCCCTCTCCCTATTGGGAGTTCGAGAGAACAAAGCTAGTGGCACCGACGAGACGAACTGACATCGACAACTCGAAGAAGGGGCGGGTTGGGAAAAGGCAAAGAAACTGCACAAGTAACGAAACCACGCGGCCGAAAGAGAGGGACTGTACAAACACTTGGAAGATCGAGAAGCAATTCAATAAACTGGAGAGTTTGAAGCCTTTTTCTTTCTGAGGCTGGGGAATCAATCTTTGAGGTAAGGAGAAATAAAAAGGGTGGCGGGGAAATTCGTAAGTTTCGTCAAGAGAACACTGGGGCGAGGAAAATTGAGCATCCAGGTTTGAAAAGCCAGCATATTTGAAATATACATGCCTGTTATGGCGAGGAGAAAAAAATTAAGTCTGTCTCGTACTGGTGGCAGAGCAGAGATCGGGGGAATCGATAAAGGTCAAGAAGGGATTTCAAAAGAAAGCCGACACACATGCACGCGCACACCTGCACTCACTTTCTCTCTCACATATGAAATATGCCGCTTTGCAGACAATGCCCAAGTAAGATAACCACTAAAAACAGATGCAGCTGGATGGAGAGACAGAGAACGCCGACGGGCCACAGAACGAGGGGTAAAAAAAAAAAAAAGGGAAAAGAAAAAGAAAAACCAAACACATAGGAAAGCTCCAAACCTGCTAATCAAAGGACGACGCAAATGGGGGATTCGGTAATAGGTAACACACTCTTATGGAAGTGAAGAAATACGGCAAGGATAGCCCGGGAAGGGGGAAAAACTGCGATTAGCTGCCTAGATTAGAACGAGATATCCGGCTTTGACCGATATAAGCAACATTTTGATCACATAACAATGCAGCAAGAGCAGCTCTTCTTTTTGGGAGGGAGTTGTTCTTGCATGGGACTGGGCCCCGGTTTCGCACTGATGGACGTCGTGAATGTCGGTTCTGTAGCGCTAGGGATCAGAGAAGGTATTGATTTGTAACCTGAGCGGTCAGTATCACCTTTCCCGGGATGGTCTCTCATCTCCGGGCTCTTTGGCGGTGATGGTAGTGACGGCAGTGATGGGGGCGCGAAAACAATGGGACAGGGGTCTTCTTCCTTTGGCAGTTCGGGCTCTGCGACAGGAGATGGAGGCTTCTCATCACGTCGAATGGCCAATGGAGCAAAATCCTTGTCGTAGGTAGATGGTATCCTGCCCTCCTTTTCCCAGAGCTCTTGCTGGAGCCTTTTCGCGTGGGTGGGAAGCATCTGCTGGTCTGGTGGCAGGCGTGGATCTGGCTTGTACATAGTCGCCAGCCATGGAGGATCGCCTTCTGGGCGATTGAGTCCGGTTGGGGGCCGACGTTCTCCGGATCTTGTGCCCGGACGCTGATTCTGGATGCTACCGTTGCCGTTGCTGGCGGCCGCTTTCTTGTGGGTTCCCGAACTTTTCCGCGTATCTTGGGTGCCGGAAGCTTTACGGCTCGTGGCGGGGGTCGATTTGGCAGAGTGCTTCGCCTTGGAAGGTGAGTTCTGCAATTGACGACTCGCAGTGGAGGGTTGGGAGCTTTGCGGGGAGGTTGTCTCGATTTGCGGCTCTGGGGTCTGCAACACGCGGGGTGCCGATTCGCTGGGACGTCGGGTTTTTGAAAACGACAAGGTATCTTCATCTCCGCTAGTCACCGTATTGTTCCTAGTTCTTGGGAGAGGAGAGTCGCGGCCCAGGTACTCGTGAGGAATGGGGTGAGGGCTCGAAGCGAGAACCGGAATCCGAGACGAGCTCTTCCTCAAACCAGGCATGCGGTACACTCTTGACGACGACGCGCTACCACCATCTTCATAGGGATCAGCCGCGATTTCTTCTGGTAGACGTGGGTCCTCGAACACGGCCGGCCCAACGTCTTCGTCCTGCGGACCGTCGTCGATGGGAATAGGTGAAGCAAGCCGTTGCCTCTTATCCTCGTGGATGATGGGAAACGACTCGTTTGGCTCCACGCTTCCATTTGTTCCAATACTCTGGGACTCGTAGCTACGGCCTCTTTTGCTGTCTGATCTATGTCTCATGAGAACAGGATCTTGAGCTTGGATACCGAATTGCTGCAGCTCTTCGCTCTCGATCTTCGCCAGCTTGTCCCGATGAATCCAGTGCGAGTCGTCGGGCTCTTGGGGCCGGTAATAGCCTCCCTTGTCCGGCTTTGGGTCCGTTGAATCCATGATACTGGATGGGCTGCGATTTGCCGGCTCTTGTTCATAAAGGTCCAATAGACTGTCTGAGTCGCTGCCGCCGGGGCCTAGACCAGTGTCCATCCGGCTTGATGTATCGCCCCGATGAGTTGCTAAATAACCCTGATCCTGGAGATGGCCCTGTCTTGACCCCGATCGCGACAGGGTGCCGGAAACGGGGGTTCCATTCACGGCCTCGGAAATACTGTTCTTTGAGTTGTATTTTGGGTGGGGAGCTGTAGAATCGTGGGACGTTCGAGGCTTGGAAGGGGCGGGACTCGTGGACTGCGGGGAGTAAATAGTTAGCAATTGAAAAAAAAAAAAAAAAAAAAAAAAAAGAAGAGAAGAAGAGAGAGAGTGAGAGTTTTCGGGGGGTGGAAAAAAATATAGAAAATAAAAAAAAAAAAAAAATGAAAATAAAAAGGCGCAGGATGCCGAGATTTGATGATCATACAAAAATGCATCCTGAAAGAAACGAGGGGCCTATTGTTGGAAAAATTAAAAAAAAAAAAAAAGGAAAATTGCGCCAAGTAGAGCAACTTTCGACGTACATCTTGTCCATTTGAAGGGGATTGATCCCATGGTCGCTGGCTTTCCTTCACACTGCCGGGCGATGACAGAGCATCTGCTGAGTTGTTTGCAGCAGTCTCTGCCATGCCAGCAATAGTCTTCTGAATTGACGCAGTTTTAACGTGTCAGGACCCAAGCACACTTCCCTCGGTGCGGTTGCGTCTGTCCTGATTCGGATCCCAACCCCAACGTTTCTCCCTCAATGGGCCAGTCGTTATGATCCCCGAAGCTGTGCCTGTTCGGGGTAGGGAAGGGATAGCTTTGCTTGCCGGTCAGGAGGGAGAAGCTAAGCGTCCCAAGTGGGAGGAGGAGGAGGAAGAGGTCCGGTGGGAAAGGAAATATAATTGCAGGGATAAACTATGTATGGATGGTATGTATATGTATGGCGATAAGGTAGGGGAAACCCTCGATTGCGCAAAGGATGAAGGACAAGCGGCCCGGGAGAGCCCCGAAATTCTGAAACTGATATTTAAAAGGAACCACACTAGGCCAAGGTTCGTCCGAGCTTGAAGACGCGATCTGGGTTTGATCGTGGGCGCAAAACGATATTTTTCTTTTCTTTTTTTTTTTTTTTTTGGTTCCTTTGGCTCAGCAGGCCTCGACCCAGCGGTATCGGGAAATGTAGTTCGGGACGAAGACGGCCGTTGGTCGTACGGAAAACGGGTTTGGAGGGGGGGGGGCGGACAGGACTAGGGCAGGCGAATGCTCATTGCATGGCAGCTGTGGAACCGATTTTTTGTTTTGTTCAAGGACTGGACTGACGTTTGGAAGCCGTCGAATGGATTGCTGGAGAAGAGAAGGAAAAACCCCTGGGGACGAGAACTTCTCCCGCAGAGCGCGTACGGTGATCGAAGAGAAGAGGAAGAAGGGGAGGCCTCCTTTTTCTTTTTTTACTTTTCGCCAGGGGAGGCTGAGGCAGTCGACACTTACGGCGACGGTGATGAAGATAGGGACAGTTTGGGTTGCAGAAACAGAGGGAAGAAAAGCAGCCAACCAGCAACGAGAGATGAGAATCGAAGAACCAGGGGAGCCAGCCAAGGAGTGGTAAAAGGAAGGACGATAAATGAAAGGGAAGAAAAAAAAACCAAACGAATGGCGTGCCGGACTTCTTCCTCTTTTTTTTTTTTTTTTTTTTTTGGTTGGAGAGATGGGCTGGTGTGCAGGAGGAGCTTCAGGACGGACTCTTTCGACACGGCAGCTTCTGGCTTATGGATCGCTTGCTGGGCTGTGAGACATGGACAGGGAGGGCGGTGGTCGTCGACGAGGTCGCTGATCGTCGCCAAGAGCGCGAACGGGCTTGTTAAATAGTGGTTGTTGAGAGCTTTGTCCACTCTTGCAAATTAATCTATTAGATCACTGGCTCTAAATTACTCGGCTCCAGTAGTTAGACTAAAAGATGAGAAGCCGCCTGCTTCGAGTTGCAAAAAAAAAAAAAAATAAAATAAATAAAAATAAATACAATCAATAGTGGTTAATTAACGGCAGCCCCGTTAATCTCCAACAAAATAATAATAAAAAAAAGAAGAAATAGGGGTTGGCCCGTCTTTGCTGTCCACATCGAAGCTCTCACGCGGTACTCGTACGGAGCATATCATATCACTCTACTCCGTACTCCGTACAGGCATATTGCGTCTCTTTTGGAAGTGCGATGCCGCTCTTTTCGATCTGATTTGAGGACGTCTGTCTTTTCTCCCCCGGGATGGCAGCACGCGCCTCTGATTGGCGTGGTCTATCTCACTCCGCAGCCCGCTCTGCAGGCTCAATTGCCCAGTAAAAGCAGTTCCGCTTCACTTGGGCTCATGTGAGCAGGCTGGCCGTATTAATTGAAATGCACAGCTCAGATTTTTGCCACGCAGAGCTGGAAAATGTATTGCATTCTGTCATGGTGGTATACATATAAAGGAGGCCAAAAGACAAATGGTTTGGTGGGTGAGACGAAGCTTGTAAATGCACCGAATGTCGAGATCGATATCATAGCGATGTATGTCTTTATGGTCCAAAAAAAAAAAAAAGAAAAAAAAAGAGAGAGAGAGAGAAGATGGAGGAGCAAGGAAGGAAATATAACAGCCGTCTCATGCAACAAGGATGCACATCTGTTCTGCTTTTTAATGCTCCGTCATCTACTTTGTATGCTGTGGCAACATGGGCAATTGAACAACTGTCAGGATGCAATCATACCGCGTAGCAGTTTTTGAAGGCCAAAAAAAAAAAAAAAAAAAAAAAAAAAAAAAAAAAGTAAAAGTATGCCCACAAAGGAGAGAGCGATAGCGATAATGATTAAAAGTAAATTGAGCAGAGAAGCTGGTCATGACATAGTATCAAGAAAGGATAAAAAAAGGAAGAATTAACAAGCCAAGATACCCTTCTATGCAATTATGTATTTCTGACAAAAAAGTTCGCAGCTCCTCAACTCCATCAAACCAAACCCGTTTCGATGGTGCCGATGCAACTGGGAATGCTTTTCTTTCTCTTTCTCTTCCCCCCCGCCCCCCGGCTCTCTCTTCTACTGTCTCAATGTTTGGCGGCAGCATCAAGGCTCTTGAGTAGACTTTGGACCTTCAAAATGAGCGCCTTCCTCTGCTTGCGAGCAACTCCATCACCCTCCAACTCAACCCCATCGGCCTTGAGCAGGACCTGGGTCATTGCAGTCTCGCTTAGCCTCTTGTGCTCCATCTCTAAAGCTTTCTGGTCATGCGGCGGCTGCTCGATGTACTGCTTGATCAGAGGCTTCAGAACCTTGTCCACGTAATCATCTAGAATCCTGAGCTTCTCCCGTGGTGTCTGCGAGGAATTGAGCATGGGGGACGGCGTTGGCATGCGAGACGAGGGCGTGAGAGCGGGTGACATGGGGGCAGACAGCGGGGACGAGGGTTTGCTCTCCGTAGGGTGTGGAATATGCGGAGAGATCCGGGGTCGAGGCGGCTGAGAATGAGATATTCGTGGCTCGCTGCGTGGGCCAGCCTCGCTTTCATCCTCGCGGTGCCTATCGACACGGGCGTCTTTTCGTTTCGACTGGGCTCTCCTTCTCCTCCCTGGCGGGCTGGACAGCCGGCGTCGAGGCTCGCGCTCGTAATTGGTACGGTACCGGGCGAACTCGCCCACTTCAGACTCACTGGTCGAGTCGTCATCAGATCCAAAATCCTCCGAGACCACACACATTATCAGGGAGTTCTGCTTCAACCCCACGCTTTTAGCAGACGCATTGTCGTCCTTCAGCAACCGGCCCTTGTAGAGCAGCTTGATCCGCCTCAGTCGACTGACATTCAACACGTTGCCGGCCGCCCTCCGCACGTCTCCAACCGTCAGGATGCCATCACCAATTGCAAATGCGGGGAATTGGAGCAGGTAAGACTTCGTATGGTGTCTCAATCTGAGCACATCGGGCTCCCGCTCATCGTCGTCGTCGTCGTCGTTGTCGTTCTCGACATCATCTTCGTCGTACACGTGCTCGCCGCCGGCAGCACGCTGTGGACCTAGATCTCGCATCGAGTCCAACCGGCCGAACGACGGTCGACGCCAGCCAGCGCCGAGCTCCTCGGGCCCCACGTAGTCAAAGTCCTCGTCCCGCACCTGGGGAGCTCGGAAGAACGCACCAAACGGCGAGGGGACATCTCTCCACACGTTCGAACGTCTCCAGCTGGTCATTGTGATGAGCAGGGTGGCCAGGAGGACAGCTAGAGCGGTGGCTGCGAGGGCGAAGGGAACGCCAAGGGAGGATGAAAACGGGAGGAAAGGGAGGAAGAAAGCAACGCGAGACGAAACGGCGGCGATGGACTGCGAGGTTGCGGTCTCCAGATGCAGAACGGAAGCGTGGAGGGCGGGGGGGAGGTTAGACACCAGGGTGGTCCAGTACGAAGCGACACTCGCGCGTACGGAGGGGAGCAGGGCCAGGGTCATAGATCTTTTGGTGCTGGGGGGGAAATAAGAGGGGGGGGGGGGGAGAAGGAGGAGTGGTGGTGTCTGGGAGCGCGGCAGCACGGGGCGTCAGGTCATCTCAGCTTGGATTCCTGGAGAGGAGTTCCAGGTGGAAAGGCTGCAGTCATCGTTTTTTCGTAGGTTTGAATTCGGTGACAAAGATGGTTTTTTTCCTCTCTCTTCTCCGACCGCCATCCCAGCGCTTATTTCTGGAAGACGGTTATTTAACACCACCAAACACCCCGTGTAATCCCAATACCGCATAATTACGCCGTTATTATTAATCGATCCGCCCGCCAACAGCGTCGTGATGACCGCCGCTCAGCATTGATATAAACAGCTCCCAGTGCTGAGCCAAGGGCGGGGAGCAGGTCGCGCATTGGCCGGCGCCGTGCGATCCCCGTCGAGTCGCCTTGTGACAACAAAGAGCTGCGTGCATCGAGCGTCATTTGGGAAGGCTGTTGGCTGTTGGCGCTCTACACTCGGCTGTTCGGCCATGACCTACATACAGTCTCTCTCTCTCTCTCTCTCTCTCTCTCTCCCTCCCCCCCCACGCAACACAGGCCGCAAAGGCAGTGATTCCGCTATACGGAGTAATTACTACTAAATACATATTAAATAATGTCTATGTGCACTAGAACCGGTAAATAGATGTCTCCGAACAGAGCCCATATAACCTCCCCCAATGCTCTTTCAAAAAAAAAAAAAGTAAAAAAAAAAGGAAAAAGGAGGCTAAATTGCTGTACTCCTCCAAAAACTCCGTCACCACATTAAGCTGTGTTAATTGTACACCGAATCTGCAGAACGCCGCGCGCACCCTAATCGGGCTAGGGACCAAATAACCGGTTCAGCCCGCTTGAATTCCCCGAGCCTCGACCTTGCTCCTCCACATCGTCGTCGTCGTCGTCGTTGTCGTTGTCATGGTCACCGCGCATCCACCTCGGCCGTCTGAGCTCGGAATCCACACGCTGGAGCCACTTTGGCTTGCCAGCCGTCTCAAACGTATTCTTAACCCTATGGACGAACGACTGGAAGGGACTCTCATCATCTTCGTCGTCCGAAACCGGCTGGTGAACGTTTATGCCCCTGCTCGTAGCAGAGTATTCGTACTGCGGCAGACTACTGGATGATCTGTGTGAGGGGGGAACTCGTAATGTAGGACCTCGACGCGGGATGGTATGACCGTTATCACCAGAATCGGTGTACCGATTGCCGGGGACGGCTGAACGAGAAGAGAGCCCAAGAAACCCCGGACCGCTCAGCTCTTGGTTGATCAACTCGCGGCCTTCACGCCACGTACCGATCCCAACGCCGGTAGGGTCATCCGCAGCGCTGTCCTCGCCCTCGAGTAATCCGAATCCCAAGGCGTTTCTGACCTTGCCGTACATGTTGAACAGTGTGGCGGCGACAGGAACCAGTATGAAGATCGGAAAGAAATAGTCGAATCCCTTCCCAAGCGGAGTTAGATCGATAAAGCGGCCGAGGAAGTCGTAAAAAGTGGTCTGATGTTGAACGTCCCGGGAGAGGAGAGTAAGGAAGTTGTACGCCAAGGGAACGGTGAGCCTGGCTATCAGGCCGGCGTACCAGCAGGCACTCTCGCCGTAGGTGTTTCGCCGCACAAGAGCGCGGTTGCCCCAGACTTTTGTGTCAGTTACGCCGGCGAAAGCGGCCGAACACATATAGAGCAGCCAGCCCGAGGCCACCATCTGGCCGAGAAAACTAACTGTCGCCGTACCATGATAGGCGTGGGTGACACTCAAACTGACAATCGAGATGCTGGGTGCAAATGATTTGACAAATTCTGACCAAACAATGCAGGCGGATGCGATTGAAAAGAGACCAGCGCATACGATTCGGACCGCCGGAAGGACATGGAAATGGAGCACGTGGCGAAGGTATGGAGTCAGCAGTGAACGGCGGTGGGAAAGAGTAGAATGCGACGTGTACCGGCTGAATTCGAGGTGTTTTGAGGTTGAAGAATCGATGATCGCCTGGCAATCGGCTGCTTCCTGCACAAGTCGACTCCAAGCGTCTGTGAAGCGGGCATTCTTATGGCGCGCGCGGTTCAGATTTCTCGTAAGCTCCGCCAGGTATCTCTCCGTGATAACGACGGGGCCGGTGGACCTTGATGCATCGGCTAGAGCCAACTGAGGGGGTCGGGCCCCTGGGAAATCTGCGCCTTCCACCAGATCGTCTATCCAGTCCTGCAGGTCTAATGGCACGCTCGTTTTGCGCCTCTCCAGCTGGCTCACTTGGGCTCTAATATCTTCAAGGCTGGATTTAGCATCGATCAAGCGATCGTATATCAGGGGAGCCCGGGACTGAAGACGCCGTAGCCTATTGCCTGGGTTTACGTTTCTCCAGAGACCCCTCGGTATAGCCACGAGACCGTGGCCCATGAGATAGATAGCCAGAACCAAGCCCCAAACGTATGCCAAGGCCATGACAAGACTCTTCAGGGAGCTAAACCTAAAGCCATTCTGGATCAAAACGTATACAAGGCCGACTATGCCACAGGACAACATAAGGAGTTGGTAGCGGGCGTTCGATCGGAGGGAGTAGGCGATTCTGGCTTTCGGTGTCCGATGTCCCGAATCAACGTATTCGCCAAGTAGAGGGAGAATCAGCCTGCATTTGTTTGAAGTCAAACATCTGTCAGTTCGCAGTCGGAAACAAATTTTGGGTGGGCGTGCTCCAATAGAAAAAAAAAAAGGAAAAAAGAAAAAGGAAAAGGACCATACCATGTGAGAACGAATGTAAGCCAGTAGGTTATCCGCCAGGAGACAAGCATCACGCGGGACGGAAGCCATATTCCTGACGGGGAGCTGCCGGACGTGCTCGAAGTGAGATCGATGGGGACCAAGAGAATGACGCTTGCAGGAAGAGCAAGGGCCAGGAACACGGGCAGGGCGAGGTACGCTGGCGTGCTCCGCAAGGGTAGGTAGTGTCTGAGGAGGAGGAGAACGAGGAAGAAGATGGAAACGACGGCAAAGGCCGCAAATATGCCCGAGCCCACCGGAGGAGGACGGGCAGTCTGGGGCGAGAAGAAAGCCATGATGCGTGTAACCCGACCGAACCTAAGACGACAATGATGTTTGAATGGATCCTCCACCCTAGATCTGACGGAAGCAGCTCCCCGAGTTCCTCCCTCGTAGACGCCGTGAAATGTCGCTCAGCAACTTGGTATCATCGAAATAACCGCTAATAGAAAAGCTAGCCGCCGGAGCGCTCATCTCCGGCGCTCGAAGAACCAAGGCGAAAGAGGGAGCAAAGCATAAAAGGCCACTTTCTGAAGCAAATGATTACTCGGTAGTAGTTTAGTTTGGGGGGGGGGGGGGGTGATTTTGGGGGTTTTGGATGCAAGGGGGAGAAGTTGAACGAACTGCTGTTTGCTTCTGCTGCGGGCTTCGGATCGTCCTTTAAGGTTGGAGGAGTGAACTTTGGGGCCGGACGGCGGTGACGTAATCAGCTGTAGAAGAAAGTTAGGGTCATGTGACTGCGTATTTTGCATTGGACGTCTTCCGTATTTTACAACGGTTCTTGGCGTAATTACGACTGACTACAGTTGCCAGTCACGCACTATTTTGCTGCTGTATTTTGTTGTTTTATTTTATTATTATTTCTTTATCATTATTTTCTTCTTTTTACGGTCCTCTTTTTCTCAACCAATCAATGACCTTGTTGGATGGCTCACTCTCGGGCACGTGACCCGGCCTTATGTCCACATCGCCCAACACTCCCTCCAACAGACAATCATCCTTTCAGCACCCTGGCCCCCAGGTTATTCTCCAGACCCCCAATTTTCGGCGCTGCCTTTACAAACAAGATGTAGAGTTAGATATGTCTACTATGGAGATATGTGAGCAGAGTGAGGCATTTGTGGAACAGGATGGTGACCTTGTCTTCAACCATACAAAGCTGATCTTGCGACAAGATGGCGAGTTCTTCTATGAGGCGTGCCTCTTCATCTTCTGCAGTCGACATAAGTCAGCTAGAGATTACCAAAATCCCTGCAGAAAAAATCTGGCCACCAATGGACCCCCATTACACTCTGGCTCCTGACCCTTTACCTCCAAACTCCTACATCAAGCAGCAAAGCCTTCTATATTATAGTGACACTCCTGCTTCCCTGGAGCCAGGTCATCAGATACTGGCTGAGGTGGAAGCATGTGAAGTGCTTCAAAGCCACCCACACCCCAACATTGCTCAGTACCTTGATTGTGTTACCAAGAATGGCAGGATAACAGGGCTCTGTTTTATCAAATACTCAATGAACCTGTTTCAGAGACTAAAGAAGGAAAGTTCTTGTGACAGAATTCTTTGTCTACAAGAGATTGAGAGTGCCATCAGACATATGCATACTTTGGGGCTCATACACAATGATCTTAATCCATCAAACATCATGATGGATAAGATGGACAATCCTGTAATTATAGACTTTGATTCATGTCAGAGGGAAGGAACTAAACTAGGACTCAAGACAGGAACAGTCAGTTGGGCAATGGAAGATCCCATCTATGCAACCCAGCAAAATGACTTCTTTGGCCTCTCAAAGATTCAAAGACTCCTGATGGGAGAGGAAGGGAAGACATAGCACAGCCATGAATGTTGAATTAAGAAGATAATATTAACATTACTGTCTGTCTGCAATATCATTATCTCCCAAAATGTGTCATCAAACTTTGTTCATAAGTTGTACCTGTCAAAGCAAGATTTAGCCCACTAGATCCTTGTACCTTCACTGCTGCAGCAGCACATAGCTGCTGGAGTACTTGCAGGTTGTGTCACTGCAGTCTGAGAGCTTATACCTGTAAGGTGTTCTGTTGGTTTGGTATCTGGTGTGAAAGTCGCACGTGTTTGTGAGTAGTATAATCTCGCCGCAAGCCATTCTTTCTAGACTTAGTCAGGATGGTAATCAAGTATATAGAATCTTAACACAATATCTTCTGGTGAAATAATTTAGGACTTTCTTTTAGTTGTCGGCTCTTCAAGGAGTTTCAAATGAGCAGAGAGCCCAAGGGACTGAGAGTAATTTAGGCAATAAAGCGGAGATAAGGAGACCAGAGACAAGGGGCTTCTACTGTAGAGTATCTTTGTGGGAATAACTGGTTGCAGACTTGCTGATAGCAGGACAAGAGCAGGAGGACAGCATTATATCCCTGTACGGAATCCGGGGGAGCCGGGGGCGGGGCTGATGAGGATCACTAAGACAGCAGGGCCGTGACTGGAGGTGGACATGATATCCCTGGTAGCTAGGCAGCGAAGGTGGGTGGAGAACTGCTGAGCTTTTCCGCGGTGCGGCCCGTACCCGTATCTAGAGGTCGCTGAATGTATGTTCAAGGTGACTATTTTCAAATTGATGGGCTTAAAGTGATCGCAAAGAGATACTTTCAGGCATCGTTTTTGGAGTGGCGCAACATGGATTCATTCACCACTGCTGTTGAGGATCATAGAGTTGATGAATGCTAAATTGTGGATTCTCTGGAAGGAGCAGAAGCAAGCTGTCAACAAGCTCCTGGAGCCTATACCTGCATTTTCACATGACCTCTGTGTTGCGATGATGGATAGACGTTATTACGGTTGCACAGATCCATTGTACTAGCCATTAGACAGGGAAGTCTTCTGGAATATCTTACACTGTCTCCAAAACTCCTGCACCAATTCTCCCACGGCATGGAACATCTTTTATCGACTAGGTCGCAAATATCCACGGCGGATATCGAGATTGCAAGATGGCGCGGTGCAAGCCCTCAAAGGTTGTCCTCGTAATAACTGAAGGGCGACAGTTTCAGAATATTCAGAGCCACTGTAGTCTACAGTCCTCGATGCTCGCTTGAAGACAGCGGTTCCAAGAAGGAAATGCAACTGACGGCCATGGGCGGTCGGGCGCTTCTCGGCTGGCGCTTTTCTTCATAGGCAGGATAAATCCCTGGGGTAGCAAACATGCGAGTCCATGCAAAATGAGTAAATAGCCCTTGAAGTGAGGTCCTGTTGGGACCTCACTTTTTGACCAATGAGCGGCATCGTTGGCAAAACAACGAGTGTCTCGACCCCAGCATCTGCTGACCTGCGTGAGTGGAGCGACGCATTTGTCAATCTGGGTTGATTCGGATATCGCAATACTGATGAACTGGTTCATCTCAGCCTTATTATACCTCTCAAGGAGCTCATCCCGCTTCGAAACATAAAGATGAAACCTGCCATCGTCATCATCTTGGGCCCGAAGACTTTCCGGGAAATGGGTAACCTCCGCATCCATAAACCCCATCTCACCACTGGAAGGGGGTTTCGGAAGCAAATGTCTCATTTCAACAGATGTAAATAATGGTCATTAGAATTTAGATGGTGGATAGTGTGAGCAGTTGTGAGCAGTTGTGAGCAGGTCAAAAGGTGCTGCGAAGATGCAATGAAGGAAAAAAGACTCACGGAAGGGGTTGGGGAAACAAGGTCCCAGCAGGACCTCTTTTCCCAACCAATCACCTAGCTTCAAGGTATCGATTGATACCAAGGAGTCATGGCGAGCGGCTCATCCACCCCGCAGGTGGGCATACAGCCGCCCAAAGCCTACGAACACGCAACCCAAATTTTAGCAGACATCGAAGCACTGGAACAGTACCGCGAGAATCTACTGGGAAAGAACAGGGTACCCAACTGGACCATGATAAAGGCGCTCATGGACAGCGTGAGGACCTATGTCAACAAGACCGAAAACTAGGCGACCAGCACTGAAATGGCCTCTGATAGACCTACATACCCTAAGGGTTCCGTTCAGTTTGGGCATCCAGTGGGATTATTGCTAACTCAATCACCAGAAACTATGGAATCAACCCTCTGCTTTTTCGGATTTCTGCTTTCAGTTTGAAACTCTTCTTCCCCACCTTCAATAGGAGCCGCGAAGCTCCATTGCGCATCCTGATACTCAGTTTCATCAGACATGGTCGATGCATCAGAATCCTGTGAAACAGCTACACTTGAAGCTGTCTGGTGTTGTGATTGAGCATCTGAGAGTTGTTTGTTTGCCACTGCAATAAATTCATCCCTCATTTCCTTTGTCCAATCGCAAGCATTTCGGTATGCAGCAAGTCCTTGACGAAAAGTGTCATACATGTCAGTCAAGGAAAATGATCCAAGCTGAGTCATAATATATTCAGGACAGCAGCCCGGACCTCTAGGCTCTGCAAGATGAGTAGCATATAGCTTGAGTTGACCACCATGATAAGTCAACATAATAGTGTAAGCGTTGTTGTCATAGGTCAATTTATCTTGTCGATACATCTGAAGTGAATGCATGCCTCAGGCCCCTAATGCACCATAATAGCAAGCTTGCCGCGTAGCCACAGCAAGGGATCCATCAGGGCCTTTTGCCTCCAAAAAGAAGTTTGGTGCCGTGGCAAGGTCATCCTGCGTTGACAGAATAATCTGGTTGCTAAGATCCTTGCGGATTTGACGATCGAGCTGTTCAGGACGCGCACCATAGAAATGATCTGGTTTGGCTTGAGATAGCGTGCCATTGGTTAAGTAGGCAAGATTTCCGAATAGATATCTCCTCCAGTACATTTAGGATCGCCGATATCACCTTCGATAATTGGAATCACTGTGGTTGTCACTGGCTTCTCTTTTGATGCGTGTGTATCTGCTCGTTTGAGTTTCCGGAACTCCCCATCAGAGAACTTTGATGGCGAAAGGGAGGGACGGGGTCGAACCAATCTTTCATTGATCTCCTTCCAGTTATCAGGTATTGCTGGTATCCGACCATCAGGGTATTCATACCCGTCGGGATATATTCCATGGTCAATCAGATTTTGTTGAAAGTTTCGACTGTACGGCGTGGAACTTGTCGTGTTTGTGGTGTCTCGTATTTCTTGATTTCAATGACGGAGGTCCTGCACGTCGCTTTCTACCATGGGAGTCAGATTTGCTTGAAGCCATTGGTCGCTTGAGGATGCGTTCAGGTTCGGGATACTGGTTTAAAATCGTCAGCAGTAATGCGCGCAGTGGATTTGTAGTTACATACATTTCTAAGGTCCGACAGGCCAGGACCTCCCAGCCTGGAAAACCTCTTTATCTGTTTTAAGCACTCAGGGGAGCAATCATAGAGAGGGTCAGGAGCAAGCTGAATTCCACAACACTTCTTCAGCTTGAGGCGAGATTGTTGAGAAACAGGCTTATAATGGTTTTGGGGTGGTCCAAGGTAGCTGTTTCTTTGATCTAATTCGCTTAACGCGCCTTTGGTCAACCAAATTCTGGATAGATTATCCCAATATGCTGGTGCCGGCTGGCTCAGCTTCTGCCGCTTCAACTGATGACGCGATGAGTGGAATGGATCTTGCTCGGGTCGGCGACGTTTGCAAGATGGGTTGGGTGTCACCGGACAAGGCATATGGCGGTCATCTGGGTCGATTATTATGCGAGACTGCATCGACGCCGAAGAAGGAAGAGAACTCTTAAAATTGAGCCGTTCCGGAGAGCAGAATTATGTTGGATGCGTCTCCTCGTTACTTACATAGTGCCGCCAATCCTGAAACGTGGTGGAATCGACTTTGCGAATAACGACCGGGGTAAATAGCACTAGAGTCTCGGCAAAACAGTACGTGCGTCACCGTAGGGAAAGCGTTAGCCTTGAAGCAAAGGTTTCAAGTTCATGATTGAAAATTGGAGGACTGGACAACCATGCGCTCTCTCAGCCTTGGTCACCCGCTCCTTGGTGAGGACACTTCGCATGATCGCTGGTAATGAAATCAACCAATCAATGACCTCGTTGGCTAGCTTACTCATCCAGACCCATTCTAGGATGCCGAAAAGTCAAAGTACGATGTACGGCACGGACCGCACCCCGCGAGGGGAACGTGGTTATGATGGACAGGATTCCACAGCCAGGGCGGCAGAGGCCTGCTTGCTAGTGGTTACGCTGGTGGACGAATCTTATTGCTATAGGCATACGATGGAAGAGAATCAAAGTAGGAGGGCCTATAGATGCTTTTTTTTTTGAGAGAAGCCTCTAATGAAGAGCGAGACAGGCATCAAAGGAGTATAAAGAATGGATTCATTTTTTGCGGAGAATGGCAACATATACTATTACAAGAAGCGAACATACGGCCACATCACTACCCCACCGTCCTTGGCATATGGCTACCACACTGGATAGTTGCCCCACACATCCACACTCCTTGTGATGCGAGGCCACTGCTGTGGTGTGTGTTTTGGTTTTCCACCACAATCCGCAACAATTGACGCCCGAACTTGCTTGTCCATCTCTCTCAAGAGAAACTTGCAACACACCTCTCTCTCACAGAGCAGTTTGACATTGTGCTTTGGAATTTGGCTTGTCCATGAAATTTCCCTGCTTTTGTCTATGGTGCTGGAGAGGTTGCAATAGTTATAAGCATTGCTGCTAGAAAAGTTCAACAGCTTTGAAGGAAAACATCCATGGTCAAGGTCTATAATGCTGTACAAGTTGCATGGGCCAAGAAGCACCTTCCCATGCAACAGCTTCAAACTTTGAAGCTGGGTTGACTGGAGGCGAGCCTCATTCTTTGAGGCAGTGGAAAACTCATACATCTTGATGTGTATTCCTCCAGTGTAATCAATTGACCAAGTTATACAAAATCTATGGGTATAGATAACTTGAAAGAAGTGGCTTGAATCCATAATATCTTCTGTGAGTTTATAGCAAAGATTCAGTTGAACATCAAAAGCTGCAGCAGAATAACCACCTAGCAAAGTCACATAGTGATGTGATTGGAGTTGCTGGATTTTCTTCAGAAAAGAATTTGGACCAAGCTGACCAACACTTCTCAACATAGATTTCTGGTATTTGGGAACTCTGAAATGGTGCCTCACACCAATACAGGCCTGATCTTTGTTCAGTTGCTTGACTGAAGGATGCATGTGGGCTGAAAGGCTTGGTCAGGCACATTGTTGAGTGGGCTGCAAAGGGAAATAGTTATGCTTGTAAGGTGATCAAAGAGACACATCTCATTGCTCATATATATGCAGTACTTTAATGCTGTAGGATGTTTCAGAACTATTCTCATCATTGTCAATATCTATCACAAGCTATGAGCAGTAAGATTAGTGCACGCGTAGGAGCACAACAAATCTGCATTGGCAGGGGTAGTCAGATGAAATTAGCACACAACCTTCAGCCACAACACCAACAACCAAAGGTGGAACTTCTGACTGAAACACAAATTCATCTTTGCTGGAATAGCTTGAGAGGCCACTATCCTTTTACTCTTCCCCATTAACTAAAGTGGTAGTATAGGTAGTTAGTATAAGTAGGGCCAAGTTGAGAAAGAGATTGATCACCAAATCCATCAAGAAGAGACTCTTGCTATTGCCTCATGTGACACAAACTAAGGCGGCGCACAGGCGCAACATGTTAGGTGGGTGTGGTATGGGGAGCGCTGGGCACTATAAAATGGCTCATAGCCTCTCTCGCGCCAGATTACATTTGCTGCTGAAAATGCTTGAGTGCACACATTCCAAGATGTCCTCTCCTTTGCTGCAGGCACTTGTTTTCAATGGTACAGAATTTTGGCAAGATATCTGGCGCCTTCAGGGCTCGGAAATTAACTTGCCAAAGTTGCTTGACTCTGTGTCCAAGCTCCAAATACAACTCACTGTTCAAACTGTCCTCTCTTCCACCAAAAGCTTATTGCAAGAGCACTCAATAATAAAGCACTTCCAAATCAGCAAGCTACAAGAATCAAACATTTCATCAAGTTCATGTTCTAGGCAAATTCCCATGAACCAACAAAGAAAATGCGGCTGCACAATTTAGACTCTTTGTTATTAACGCTTTGTGAACTCTTATATACTGTTAGAGAGATGGTTGAATTGCCATCCAATGTCTTTGATTTTCTCGTTGAAAATGTTGCAGACTTTGTGTAACACCAGGAATTGTCACTGCTTCTATATAGAGATGACATCAACAAGGTCATGCTTGGTGACTTTATTCTGGAGGACAAGAATCTATTTATGAAATTCCTCTCCTGTTTGTTGCTCCTGTCTGGTTGGAAGTCCTTAACCAGGTGCTAATAATTGATTGAAGCACACATTGAACTGTGCCTTTCCCACTGCTAACAAGACTTGGACTCTCCTAATCCTTTGAGTCTTAAAGTAGTCTTGCAGACACAGGCTACATCTCCGCGTGAAGACTATGAGTTAGGACAGCCACAGAAGCACATGTGTTTAGAAGAGGGATATCTGAGGAGCAAAGATGTCTACACTGGGAGACATAATAAGCATGATTCCAACTATATGCAGTGAAATTACTAACAGATCCCTAGAAATTCAGTACATGTATTTGAAGGCTCCAATCAGTCAAGTTACACTTCTGGGTGACTTGCTCTCGGGCGCAGTTTGCACCAGTTGCCAATGGCAATTAGAAAGAGATTTACACAAGTCCAAAACAGATTGCCTCACTACCCTGATTCCTGAAGATCCAGCGCAAGACATTTCCATCACCTTGTGGGTTGGTCAGGAGGCAGGGCTTCAAATGAATGACACATTTAGCCTGGCGCCGAAGTGGACATCTTTACCCAGCCATGGAGGACCTTGACTCTACATCCCTTTGGGACGCGACCCACTTCAACTCTGGGGTACCTTGGCAGTTGTAGGCTGGTTGGCTGTTGCTTCCAGGGAAAATGGGCGGGACTGTCAACAGCACTGGCAGCAACAGCCTCAGTATCTGGCTGTGGTGAGGAAGGCACAGAGACACCAGGAAGCCCATCAGCTGAGCATCTGCTGCATCAACATCACAGCTTGAGCCCACTGTGACCGGGTCGCCTGCACCAGAATGTGAGAATAGAGGCTCAGTGGCATGAGACTTTGACACATGGAAGTGCTCACATTGACTACCACTGCGTGGCTCATCTAGAGTTGTGTCCAACAGACCTGCTAGGCTCGCAAGCCTGGTTGATACCATGGAATCACTGTTGTTCATGCCAGGTGACTGTGGAACATAGGAGCTCTTATCATCAAAATCGCCTGCTGAGGTGTCACTGATTAGTCTGTATACACAGAAGAGGAGAGCGTCAGTGATAAGGAGAGGTGCAAAAGAAGGAGCGGACCTTCAAGGTTAGGCAAGCTTATGCTGGGCAAGGGTGCTTGACTGGTAGGATCATCACTAGTTAGATCAACAGTTTCAATTTTAGCAATTCCAAACACCTCTAGCACCTGGTTGAAATCCTTCAAGGTCACCCAGGGCAGCATCAATTCTCGTTGTTTTTGCCACGGTGAGCCCTGACTTGCCAGTGTGGGATGGAAGGGCGGCAAGTGGTCAAGGCTCTCGGAGGTGTGCAGCTGTTCTGGAGATGGGGTAGTAACAGGAACTGCAGCTGTAGAGAGCACAGTGCAATCTGAGCCGTTGAGCATGAGCTTGCCCACGGACGGGTGGCCCATAACAGGTGATGAGGGTCTGTAGCCCGGAGGCAATGGAGGTGGAAAATAGAACTGGAGGTTATCAAGATCAACCAAAGCCATTGTGCTGTGTACTCATGCACTCACACTCTACCTGTGCGATATATCGCTCCTCATGATTTCACGCGGAGATGGGCCTCTATATAGGGAGGCGCGTGCAGAAGCTCCCACTCCCTCACAAAGCCCTTCCCCTGGAAAAAAGGGGCACTGCTTCAGAGCACCTCATCAGGTGAACCCATGCCATCTCTTCTCCAGTCAAAATCCACTCCACAATGCCACTTGATGTAACAAGCACATGTAACCCAATGCAGTCCGGCCGGGAGGCATACCCTCTAAGACAATTTGTCACAGCATAACTTCTTGATCTAGCCCAGCTGAGACAGCATAGGCGGAGGACATGACAAGAAGTTGCAAAGGAGGCAACAATGCATGATGACCACACTTCCTCCCTGACCATTTCTTCCACCCTTGCTCCTCACTTGAAGCCAATGCTGATCTCCCAAGTTGATTCACCAACAGGAAACAAAGTATTGGATGCAGTACCCAGTCTGTGATCAGAAAATAGCAAATGAACACTGTTCTAATGCCATCACATGCTGCTGTGCATGTGTGTGAGCACATCAGCTCTCCACCATCATCTTCCAGATGCAATCTCAAGCCAAAGATGCCAATCTTTCTGTGTTCCTCCCCAGCATGGCATTGCAGGTTGCAGGGTGATAAAACTACAGCACACCCTGACAAAGCTACAGATCACCTCCTGCCCAAGGTTGAACAGTCTCAGGAAGCACAGCAACTTGCTGTGCTGCACAGAGAAATAGAAGGGGATGTATGATTCAAGAGAGCCATCCATGCATCTTTTGGTCTCCCTGGTATGAGGTAATTTTGCCATTGATAGGGACACAATGTGAATCACCAATGGACCAAGGCTGTAAGTCTCTGTTAGCATTGCTGCAGGGGAAGGAGCAGCAAGGAACCACCTGGAAAGCAGCAAGAGAACAAAGAGTGGAAGAGGATGGACATGCCTTTATAGTCACAGCAAGGCAAGGCAACTTCAGCTGGCTGGATGTCAGGGCGGCAAGGGCCACTAGACCATACCTGAAGCAACAGCAACAAACCCAATCAGGCCATGCTAGACCTGACACAGGACCCGGATGCGGGCGGGGTGGCGAGCCTGAGGCAGCACTCGCCAGATGACCGTTTACATTTTATTATTTATTATTT